TTTCATTTTTGTGGCTTTTAGAAAAGAATTAAAACCTGAAATCCTCTGGGCTCATAATAAATTTCTTTTTAAAGCTTTTAATTAGCGATTGACAGCAAATCTTGAACAACAAGGGAATTCTCGAAAAGTGCACTGGCTGAAGGCGAAAAGAATTCAACAACTTTAAACGATGAATGGTGCATAAATTAAAAACTTTTTGGGATTTTATGTCCTAAAAACGATTCGAACAGGTGGAAGCACGTTCACGTAATTTTGATTGATGACCATCGTCGATTCTTTGACTTGCACTCGCTTCAATATTCCTTTCAAACGCTGTAAATGAAGATTAAATACCACTCAGGATTGGCAAAAAGGCAAAGCCAAGCCAAAGCCAATGACTTTCAACCTTTGTGCCTGCCTTTGTCTGGAATTTCAGTCTTACTGTTGGATTTGACCTGATTGTGCCTAAGCTTTTGGCTTTGGCTTTGATTTGCCCTGAAAATTTTGCTTTTTTGTCGGTTATCGAACATTTGATTACCCCTCATCCCTTTTGCCATTGGCAATCCAACTTTGAGCTCAAATATCTTGGTGTTGGGCTGTCCAATTTAAATAATTTTTGTAGCAATCGACAGAGAAAGACTTGACGCATCCAACGATGCCAAGAATGTGAAATTGGACAACCCAACACCAAGGTATTTGAGTTTAAAGTTGGATTGCTAATAGCAAAAGGGGCGTGGCTCGTATAAATGGTCCCACAACCCGCCCCCTTTGCCTTTGGCAATCCAATTTTGAGCTCAAATATCTTGGTGTTGGGCTGTCCAATTTAAATAGTTTTTGTACCAATCGACAGATAAAGACTTGGCGCATCCAATGATACTAAGAATATTTAAATTGGACAACCCAACACCACGATGTCAAATGTCCAACTTTATATCCCCAGAAATCTACTCATTTGCACTCAAATTTTGATGATATCCGATTCAATAGAGAATAAAATTCAAAGTTTTGCTTGGCAATAAAACAATTTTGGGTGTATTGTACTAATTTTTTTGACTTACCTGAAAGCGCATGAAGAAAAAGTCGCGATAAAATTTTGTCACGAAAAGCACGATGAAGCAATTTCCCGATGAGTGAAGTGACATCACAGCAAAACCATTCGACAAGTACCAACCTGATTGCAAAATTAGAATTAGTTTTAAATTCGAAAACTATTATACCCATTTGATCCAAACGATCTCCGAGAAGAATAGTCGATAAAGCACCAAGTATCGGGATCAACAAACAAAATGCAACAAAGAAACCTCCCTAAATGAGTTACTGCACTCTCTACAGCATGATCTACAGTTTCTTTAGGATCCAGTCCGGACTTTATCATATCATGTTGTAAATAGACATTATCTTTTATATTTTAAAAATATTCCACCATAAAGATTGATTAATTTGATTAGTTATTCGATCCCACTTGAGCAATAGAGACTCGAAACAATTGTTCATGCATCATTTTCGTTTTGAGACTCTTTGAAGAAACCAAATGGGGAAGTTTTGACAAAAGAATTATGGTGGTAATAACGTAACTAAATATGTCGAATATCTGCTTTTTGACGAGAAAAAAATACCTTATTATGAGAAGAATAAACATCCCAATGCCTAGCCAAATAAAGATAACACCTGGACTGTTGAAAATCGGTGCAAGACTCAAAGTTGAAAAATTCTGAAAATTAAACTTTTTCAATAGTGGACTTTATTTTTGTTTTTTTCTGGTCGGGTTTTAGCCTACAGGTTATTTGATACGCGCCTTGCCCCTTTTGCTATTAGCAATCCAACTTTAAACTCAAATATCTTGGTGTTGGGTTGTCCAATTTCACATTCTTGGCATCGTTGGATGCGTCAAGTCTTTCTCTGTCGATTGGTACAAAAACTATTGAAATTGGACAGCCCAACACCAAGATATTTGAGTTTAAAGTTGGATAGCTAATGGCAAAGGGGGCGGGGCACGTATAAAAGGTCCGTCATCCGGCCCCTTTCGCCATCTAACTTTGAGCTCAAATTTCTTGATGTTGGGCTGTCCAATTTAAATAATATTGAATAAATCAATTGTCTATTTTTGGTGACAATTCATACCCACCAATCCAATCGAACCAAATGAAAAGTGTAAGATTACCGAATTATTGGGCGTTGCCTGTATACTGATAATTAGCAAACGGTCACAAGAGCCAAGAAGGACCAAAATAGTTGCAAACAAAATTATGGCAAAAATCTGGAAACATTTTCTGAAAACTTTGCAACTTTCATACTTTGTAGAGTCTCCGGAAAAAGGTTTTCTTTATCGGTGGCGATAAAGAGATGACACGATGCGTGTAGATGAGACTTTGGAGAAAAAAATGAGTCAGAAATAAAAACACAAAGATGTTCTGTGAAATTTTATATCAAATGCCAGTTTTAGCACACTCACTCCCATCACTAGGATATCCCAAGGTGCCAACTTTCTTGAACTCATCGAGATCACGGTGTAAGGATAGATGAAAACTTGGCAGAAAAATGTTTGTAAAAAGGTGAGCAACATCGAACAAGTCTAAAGTTAACATTTCTGGTTTTGAACGAAGATTTTATGTAACGAAGTGAAAATCTTATTAAGGATTAAGGGCTGTCAGTACAGGAACGGTGTTTTTCTCACTTCTAAACTGTGTTAACTTTTAAAAACTAACATAACCTTGCATTTTCGTTCAATGATTTACTTTTGGTATCATTTTTAAACTCTTGGTGTTGTTTACAAGAGCCATTGTGAAAAATAAGAATAATTAAGAATGCTGTACTTTCCTAGTTCAGTGTTAGAATATACAGGGTGACCAAGAATTACCGCAACACACAAAAGGCCTGGCTTTTAACCAAATATGCAACCCATCTCGAAAAGTTAACTTAAATATCTTTATTCAATATATAACAGTAACAAATTAACAATTAAATTCAAATTTGCCTCCATCGGCATCCAGACAGGCCTGACGGAGCTTCTCTTCAGACCATTTTCTGTGTCATTCCTCGAGCCGATTGGTTAGGGTTTAATCTTAGACGATCGCGCACTTTCTTGACATTAGCCGGAGTAACCGCTGTTCGTTTTGCCCCTCTTCCAGGGCGATCAGAAACTGTGCCCAGGATTTCAGAACGTTGAATGGTTCGAGAAACGAGGCTTCTAGGGACATTCAGGCGCTTTGAGATCTCGCTCGCCTGAACAGGCTGCCACAAGGATCGATTGTCGATGTGGAGACACTTTCACCATTCCTGAAAACAACCATACTAATGTATTGAAAGTTAGTAATCATACCATAAAATAAGAAAAATACACAAAAACCATAAAAAACAGGTAAGCAAAAAGTGAAATGGGACTCATAACATAATACGACGTTGTTGCGGCAATTCTTGGTCACCCTGTAGACTCGAAACTGATTTACACAAAGAGATCTTATAGAGAAAGTGGAAGAGATTTAGACACATAAAGCACAATATAAACTAGAGATTATGAATCTAAAGAAATATCAGAAATTCACTCTATAGATTTCGGCATAGTCAGAGTTTCAAGAAGAAGCTCTATAGTTATTCAGTAAAATTCTAGACTTACAATGATACCCATTTGAATTCGCCTGAACGTTTGCAAAGCATCCGGCGCTTTAACAAACGCCAATATACCAATGCTAAATGGACAAATCAGAATATCGACACAAGATGGGATGAAATAAATCGTTTCGAGAATCAAACGATCTTCAACAGTTGGTTCGTACATTTTAGAAAATTTTGAATCGATCGAATCCGTGAGAAAAGTTAGGCAACTTTCCCCGGAAAGCTGAAAGGTCAGACAGGTGGTTTTTCAAAAACTTTTATGTTACTTTTAATTAACTTTCAGCTTGTACAAAATAGGGGATGGATAAAAGATATTTTTTTTGCGCACCTTTTCGCCCATTATAACACTGCCCTAGACCCACAGAATCACTTAGATTCACTTTTCGTTTTTTTTTTCTTGCTAATGGTTTGTAGCTTTCATTTCTTAATGGTATCTGTTGCTTCCCTGTCTTGATGTTCTTGATTTTAGTTTTTTTTTTCAATCCGAAGCACTTTATCAATCAAAACATATTAGGCTAGCCGATAAATTCGTAGAATTTTTTTTATCAAGTTTAAAAATTTAATTTCTCAAAAACCTCACCATCAATCTTTCTGAAAACTTTACAGTAACTTTTAATAAAAGTGAAAGGTTTTTTTTGCCAAAAGATTAGGTTTCCTTTACCTTATAACTTTCTATAAAAATTGTAAATAACAGTTTTTAACGTTAACTTGATCTCAATTTGTTTCACCACTAAAACCTCATAAAAAATTAAACGACCACCACAAAACCATGTCAAAATTTTATTTATAATCTTTTTAACCTTTGGATAAAAAGTCGATTTAAAAATTGCTTTTTTTGCGTTTTCCATTTTTACACTGATGATCCTAAAAAGGTGCGTATTTTAAAAATAAAGCTTTATATGTAAAACAATTCCACCAGAAAAATTGCCAGTTTTTTTTAAACTTCATTTTGTTTTTGGGTTTATCTTTTTATCGAAAAATTGGACTATGGTAAATTTGATTGAAGACAGTTCACTTAAAAGGCCCCAGAAACCAATCAACTAATGAAATCTTCAAAACTAGCCGTACGATTGGTCTCATATTTTGACAAAAACTTTTTCAATGATAGGTATATTTGCTGCAAAATTTTTAGAAAAATTGATGGTGGGGTTTTTGAGAAATTACACTTTAAAATTTGATTAAAAAAATTACCGGCTAGCCTAATCACATTTTATTCAACAAACAACAGCTCATTCAACAAATAACGAAGAGCTTTCGACAAACTTTAATGAGCAAACTAGCATCAATTTTTTGTCTTTTTAATTTTCATGTCTCTCTCAGCTATTTCCATAACTTTCATTGATGATTTTTGTCTTTAGAGCTGTGCAATGACTCAATGTGAGCAAGCAAAGGACCCAGCAGAAGGTTCAATGAGCCCCAAAGAGAAAATCACAAGAGAAGAACTACAGAATGCAATCGAGGAAGTCGACAATTGCCCTTTAAACTTAAATGATGAATGGTGTGAGTATATTTTTACTCCAAAAGCAATTAAATTTTAGGTATATGGTTGCAATGAAATGGTGGAAACAACTGACATTGGCGCTTAACAAGGGCTTTGTCGAAGATGTGCCAAAAATTGAGAATGCTAGCGTTTCTGAAATGAAGGGTAACTTTTTTTGTTACCAGCATACCCAAAAACTCTTATGGTTTAGATGGTCATTATTTTTTGAGACCCCATCTTGTCGAGAAATTGGATTACATGCTCCTGCCACAAAAGGTAAAATCTATCCTACTGTTAGCTAAAGCTCTTCTTTAGACCTTTAATCTATTGCTCAATGAATTTGGGGTAGAAGATGAAAACCGTGATGTAATACAACGAAAGGTTCAATTGAATCCAGTCCGGGGAGATCTCTTCATTGAAGTTTATGCTAAATTTCTCACCGTTGACTTGAAGAACTTTTCATTTTGCAAAAGATTCTAGGTTGCTCTTGTTAAAGCGGTTCTACCGGTTTCGATGGAGGATAACGTTAGTAAGTACTTTTGTAATTCTTGAACAAGCACTTCGTGAGCACTCGAATTACATTTTACTTTAGAAACTCTGAGTGCAAAAGCCGCTCAGGCTCTTGGCGTGGAAGAAATTCCCCACAACAAATTGCGGTTTTACATTTATCATCAGGTAAGGTTTTTTGCAAGAAATTTGACTGTACGAGTTTTAGGAAAATGATCGTTACGAGCTGTTAAATCTTGATATGAAGCATAGCTGCGAGCATTTCTTCTCTTTTAATCAATTGGTTCGTTTAAAGTTTAAAGTTAACGAGTCATTCATAATTATTTTGCTCCAGCTTTTGGTAGATGTTTTGGATGACAAAGGTGTTGGGTTTGTTCAACAATCTCTCAATCGCTCTAATGGAACATCAATCAATGGAAGCTCAAGGTAAAAGGAGTGTTTAACCTTCTATGGATGCACGATTTTTCCGAATGCAGTTTTGAACATCTAACAATTCTAGTTGATAGTTTGTCCAACTTTCAAAACAAATAATGCTTAATTAACTGTAAAACTTTCAATTTTAATGGCATATTAGCTCCGCTGGAGCACGTTGCATTCTGTATCTCATTATTTATTTGATGGGAGTCTTCTACAAATTGCTAGCTCCCTTTTCTGTGAAGTTACCAATACTAACTTGCGTAAAACGATTTGCAAACTTCTTTAACTATGTTTTTGGTGGATTTCTCAAATCAAATTCCAGGTTCGTTTCTCTTCAAGGATTTTGTTAAGAGGTCCGTTATCCGTCAGATGTTTAAGTTTTAAATCTTTCGATACTTATATGATGGATAACAGACTTTTACAAAATAAATCTTGGTGAGAAACGACAAAATTTCAGCGCTAACTCTATCTTGCTTTGTCACTAAAGGAATAACAATCAACAAAAAAAAATAAAATTTATAATTATTTTTTAGTTACTCTCGTCTACCATCTCAAATCCCCGGCGTCTGTGGTCTACAAAATCTTGGTAAGTTTGGTCAGGCAATATTAAGCCAGGTATTTACTTAATTTTTAGGCAACACTTGCTTTATGGCATCCGCCATTCAATGTTTATCCAACGTACCTCCAATAACTGAATACTTCTTTCGAGAGAAACACTTGGAGGAGATCAATGAGAGGAATCCACTCGGAACTCGTAAGAAAACTTGAAGTACTTTAATTGGAATCTTTAAGAGGGAGAACTTGCACGCGCCTACGGAAAGCTGATCAAAAATATGTGGAGTGGAGAAAATTCATCTGTGATCCCTCGTCATTTAAAAGTTGGCCAAATTGGATTTTTTTTCAAGCCGTGTTTTAGGTGACGATTGGAACGTTTGCGCCTCGTTTCAGTGGTTATGCTCAACAAGATTCACAAGAACTCATGGCTTTTCTCCTTGACGGGTTACATGAAGATTTGAATCGTATCAAACAAAAAACCGTACAACGAAGAGGAGGAAAATACCGCCAAGAAGCCGGAAGACGAGGTAACCATCGTTAAATTTCAATAAAGAAAATTTGTTTTAGTTGGCGCAATTGCAGTGGGAGCAGTATAAGGCTCGAAATGACAGTATTATCGTTGACAAGGTGCACGGGCAAATAAAGAGCACATTTATTTGCCCTATCTGTCAAAAGGTATTTGCTTAATGAAAAATAAAAATCGTCCATTCTAGGTTTCCATCAAATTTGACCCGGTTTGCTTCCTTTCATTGCCATTGCCACCACGAGAAAAGATCGAACATCGAAATTTCATTGTGATCCAAGATCCACCAAAGAAATGGGCTCAGGTGTGTTTTGCGTTACAAAAGAGTTTAAGTCTTTATTATTGGGCCTTATATGAGAAAAAATCAACAGCCTATACTCCTAAAATTTTGAAGAACGAAAGATCCAAATTCTTTTAATTAGCCGTGTTTCACTTTAGAGGCTTCTAAACCGAACCTGAAAAGTAAAAAGAATTAAATACCTAAATCCTATAGAACATTGCACATTAATACCTGCTTTACTGCATACACAAAGATTAATTGGTTCTCACTTCATCAGTCCTTCATCACTTCATCAGTCCCGTAGTCAGGATTTCGTTGTTTTTGGGAGAATCTTTCAGAGCTTGGCCCAGAAGTGTCCAATCAATTTACACCCAAGGAAGAAAATTTAGCAAAATGTTCGGGCTACATCATGGTCACGGTGAAATTTTTCTAAAATGAAATTCACTCGGAAAAATTTGCATTTTTGTGAGAAAATTAAGGGGCAGGGATTTTAGACCCTTAGCCGTTATCCAGGAAACTTTTAACCACCGCCAATCAATTCTCCTCTTGGTTTACATAGGAAACGTGAGCTAAAATTCGATTTGAAGCTTGTGGAGCAAGCTAAAAGGGCTCAAAGTTGGGTCGTCATGACTTTTTTTGCGCCTCTCTCCCCCAAAATTTTCTCAAAAAAATGTAAATTTTTCCGAGTGAATTTTATTTGGAAAAATTTCATCGTGGTCATGATGTAGCCTGAAGATTTTGCTAAATTTTCTTTAGGTGTAAATTTATTAGACGCTTCTGGACGAAGCTCTAACGATTCTCCAAAAAACAACGAAATCCTGGCTACTGGCCTGCACTTCATACCCCGCTTGGTTCTCACTTCTCACCTATACTGTTGTTGCATTTCAAATCGAAGACTTTCTATACATCATTGCACATTAGATACCTGTTATAACATAGAACTATCTACAGGGTGTTCCAACAAAAAGTCAGTTCAACGTGATTTTTCTCAGAATTTCTAGTGGCTTCTGGTGGTTGTTGTGGTGTTAAAGTGAAGTTTTTTTTTTGGGCGGGCATATTTTGATATTTTTTTACTTTTTCTCGATTTCATGACTTCCTTATACATGAAATTTTTGAGCCGCCATGGCTGCCACGACCAAATGGATGGTGATCCATTTGGTCTTTGACACCACAACAACCACCAGAAGCCACTAGAAATTCTGAGAAAAATCACGCTGAACAGAACTTTTTTGGAATACTCTGTATTATTGCACATTTAATACCTGCCTTTTCTTTGTACATCTTGCACATTTAATACCTGCGATTTCCAAATTATCAATTAATCAAACTTGAAAAGAACTTCCAAAGTATGTTACTTGCCCCAACCTTGAAACTTACCTGTATGTTTCTTTTAACTTACCTACCCTCCTTTGCTGGTCAGTAGAAGATGGAAGAAACTCAAAAGTGTTGTATCAACTAGGCGCGCTTCCAGTTGAGCACTGACTCTTCTCAAAACCATAATAGTGGTAAGGAATTGGGCCCATCTTAAAAGTATGACTCGTAAGCTTTTCTTTTCTCTTTTACCTTTTCGGATCTGGTAAATCATATCCTTCATCACACAAATGCCGGAAGACATCCCACAACTTACGATAGAATCTGGTTGCTTCAGAATCGCCCTAGAAATTTTGTCTTTCAAAGCCGTTGGCAAAACATTTTATATTTATGTAAAAAACTCTTGAGTGTTTAATACCTCGGGGTGATTATCGGGATTGAAGAAAAATATGGCCGAGAGCACCGCCATTTGCCGTAGATCCATTTGCAGATCATGGATTTCTTCAGCAATCCGAAATATTGTTTTCACTAATTCGATTCCCCTCTAAATCAACTCATTTTCAGAGCCTAAACCTGTAGCAGAACCTAAGCAACTTACTTCGTCAATTGCGTCTTCAAGATCTTCTAAATAAATTGCTTCGTCTTTCGATGGATGTAAGCATTTGGTTGCAGGATCAAATAGTGTCACAAATTTGAGAACATGGATTTCAAGCATTGAGGCTCTCAGAAAAAATTCCTGTGTCATTTGATTGAGCTTAATTTAGTTGTAAGATTTGTCGTGTCGTAAAATTCTGTACCTTTCCGATAGCTTCAAAACCATCTGAGAAGCTGTGAACTCGGCGAACCAGTGATCTGATCAATTCAATGTAGCTCTCCTTTTCGGAAAGGATATCAGTTGGTCGAGAGATCGGGAGGTGTATGTGTGAACAGTAAGAACGGGTCACTGTTTCGATCAAAGAAAACATTTCCTAGATACAGTGTAATGGTTTGATCTACAGCTACAAGCTACCTTTTGTTGTTGATTTGAATGAGGTGCTTTGAGAGTTGTCAAAACGTCTTCGACAACACGTCTCTCGCGATTTTCTTTAATCAACTCTTTTTTCTGAGCTCGTTCGGTTTCATTTAAGACCACTAAAAAAGTTTTCTGAAAATACTTCTAAGAAAACCCACAGTCTGAACTCATTCCAACAGCTTTACATTTATTGTAGCGGCAACGTTGGCAATAGTTCCGGTTATTTTTATCGATGGGACAATTCTGATCACTGTTTTTGCAAACATAAGTGAGGCGTCGTTGTTCGGTGCGGCGCCAAAACCCTTTGCATCCTTCACAGGTGATAGCCCTGAATTTGAACATTTTGGGTTTTGTTTCGTTTTACCTTCGGTATCACAAATTAGTCCAAAATACGAAAAATTTACCGGTAATGAAGTCCCGTTGCCACATCACCACAAACCATGCATAACTGGCCATCTTCCATGTAAGATGGTAGATAAGGCGTAGCTAAAATCTCGATAAAGAATGAAATATCAGAACGTTGAGTCTTAGATTATACCAATGAGTAAGTTACCTTTCACACGTTGACGCGGAGGAGTACTTTCAATGATAACCAAATTATTAGACATTTTATCGAACACTTTGTCAAAAAGCAAGCTTTTTTGCAAGTGCAAGGGAATGCTGAGGCTGAGGCTGAGGCTCTATCGGTAAATCCCGCCCTTTTTGGCAAAGAGCTCTGGGTAAAGGAGGATCCCCTCACGGACGGTCAGGGAATGGCGCAATGAGCCCGCAGATGCACCGGTAAACAGCCCATTGAGGTCACATAGAGAGTATAAGGCTAAGTCCAGCCACTGTTTGAATTTGTGCCAAAATGAAATAAATAATTAGGTATTAGAAGTTTAAATCAAATTATTTTAGTTCTCTATGAAAATCAAGCCGCAGAAGACTACGGTAGCTGATGCAACAGTAGTCTTTTGATTCTGGGTAATCTCGTGATTTTGGGTAATTTCGAACTTCGAGAAGATGATTCCAAGGCAAAGTTTATTTGATTTTTTGCTTTTCATTTGAAATGTTTAGATTATTATGTATACTTTTGACTCCTATGACAATGTGAAGGTCCTTAAATGCGAAGATTATGTTTACCCAGAAAGAATTTCAACTTTTCCGTCGTTATCTCCAATTTATGCTTCAATCGTTGGTAAGCGAGTAGCACATATAAAAGATTTTGTTTTGCTTAGATCCTTCTTGCCAGTCGTTTGTGGTCGTGAAGAATCAATCAGCCAATGGCAATCGTTCACTTTCAGTACCTCTAGTCCTTGGCCTTTCGGACTCCTATCAAGTCAATCAGTAAGAATAAATTCATTCGGCTAGAAATTTTTGACTTTTGTCTTTTAGGAATTGAATTGATACGGTTGCTCTACCATATGTGAAAAGGCAGTTTTTCAAAGAAACTCTTACCGACGAAGATAAGGAAGCTCTTCAATATGAGGTAATTTTTGTTCGCTTTTGAGGAACTTTGCCGCAGGTGGTCTGGCTCCGCGTTGTAAAAGCATAATCATCTTGACCCTGTACAAGAATTTACAATGGGGTCTTGTAATGGCGCTGATGTTCACTTTGTGATTGTTGTAAGAGCTATGCTCTAGAATGGCTTCCTAAAATAACAAAAATTTAAGAACACGGCTAGACTTTTGCGTAATTCTCGGCTTTTTGTCAATTTTAATAGAGAGACTATTTTATTTGCTTAGACCAAATGACCTTATCTTCTACTCTTTTGCAATTTGAGAGCGCCCTAGTCTGCCTTCTTGCGTAATCGGCTTTGATTTTTTAGTCTTGAGAAAAGTCTTTGCAGTCCAAAAAGAAAAAAGATGATTTGAAAAGACAAAAGGACAAAATGATTTTTTAGGTTTTGGTTGAGAAAGACGGAGCTTTTGTGCCGTTTACTGAAGAAACTAATGGTATACGCAGCCTTACTCTTCGTTGGCAAACTAGCCAACAATCAGAAGACGAAGACCTTCAATCAGAAGGCGGGAAAGTAAAATGGATTTTGAGGATTTAAATAACCCAAGTTTTAAGACTGAAGTTGAGCGCGAATGTTCGGTTCCGATCCCGACAGATATTCATCTAAAAGAATGCATTGATCTTTTCACCAAAGAAGAACAGTTGGGAGGACAAGACAGCTGGTTGAACCAAAATTCCTTTAATTTATTTGGTTTTTAGGTACTGCCCAAGGTGTACTTCCTGGTTGGCTGATGATGAATTCCTAGAAATCGCTGTTAAGTTCATGCTATGTGCTTCAATCTACAGGCTCTAAAAACCACTAGATAAACCAATAGTCTTGCAATTTGACGATAGTGAAGACAATCCATTCAAGTAGAAGAAAACCATTGACAAGAAGCTAAAATGAGTGACTCTGATTAATTGTAATATTTAGTAGTTCTACTTCAACAGAATGTTTGATCCTTGAACCTACCGAATTTATCCAATAAAGTTGCATGTAGATTGGCTTCATCAGCGAGCCATGAAAAAGCTTGATCTTTGGAAACTTCCCGAGGTGGGTCATGACCGTTTTAAAAAATCAAGTTGATGTAGATTTTAATCATTCATCTGAAGCGTTTCATTTACACTTGTTGGAACAGAGAAAAGATTGATATTCAAGTCGAGATTCCTGTGCGGTAAGCACTTGGTTATTTTGTAGTGCTTATAGCATTTTCAGTGGCTTCGAATTAAACGATAAGCTGGCCAATACATTGCATGAACATGTTCAAGATGATCTTATTGCAATGTCGCATCACAGTGGAGGATTGGGGGGTGGTCACTATACAGCAAGTGCGATCAATCCAAATGGCAAATGGTACGATATTAATTTTAACAGATCAATGAATAAGAACTTTAGGTATGAATTCAATGATTCGTGCGTTTCGGAGAGAAATCCTCCAGATGACCGATTGAAAGCCTCATCTCCCTACATGCTTGTATATCGCAGGAGGTCGCCAAAGCATTTTCATCTCAATTAATTTTTTAATTTACCGTATTTACTCGAATAGAAGACCGGGTTCGATTTTTTTTCAATCACCCCCTAGACCCCGTCTTCTATTCGAGGCCGGTCTTCTATTCAAGACGATCTTTTATTATTTGCATTCACGAAAATTTTCGAAAATTCACTAAACCTCTTATATACACTAAACAAAGTGTAATTCTAAACCTCTTATATACCCTAAACAAGCACTGAGCTTGTACATGTTTAAAGAAAGAACCTTGTAGCAGCTGTGTGTTTTTGAGAAGTAAAGCCATCCGGGTGGACAGATTAGTGGACTTTGGGAAACAGTCGGAGTAATAGGTCTAGTTGAGAACGGTTTCCGAGTGTGTTCACGAGAGTTTTCCTTTGAGTTAGACTCTTTGGATTCTTTGGATGAGGATTTCGATGCAACTAACTGTTCAAAACAAAGTAAAAGTAGGAAGAATGAGAGTAAAGTCTTATGTTGAACTTTAGAAATCATTGCTTTGATGATGGGAAACTGATCTGAGACGTTCTTTTATACGAAAACTTTTACAACTTGAATGAAATTAGAGCTTAAATCTTTCCTCATTCGTCTTTTCATTTCAAACTTCGTCCAGCTATGGCAATAAGACCTTTGAAGAATGGCAATACACACTTTGAAGGCATCGCATAAAAACTTTTAACAAGTCGCTTGAATCTTTGCTCGTTCGCGATCAAAAGACCAAATTCATGCTTTTGATTTCAAAAGATTCAAAAGAGAACCACTAAAAACTAGAGTTTAAATGAAAAAAATGTCATAGATCACTTTTTAAAAATGATTTCTGTGAAACTCTTTTGATATGAAGGGTTTTTAAAGGCAATAAAGAGATAAATCAGTTTAAGCATGACGCATGAGATTCACGTTTTGCTTTGAAAATGTGTCGGGAAATCCCTAAAATTATGCAAAGTTTTGCAAAGCCCAATCGGTGTACTGCTGTTTACGATGTGATGAAATAGAAACTTTGATTTCAATCGATTCGGATGATTTCAGCTTCTCTGGACTGTAAATAAGCTCACTTCGATTTGCTGAATTATAATTGTTTTTTTTTAAAATCAGGGTTTTAATAATTTATTCGTTTGATGTAAATAAATACTTTATCAAATGTTTCAAAAAGAGTTCAGTAAAGGCCAAAGATTAAACAAGAAGATGCAAAAAACAATGACAATGATAAAGTTCTTTTAAAAATGATGATGTGGTAATGGTTAAAATTCAATAAGCCAAGTTTCATTTTCAGTTATCAAAATCTGATTTGTGACCTTTTGTGTTGTGCCTAAACTTTTCTCATTTGGAAATTGAAAAAAGTCTATTAGCTACTACCCGTTCCATATCATTTGTGTTCACGTTTAGATTAAGATTGAAAGCAGACGAAACAATGGGTGGACGTCGGCTGGAATTCATTTCATTTCACCAAAAACTGTAATCAAATTACCAGGCTCGAACCAAGACAATGATCAAAATGATTCCAATTCCAACAATCAACGCAATCCCAGCACCGATCCATTCCCATTTATAGCGTGAAAAGATGTTTTTCGGTTTATCTTTTGCTAAAACGAAAGCATTTTGTATCAGAGTTGCAAAGTTGAGAAAAAATGTTGTAGGAAGGTAGTAAACGTTATGTGAAACTAATGCAATTAACACTACCTGTTGTTGTTTCTTTAGAAGTTGTTTGTGAAGTCGTCGTAGTAGCTGTGGTCTGAATTGGGCATAGATTAGCTTGAGTTAAGCTTCGAGCTTCAGCGGGACATAATAAACTCACCGTCGTTGTTGTCGTTTCAGCGGTTGTTATCGTTGTCGTTGTAGCAGTGGTAGTTGTAGTCGGCAATATTGTTGTTTGTGTTGTTGTCGTTTCAAATGTACTCAAATAATCTTCGCTGATCGTCATTTGATATCCATAAACATCAGGAACCGGGTTTTCAGGGCACCAAATTGCCTGAAAGTTTTCTGTAAAACTGTTTCCTCACAATAAATCTCTTACTTGTACACAAGTGGCCTCTAAAGAAAACTTTTCTCCCTTTTCTGGCATTGTTGTAAAGCTGAAAATTTGTTGCAAAAAGAAAACCCAGAGGATGTACTACTTTTTCTCAAAATTTGGTTTATTGTTCCAGCAAGTCGAGTCATTCGGTGACAAAAATCCTCGAACAGTCAAGTTTCCACCTTTAAACCTTTGAAATTCCATTGTCAAATTTGGTTTGAGATCTGATGGCTAAACAAGGGCATATTTCTAGCATTCGATTTGAAACTCTCACATAATTTTTTGTGTCTGCTTTTATTTCATGACATTTAGATGCCTGTTGAACTTGTTCGATGTGATCAATTGGCCATGGTTGATAGGGCGACATCCAAGTAGAGAAGCGATTGATATGCATCTCTGAATTTTCTCAACCGAATCAAATGTTCGATTTTTCTGAAGAAATTTATAGGGCTTCAAGCTCGGGCTACTTAAAAAACCAAAGAGCCGAATTGTCAATAAATTGTCTTGCTTTCTTTTCACTTACCCGCATTTCTTGTATCAAATTGAAGACAAAAGCTGCATTTGTCTTTTGTGAACAAGCTAGTGACCGAGCCTCTTGTTTGAATCTTCAATTCATCAGAGCTAAAAGATTTCTTGAAAGAAATAGACATGACAGTTAAATTCATGAATCAAACAAACTAACATTCCATCAGCAAGAAAATACTCATTTTCTGTTTTCCCGGGATCACCCCCGGCGAAACTTGAATATTGGGTGCTTGATGGACAAGTGAGATCAGACTGAAATTTGAGTTGTCTTATTCTTTAATTTCTTGTTGATAAACAACCTTGAAGAGTTCACAGTTGACATTTTCTGGATCCACAATAAAATCCTTTCCAATCGGTTTCAACAATGAAAACGGGGCAAACCCACCCACCCCATTGCTAAATTAAAGTTAAGGGTTCTTCTTTTAGTTAAATAGTTACCAAGTGTTTAAAATTGACTACCAAATGTTTATTTAAATCTTTTGAAATGCACAAACCTAACATAGGTGGCCGGCGAAACGATCACTATTGGTGTGACATTCTCCTTCACGACAAGATAGAGAGTTTTGGGTGGGCCACCGTTAACCCAACCAGGAATCACCAACACTTCCCTCGTAACTAAAACAAAACTCAGATTCTTTAAAAAAAACTGTTTTCATTTCAAAATCCCAACCATCAGACCATTTTTCGACTCGAATCGAGAGCCCGAAATAATTGAGGTAGATATTTGGAGTGTAGGTCAATTTCTGGTGCAAATTGAGCGCTGTTTGATTGTCGATTCGAAACCTCGACGAATAGAAAGTTCTCTCTAAAACAAAGGAGTTAAAGACTAAATTAACAACAATTGAAAGAAAATGAGCCTTAAAAGACACTAAATGTAAATCAAAGACCTCTAGGAATGAAAAGACACTAAAAGTTAATCAAATACGTCTGAAGTACAGGGTTCAATTCAAAGATTATTCTTATGGACTAGCTAGGCTGCGGAGGAAAGATAGGTACCTAATTTTAAGACAAACTTTTTATTGGTGGTCGGTTCGTGTTTCCAGCAAGTACCACGTGGTACTTCCTCTTCCGATGGGTATGTTCGAAACCAAAAAGTTCCACCTACAACCTGTTTCAGTGTGGCTTGAAAAGGGGTTCTGTAGCCCTCCCCCTGAAATGAAACTTGTAGAAACGTAATTCCCAATTGTTCTTAACCCCATAGTTGAGATAGCTCTCTTGTTGATACGATTTTCCTGTCCTCCCAAGTTGCATTCGTTGCTCCTTGTCAAATATCCATGGATAGTATGGAGCTGGCCAGATTGTTAGCCGATCCATCCAACGAGCTGAAAATGTTTCAGATTTTTAATATGAAAAGAGGCAAAAACACGATCTCAACTCAACTCAACTATAAATGACTCTCTGTCATTTATAAGCTCTGAACTCACCGAAACCAGCTGTCCTAAAAATGAGACAAAAACTGCACGATTGTTTGGGGAAAAGACTTGTCGCCGTTGATCCCGAATAAAAACGAATCCACCGTGATCTGGAAAAGAGTAAAATTGATCATTCAATTGATTACGTTGATCTTGTCAAGCAACGCATCGGGCTTTCCCGTGGACTCATGTATACGCGAAGTACAAGCACACAAATGTCTTCACTCACGTTCCACTATCAAGATGATGTGCCTCAAGTTTTGCGATTCCCGGATCCCCACCAGCGTATCCATCAAAAAGAGTGTCCACAGGACAAGTGATGTTTGGCTGAATAACTTGTTTTGAACTAAATTAAAAAAACATCTTTTTAACCCACAACAAACATTGGACATCCGACGTCCCATTCTGGTGACCAATAGAAATCTTGAGCGACGGGCTTCATGAAGCTATAGGGACCAGTTGCCCTAAAAAGATGTATTCAAAAATCGTCCAAAAACCAACGTATAATTTGATGGATTGGGCACCAAAGTGGCAACCGTATTGACGTCGATGAAAGCAAACAACCAATCATAGTTTGCACCACCTTCAGTCGCTCCACCGGGTATCACAAATACCTTGGATGAGTCTGAAATTGTGATCTTTTAGTTGATATTTTCATTTTTCAGTTCATCAAAAACAAACTTTCAACCCATTTCTCGACTCGAATCGAAACCGCATACAACGTCGTGCAAACGCCAATTTTTGGTCGAATGATCACTTCATCAACAGCTTCAAATACGTAATGAGAACGGCAGTAGTTAGCAAATGGCGCACGCCATTTTGCACCATATGCTCTGAAAATAGCCTGAATGTTGTGGCCGATCTTCTGAGGGCAAGGATGAAAGATGAATGATTTGATTTTTTATCAATCATTTCAATCATTTTTAAGTTGCCCACCGATTTTTGTCGTTCCCAGGGCGTTTATAAGTAAAGCACGCTTAATACCCCCTGCGCCGACGCTACCTTTCGTTCTCTCGGCTGTGGCGCATTTTTAAGGTGATGTCGTGATTTACCAAAAATTGTCAAAACTTTAGCCACGTTTTTCTCGTAAACCAGGGCCGATGGCGAAAAAATAAAAAATACTTGTCTCTTAGATTTCTTTTGTAGCTAGGCCCGGTTTCGAAAATCGGTGAGAAGTTGAAAGAGTTTCCTATTGAGATCAATTGTAATCATTAGTTATAATCATAATGTAATTGTAATTGTAAACATTGTAAATCTACAGTACACCGTCTGATTTTCAGGGTCTTCCAAAGATTCGTCGTTTACGGTGAATGGGATTGGTTGGGAGCAGATTGGATTTTGATTATCACATGGTGATTGGGTGAGATCGATCAAGAAATTCACATTGCCATCAGTGTTGCTGATGATCGTGACCTGAAAAGCTGTATGATCTAAAGGCAATAAAAGTTAAATGTCTTGTACCTCATTTTTGATGATTTGCTCTCCATGAATGGCGAAAGACGGTGTTTTTTCATCTAATGTGATATTTCTTACAGCTGCACTGAAAGTCAGAAGAACACTTGAAATCATTAAACATCTCGTTTCCCAGTTTGAGATCTTCATCTAGAATTTAGAATACAAAGCTATAGATCATCCTTAAACTGAGACAAAGGAAATGAAACCTTTACTATTCGAAAGCATCTCTATACCACAAAAAAAGCAAAAGCTTACAGATTTTTGGTGCCCCTTTTGATATTTTTGATAAAACATTCGGAAAAAAGACTTAAGTTTTGGCTTTCCGGGGTTTTTTTTGACGTTTTTCCAGCCACATAGTGATTAGTGACATGAAGCGCTATTTTCTCGAGGTTTTCAAAAGTATAAAAAAGAATTATTTTTTTTATTTATGGCGTCTCTTTTTTTCACGTTTCTTCACTTAAATAAAACATTCCACCCACATAATGATTAGGAGTGTGATCATCTCAAACAAATAATTATTTGAATCAATTTATCCAAATAAGGTTTTATTTGAATAACGCATCAATAAACGCCAAATAAGGCTCTTAAATGAAAATTGAAAAACTAAAATATTCGCATTCTTTTTTGCTTGGTTTTCGTAAAGGTTTCAACGCTAAAGAAAAAGTGAGGTTACGTGGAAATTTAGCTCGCTGACTTGAAACCAGATCCAAGCCGCCTCGCTCTTTGAGCTTCTTGATCAGTTTGGGTCTAAAGAGGGGCGATCGGTTTCCGTGGTTTGATTCTTCAAGCTCTTGAACGTCTAGGATTCCCTTGGCTGTTTCTGGCAAGACGTTGTGAACATTGAGATAAGGAGCTCTAAACGCAAACTATGTTATGATTACCAAAGCCAGCCTACTTGTCCCGTTGCATGTATGTGAGTGGCGAGCATAGAGCGGAGAGAATGTATACCACGGCGATCAGATAATCGGCTGCTTTCTTTTTATTTGAGGGTGAGAGCAGGTGCCTAAATCCCACACATGGAAAAAGGCTACATGCTTGCTTTTAATTCTAGTAAGTAGCTTTGGATAATCAGGCTCAAGCTCAAAAGCTTACTTGCTAATCGAAAAGCATCCCAGCGAGCTTCTAACGGTCTCGTCAAGTGTCTTCATCATGCTCGTCGACAATTGCATTCGTCCCGGCTGTGGGTCTCCTTGTAGGGGGCGATCCAGAACAGGCGTGTGGATCAAGTGGTGCCCTTTTAGTAATAGGACCTTCTCGAGGCACGACTTCAGGTTCTTCAATTTCCAACCATTTCCTCCAGCTCAATGTTTCACGACCTCATTGGGGAGCGGAAAGATTGGACGGGCCGGTTGAAGTTCGACAGTGGGCGCTTCCGGAAAGTTCTTCTCATTTTCGTAGACCTTCGGAATCTTGTAGTGGGCTCGGTTTGGAGAGGTTTCATGTGAAGTTGAGTGGAAGCGTGAACGAGAGAGACAAAAGACGACGAACGATCGCGGCGGTCCTCTGAGGAAGTTCTTGTTCGAGATCTTGGCGACGACGACCTCGAATTGTCTTGAGAAGACGGACCGAGCGAGAGCAGGACATACATCCTTTAAAGAAAGAAGTTTTTATAGGGCCTTGAAGATGGTACGTAGGAATGATTTGCTACATCCCAGAGGGTCCGTCAGCTAAATCTACCAAATCTTGTACGTGGCAAACCATTCGCGGTAAACCAAAAGCTTTGCGCCCAAAATAGAAGAGAAATGTTCTAGGAAGAACAAGAGGTTAAACAAAATAACGGCTTGTCATGAAGAAAAAAGTGAGGAAGATGAGGAAAGGATTGCCTTATATAGAGTGGCCCCGATGCGGAGCGTCGTGTTCTCTACGGTAGTCGTAGTGCATTTCAAAAGTCCCGTTAACGGGTATTTTTAAAAAAAACATTTGTAGACTCTGAACTTGTGAACTTTCTCAAGCTCACCCAGATCACGGTCCAAGGATAGGTAAAAGCTTTGCATTGTTTCAACCAAAAGAAACATTTCTTCAAATCATAAGATGGAACTGATTTTATAATGTTTTAACATTCGAAAAACTTTGACAAGATCGTTCTCTTGCAAATAGGAATTTGCGATACATAGTTGGGTCTTTCAAATGAACCTGAATGGGATTGGTGGCGAGCTGACCGGTTGTTGATATCACAAGACTAGTCCAAATCATTATGTGGGTGGAATGTTTTATTTTAGTGAAAAAACTCACACGCCAAAAATCAAAGAAAATAATTCTTTTCCATACTTTTGAAAACCGAAAATAGCGTTGCATGTCACTAATCACTATGTGGGTGGAAAAACGTCAAAGAAAACCCGGAAAGCCAAAACTTAAGTCTTTTTTCCAAATGTTTTATCAAAGATATTAAAAGGGCATCAAAAACCTGTAAGCTTTTGCTTTTTTTGTGGTATAAAGATGCTTTCGAATAGTAAAGGTTTCATTTCCTTTGTTTCAGTTTCAGGTTGATCTATAGCTATAGCTTTGTATTGTAAATTCTAGATGAAGATCTCAAACTGGGAAACGAGATGTTTAATGATTTCAAGTGTTCTTCTGACTTTCAGTGCAGCTGTAAGAAATATCACATTAGATGAAAAAACACCGTCTTTTGCCATTCATGGAGAGCAAATCATCAAAAATGAGGTACAAGACATTTAACTTTTATTGCCTTTAGATCATACAGCTTTTCAGGTCACGATCATCAGCAACACTGATGGCAATGTGAATTTCTTGATCGATCTCACCCAATCACCATGTGATAATCAAAATCCAATCTGCTCCCAACCAATCCCATTCACCGTAAACGACGAATCTTTGGAAGACCCTGAAAATCAGACGGTGTACTGTAGATTTACAATGTTTACAATTACAATTACATTATGATTATAACTAATGATTACAATTGACCTCAATAGGAAACTCTTTCAACTTCTCACTGATTTTCGAAACCGGGCCTAGCTACAAAGCGCCCCCCTAAGGATCTAAGAAACAAGTATTTCTTATTTTTTCCCCAGATTTACGAGCCCTGGTTTACGAGGAAGACGTGGCTAAAGTTTTGGCAACTTTTCGCAAACCCCGACCTCGCCTATAGGGGAACGCCACAGCCGAGAGGCCGTAAGGTAGCGGCGGTGTAGGGTATATTGCGCTAGACTCCAAAACCTAAACCATTTTTGCTCGTGGGTTCAATTCCGCATTCAATTCAAATTTCTCTTTTGGAGAAATTTCAAATGCTTTTGGAAAACTTCCGAAAAACACTTCTTTATGATTATTCTAGTGTTTTTAAAACATTAATTAGTTATTTATTAAAGTTTTTCCATAGCTTTTCAACACATTTACGGTCGCTTTACTTATAAACGTCTTGGGAACGACAAAAATAAATGGGCAACTTGTCACTGTCAAGGATGATAATTTCCCCTGTAATGGGGATAAAAAATCAAATCATTCATCTTTCATCCTTGCCCTCAGAAGATCGGCCACAACATTCAGGCTATTTTCAGAGCATATGGTGCAAAATGGCGTGCGCCATTTGCTAACTACTGTCGTTCTCATTACGTAGTTGAAGCTGTTGATGAAGTGATCATTCGACCAAAAATTGGCGTTTGCACGACGTTGTATGCGGTTTCGATTCGAGTCGAGAAATGGGTTGAAAGTTTGTTTTTGATGAACTGAAAAATGAAAATATCAACTAAAAGATCACAATTTCAGACTCATCCAAAGTATTTGTGATACCCGGTGGAGCGACTGAAGGTGGTGCAAACTATGATTGGTTGTTTGCTTTCATCGACGTCAATACGGTTGCCACTTTGGTGCCCAATCCATCAAATTATACGTTGGTTTTTGGACGATTTTTGAATACATCTTTTTAGGGCAACTGGTCCCTATAGCTTCATGAAGCCCGTCGCTCAAGATTTCTATTGGTCACCAGAATGGGACGTCGGATGTCCAATGTTTGTTGTGGGTTAAAAAGATGTTTTTTTAATTTAGTTCAAAACAAGTTATTCAGCCAAACATCACTTGTCCTGTGGACACTCTTTTTGATGGATACGCTGGTGGGGATCCGGGAATCGCAAAACTTGAGGCACATCATCTTGATAGTGGAACGTGAGTGAAGACATTTGTGTGCTTGTACTTCGCGTATACATGAGTCCACGGGAAAGCCCGATGCGTTGCTTGACAAGATCAACGTAATCAATTGAATGATCAATTTTACTCTTTTCCAGATCACGGTGGATTCGTTTTTATTCGGGATCAACGGCGACAAGTCTTTTCCCCAAACAATCGTGCAGTTTTTGTCTCATTTTTAGGACAGCTGGTTTCGGTGAGTTCAGAGCTTATAAATGACAGAGAGTCATTTATAGTTGAGTTGAGTTGAGATCGTGTTTTTGCCTCTTTTCATATTAAAAATCTGAAACATTTTCAGCTCGTTGGATGGATCGGCTAACAATCTGGCCAGCTCCATACTATCCATGGATATTTGACAAGGAGCAACGAATGCAACTTGGGAGGACAGGAAAATCGTATCAACAAGAGAGCTATCTCAACTATGGGGTTAAGAACAATTGGGAATTACGTTTCTACAAGTTTCATTTCAGGGGGAGGGCTACAGAACCCCTTTTCAAGCCACACTGAAACAGGTTGTAGGTGGAACTTTTTGGTTTCGAACATACCCATCGGAAGAGGAAGTACCACGTGGTACTTGCTGGAAACACGAACCGACCACCAATAAAAAGTTTGTCTTAAAATTAGGTACCTATCTTTCCTCCGCAGCCTAGCTAGTCCATAAGAATAATCTTTGAATTGAACCCTGTACTTCAGACGTATTTGATTAACTTTTAGTGTCTTTTCATTCCTAGAGGTCTTTGATTTACATTTAGTGTCTTTTAAGGCTCATTTTCTTTCAATTGTTGTTAATTTAGTCTTTAACTCCTTTGTTTTAGAGAGAACTTTCTATTCGTCGAGGTTTCGAATCGACAATCAAACAGCGCTCAATTTGCACCAGAAATTGACCTACACTCCAAATATCTACCTCAATTATTTCGGGCTCTCGATTCGAGTCGAAAAATGGTCTGATGGTTGGGATTTTGAAATGAAAACAGTTTTTTTTAAAGAATCTGAGTTTTGTTTTAGTTACGAGGGGAAGTGTTGGTGATTCCTGGTTGGGTTAACGGTGGCCCACCCAAAACTCTCTATCTTGTCGTGAAGGAGAATGTCACACCAATAGTGATCGTTTCGCCGGCCACCTATGTTAGGTTTGTGCATTTCAAAAGATTTAAATAAACATTTGGTAGTCAATTTTAAACACTTGGTAACTATTTAACTAAAAGAAGAACCCTTAACTTTAATTTAGCAATGGGGTGGGTGGGTTTGCCCCGTTTTCATTGTTGAAACCGATTGGAAAGGATTTCATTGTGGATCCAGAAAATGTCAACTGTGAACTCTTCAAGGTTGTTTATCAACAAGAAATTAAAGAATAAGACAACTCAAATTTCAGTCTGATCTCACTTGTCCATCAAGCACCCAATATTCAAGTTTCGCCGGGGGTGATCCCGGGAAAACAGAAAATGAGTATTTTCTTGCTGATGGAATGTTAGTTTGTTTGATTCATGAATTTAACTGTCATGTCTATTTCTTTCAAGAAATCTTTTAGCTCTGATGAATTGAAGATTCAAACAAGAGGCTCGGTCACTAGCTTGTTCACAAAAGAGAAATGCAGCTTTTGTCTTCAATTTGATACAAGAAATGCGGGTAAGTGAAAAGAAAGCAAGACAATTTATTGACAATTCGGCTCTTTGGTTTTTCAAGTAGGCCGAGCTTGAAGCCCTATAAATTTCTTCAGAAAAATCGAACATTTGATTCGGTTGTTTGATTGAATCGAACATTTGATTCGAAAATTCAGAGCTGCATATCAATCGCTTCTCTACTTGGATGTCGCCCTATCAACCATGGCCAATTGATCACATCGAACAAGTTCAACAGGCATCTAAATGTCATGAAATAAAAGCAGACACAAAAAATTATGTGAGAGTTTCAAATCGAATGCTAGAAATATGCCCTTGTTTAGCCATCAGATCTCAAACCAAATTTGACAATGGAATTTCAAAGGTTTAAAGGTGGAAACCTGACAGTTCGAGGATTTTTGTCAGCGAATAACTCGAATTGCTCGAATAGTTGGAACAATAAACCAAATTTTGAGAAAAAGTAGTACAACCCCTGGGTTTTCTTTTTGCAACAAATTTTCAGCTTTACAACAATGCCAGAAAAAGGTGAAAAGTCTTCTTTTGAGGCCACTTGTGTACAAGTAAGAGATTCGGTGTTACTAAACAGTTTTACAGAATGATTTAAGGCAATTTGGTGCCCTGAAAAGCCGGTTCCTGATGTTTATGGATATCAAATGACGATACGAGAAGATTATTTGAAAACGTTGGAAACGACGACAACACAAACAACAATATTGCCTACTACATCCACAATACCAACCTCGACCACTATAACCACAACACCACGAACTACAACACCAACAATGACATCAACAGTCATTAGCACCACCGCCACTTCAACTCCAATAACTACAAATCGAATAACTACAACACCAGCCACTTCAACTCCAGCCACTTCAACTCCAGCCACTTCAACTCCAGCCACTTCAACTCCAATAACTCCAACTCCAGCCACTTCAACTCCAATAACTACAACACCAGCCACTTCAACTCCAATAACTACAACTCCAGCCACTTCAACTCCAATAACTTCAACTCCAGCCACTTCAACTCCAGTCACTTCGACTACAATAATTACAACTCCAACCACTTCAACTCCAATAACTACAACTCCAGTCACTTCAACTCCAATAACTACAACACCAGCCACTTCAACTCCAATAACTACAACTCCAGCCACTTCAACTCCAATAACTACAACTCCAGTCACTTCAACTCCAGCCACTTCAACTGCAGCCACTTCAACTCCAGCCACTTCAACTCCCATAACTACACCTCCAGGCACTTCAACTCCAATAACTACAACACCAGCCACTTCAACTCCAATAACTACAAGTCCAGCCACTTCAACTCCAGCCACTTCAACTCCAGTCACTTCGACTCCAATAACTACAACACCAGCCACTTCGACTCCGATAACTACAACTCCAGCCACTTCAACTCCAATAACTACAACTCCAACAACTACAACACCGGGCACCACAACTCCAACAACTACAACACCAGTCACTTCAACTCCAGCCACTTCAACTCCAGGCACTTCAACTCCAATAACCACAGCGCCAGCCACTTCAACTCCAGGCACTTCAACTCCAATAACTACAACTCCAATAACTACAACACCAGCCACTTCAACTCCAGCCACTTGAACTCCAATAACTACAACACCAGCCACTTCGACTCCGATAACTACAACTCCAGCCACTTCAACTCCAATAACTACAACTCCAACAACTACAACACCGGGCACCACAACTCCAACAACTACAACACCAGTCACTTCAACTCCAGCCACTTCAACTCCAGGCACTTCAACTCCAATAACTACAACACCAGCCACTTCAACTCCAGTCACTTCAACTCCAGCCACTTCAACTCCAGTCACTTCAACTCCAATAACTACAACCTCAGCCACTTCAACTCCAACAACTACAACTCCAACAACTACAACACCAGCCACCACCACTCCAACAACTACAACACCAGCCACCACAACTCCAACAACTACAACACCAGCCACCACAACTCCAAGAACTACAACTCCAACAACTACAGCACCAGCCACCACCACTCCAACAACTACAACACCAGCCACCACAACTCCAACAACTACAACACCAGCCACCACAACTCCAACAACGACAACTCCAACAACTACAACACCAGCCACCACAACTCCAAGAACTACAACACCATCCACCACCACTCCAACAACGACAGCTCCAAGAACTACAACACCAGCCACCACAACTCCAGCAATTACAACACAAGCCACCACAACTCCAACAACTACAGCTCCAAGAATTACAACTCCAAGAACTACAACTCCAACAACTACAACACCAGCGACCACAACTCCAACAACTACAACTCCAACAACTACAACCACAACACCAGCCACCACAACTCCAACAACTACAACTCCAACAACTACAACACCAGCGACCACAACTCCAACAACTACAACTCCAACAACTACAACCACAACACCAGCCACCACCACTCCAACAACTACAACACCAGCCACCACAACTCCAACAACTACAACACCAGCCACCACAACTCCAACAACTACAACTCCAACAACTACAACACCAGCCACCACCACTCCAACAACTACAACACCAGCCACCACAACTCCAACAACTACAACACCAGCCACCACAACTCCAACAACTACAGCTCCAAGAACTACAACTCCAACAACTACAACTCCAACAACTACAACACCAGCCACCACCACTCCAACAACGACAGCTCCAAGAACTACAACATCAGCCACCACTACTCCAACAACTACAACACCAGCCACCACAACTCCAACAACTACAACTCCAACAACTACAACTACAACACCAGCCACCACAACTCAAAGAATTACAACTCCAACAACTACGACTCCAACAACTACAGCTCCAACAACTACAACACCAGCCACCACCACTCCAACAACGACAGCTCCAAGAACTACAACATCAGCCACCACAACTCCAACAACTATAACACCAGCCACCACAACTCCAACAACTACAACTCCAACAACTACAACTACAACACCGGCCACCGCAACTCAAAGAATTACAACTCCAACAGGTACAACACCGGGCCCCACAACTCCAACAACTACAACACCAGCGACCACAACTCCAACAACTACAACACCATCCACCACCACTCCAACAACGACAGCTCCAAGAACTACAACTCCAACAACTACAACATCAGCCACCACAACTCCAACAACTACAACACCGGCCACCACAACTCCAACAACTACAACTCCAACAACTACAACCACAACACCAGCCACCACAACTCCAACAACTACAACTCCAACAACTACAACACCAGCCACCACCACTCCAACAACTACAACACCAGCCACCACAACTCCAACAACTACAACACCAGCGACCACAACTCCAACAACTACAACACCAGCCACCACCACTCCAACAACTACAACATCAGCCACCACAACTCCAACAACTACAACACCAGCCACCACAACTCCAACAACTACAACACCGGCCACCACAACTCCAACAACTACAACACCAGCTACCACGACTCCAACAACTACAACACCGGCCACCACAACTCCAACAACTACAACTCCAACAACTACAACCACAACACCAGCCACCACAACTCCAACAACTACAACACCGGCCACCACAACTCCAAGAACTACAACTCCAACAACTACAACACCAGCGACCACAACTCCAACAACTACAACTCCAACAACTACAGCACCAGCCACCACCACTCCAACAACTACAACACCAGCCACCACAACTCCAACAACTACAACACCAGCCACCACAACTCCAACAACTACAACACCGGCCACCACAACTCCAACAACTACAACTCCAACAACTACAACCACAACACCAGCCACCACAACTCCAACAACTACAGCACCGGCCACCACAACTCCAAGAACTACAACTCCAACAACTACAACACCAGCGACCACAACTCCAACAACTACAACTCCAACAACTACAGTACCAGCCACCACCACTCCAACAACTACAACACCAGCCACCACAACTCCAACAACTACAGCTCCAAGAACTACAACTCCAACAACTACAACTCCAACAACTACAACACCAGCCACCACCACTCCAACAACGACAGCTCCAAGAACTACAACATCAGCCACCACTACTCCAACAACTACAACACCAGCCACCACAACTCCAACAACTACAACTCCAACAACTACAACTACAACACCAGCCACCACAACTCAAAGAATTACAACTCCAACAGGTACAACACCGGGCCCCACAACTCCAACAACTACAACACCAGCGACCACAACTCCAACAACTACAACACCATCCACCACCACTCCAACAACGACAGCTCCAAGAACTACAACTCCAACAACTACAACATCAGCCACCACAACTCCAACAACTACAACACCAGCCACCACAACTCCAACAACTACAACACCGGCCACCACAACTCCAACAACTACAACACCAGCCACCACGACTCCAACAACTACAACACCGGCCACCACAACTCCAACAACTACAACTCCAACAACTACAACCACAACACCAGCCACCACAACTCCAACAACTACAACACCGGCCACCACAACTCCAAGAACTACAACTCCAACAACTACAACACCAGCGACCACAACTCCAACAACTACAACTCCAACAACTACAGCACCAGCCACCACCACTCCAACAACTACAACACCAGCCACCACAACTCCAACAACTACAACACCAGCCACCACAACTCCAACAACGACAGCTCCAAGAACTACAACACCAGCCACCACCACTCCAACAACGACAGCTCCAAGAACTACAACATCAGCCACCACTACTCCAACAACTACAACACCAGCCACCACAACTCCAACAACTACAACTCCAACAACTACAACTACAACACCAGCCACCACAACTCAAAGAATTACAACTCCAACAGGTACAACACCGGGCCCCACAACTCCAACAACTACAACACCAGCGACCACAACTCCAACAACTACAACACCATCCACCACCACTCCAACAACGACAGCTCCAAGAACTACAACTCCAACAACTACAACATCAGCCACCACAACTCCAACAACTACAACACCAGCCACCACAACTCCAACAACTACAACACCGGCCACCACAACTCCAACAACTACAACACCAGCCACCACGACTCCAACAACTACAACACCGGCCACCACAACTCCAACAACTACAACTCCAACAACTACAACCACAACACCAGCCACCACAACTCCAACAACTACAACACCGGCCACCACAACTCCAAGAACTACAACTCCAACAACTACAACACCAGCGACCACAACTCCAACAACTACAACTCCAACAACTACAGCACCAGCCACCACCACTCCAACAACTACAACACCAGCCACCACAACTCCAACAACTACAACACCAGCCACCACAACTCAAAGAATTACAACTCCAAATACTACGACTCCAACAACTACAGCTCCAACAACTACAACACCAGCCACCACCACTCCAACAACGACAGCTCCAAGAACTACAACATCAGCCACCACAACTCCAACAACTACAACTCCAACAACTACAACTACAACACCAGCCACCACAACTCAAAGAATTACAACTCCAACAGGTACAACACCGGGCCCCACAACTCCAACAACTACAACACCAGCGACCACAACTCCAACAACTACAACACCATCCACCACCACTCCAACAACGACAGCTCCAAGAACCACAACTCCAACAACTACAACATCAGCCACCACAACTCCAACAACTACAACACCAGCCACCACAACTCCAACAACTACAACACCGGCCACCACAACTCCAACAACTACAACACCAGCCACCACGACTCCAACAACTACAACACCGGCCACCACAACTCCAACAACTACAACTCCAACAACTACAACCACAACACCAGCCACCACAACTCCAACAACTACAACACCGGCCACCACAACTCCAAGAACTACAACTCCAACTCCAACAACTACAGCTCCAACAACTACAACACCAGCCACCACAACTCCAACAACGACAGCTCCAAGAACTACAACATCAGCCACCACTACTCCAACAACTACAACACCAGCCACCACAACTCCAACAACTACAACTCCAACAACTACAACTACAACACCAGCCACCACAACTCCAACAACGACAGCTCCAAGAACTACAACATCAGCCACCACTACTCCAACAACTACAACACCAGCCACCACAACTCCAACAACGACAGCTCCAAGAACTACAACATCAGCCACCACTACTCCAACAACTACAACACCAGCCACCACAACTCCAACAACTACAACTCCAACAACTACAACACCAGCCACCACCACTCCAACAACTACAACACCAGCCACCACCACTCCAACAACGACAGCACCAGCCACCACAACTCCAACAACTACAACACCAGCCACCACAACTCCAACAACTACAACACCGGCCACCACAACTCCAACAACTACAACACCAGCCACCACGACTCCAACAACTACAACACCGGCCACCACAACTCCAACAACTACAACACCGGCCACCACAACTCCAAGAACTACAACTCCAACAACTACAACACCAGCGACCACAACTCCAACAACTACAACTCCAACAACTACAGCACCAGCCACCACCACTCCAACAACTACAACTCCAACAACTACAACTACAACACCAGCCACCACAACTCAAAGAATTACAACTCCAACAGGTACAACACCGGGCCCCACAACTCCAACAACTACAACACCAGCGACCACAACTCCAACAACTACAACACCATCCACCACCACTCCAACAACGACAGCTCCAAGAACTACAACTCCAACAACTACAACATCAGCCACCACAACTCCAACAACTACAACACCAGCCACCACAACTCCAACAACTACAACTCCAACAACTACAACACCAGCCACCACCACTCCAACAACTACAACACCAGCCACCACAACTCAAAGAATTACAACTCCAACAGGTACAACACCGGGCCCCACAACTCCAACAACTACAACACCAGCGACCACAACTCCAACAACTACAACACCAGCGACCACAACTCCAACAACTACAACACCAGCCACCACCACTCCAACAACGACAGCTCCAAGAATTACAACTCCAAGAACTACAACTCCAACAACTACAACACCAGCGACCACAACTCCAACAACTACAACTCCAACAACTACAACCACAACACCAGCCACCACAACTCCAACAACTACAACTCCAACAACTACAACACCAGCCACCACCACTCCAACAACTACAACACCAGCCACCACAACTCCAACAACTACAACACCAGCCACCACAACTCCAACAACTACAACACCAGCGACCACAACTCCAACAACTACAACACCAGCCACCACCACTCCAACAACGACAGCACCAGCCACCACAACTCCAACAACTACAACACCAGCCACCACAACTCCAACAACTACAGCTCCAAGAACTACAACTCCAACAACTACAACTCCAACAACTACAACACCAGCCACCACCACTCCAACAACGACAGCTCCAAGAACTACAACATCAGCCACCACTACTCCAACAACTACAACACCAGCCACCACAACTCCAACAACTACAGCTCCAAGAACTACAACTCCAACAACTACAACTCCAACAACTACAACACCATCCACCACCACTCCAACAACGACAGCTCCAAGAACTACAACTCCAACAACTACAACATCAGCCACCACAACTCCAACAACTACAACACCGGCCACCACAACTCCAACAACTACAACTCCAACAACTACAACCACAACACCAGCCACCACAACTCCAACAACTACAACTCCAACAACTACAACACCAGCCACCACCACTCCAACAACTACAACACCAGCCACCACAACTCCAACAACTACAACACCAGCCACCACAACTGCAACAACTACAACACCAGCGACCACAACTCCAACAACTACAACACCAGCCACCACCACTCCAACAACGACAGCTCCAAGAACTACAACTCCAACAACTACAACATCAGCCACCACAACTCCAACAACTACAACACCAGCCACCACAACTCCAACAACTACAACACCGGCCACCACAACTCCAACAACTACAACTCCAACAACTACAACCACAACACCAGCCACCACAACTCCAACAACTACAACTCCAACAACTACAACCACAACACCAGCCACCACAACTCCAACAACTACAACACCGGCCACCACAACTCCAAGAACTACAACTCCAACAACTACAACACCAGCGACCACAACTCCAACAACTACAACTCCAACAACTACAGCACCAGCCACCACCACTCCAACAACTACAACACCAGCCACCACAACTCCAACAACTACAACACCAGCCACCACAACTCCAACAACTACAACACCGGCCACCACAACTCCAACAACTACAACTCCAACAACTACAACCAGAACACCAGCCACCACAACTCCAACAACTACAGCACCGGCCACCACAACTCCAAGAACTACAACTCCAACAACTACAACACCAGCGACCACAACTCCAACAACTACAACTCCAACAACTACAGCACCAGCCACCACCACTCCAACAACTACAACACCAGCCACCACAACTCCAACAACTACAACACCAGCCACCACAACTCCAACAACTACAGCTCCAAGAACTACAACTCCAACAACTACAACTCCAACAACTACAACACCAGCCACCACCACTCCAACAACGACAGCTCCAAGAACTACAACATCAGCCACCACTACTCCAACAACTACAACACCAGCCACCACAACTCCAACAACTACAACTCCAACAACTACAACTACAACACCAGCCACCACATCTCAAAGAATTACAACTCCAACAACTACGACTCCAACAACTACAGCTCCAACAACTACAACACCAGCCACCACCACTCCAACAACGACAGCTCCAAGAACTACAACACCAGCCACCACAACTCCAACAACTACAACTCCAACAACTACAACTACAACACCAGCCACCACAACTCAAAGAATTACAACTCCAACAGGTACAACACCGGGCCCCACAACTCCAACAACTACAACACCAGCGACCACAACTCCAACAACTACAACACCAGCGACCACAACTCCAACAACTACAACACCAGCCACCACCACTCCAACAACGACAGCTCCAAGAACTACAACTCCAACAACTACAACATCAGCCACCACAACTCCAACAACTACAACACCAGCCACCACAACTCCAACAACTACAACTCCAAGAACTACAACTACAACACCAGCCACCACAACTCCAAGAACTACAACTCCAACAACTACGACTCCAACAACTACAGCTCCAAGAACTACAACTCCAACAACTACAACCCCAACAACTATAACTCCAACAACTACAACACCGGCCACCACAACTCCAACAACTACAACACCAGCCACCACAACTCCAAGAACTACAACTCCAACAACTACGACTCCAAGAATTAGAACCCCAGCCACTACAACACTAGCCACCACAACACCAGTCACTACAACGCCAGTAACTACAACACCAATAACTACGATACCAGCCACTACAACTCCAATAACGACAACACCAGCACCTACAGCACGAACAACTACACCACGATCAACCACAACACCACCAACTACAACTATGGTAATAATCACAGCAACAGAAACTTCATCTACTGAGGGACAGACTGCTAGATTGGAAGATACAACTAATGCTCAAACAACAGCTCCGGTGTCAACTTCTGATTCTTCAGCGACTGCTGAGTCTGGAACATCGACCGATGTCACGCGAATTTCAACGGCCGTGTCTGAAGTTACTTCAAGTGCAACTGAAATTATTATAACAGCTTCAACCACAGTTGAATCAACTACTGCTTTGACAAGTGAAGTAACTGAAGCTAGAACTAGAACGTCGGAACAAACCACAACCGGATCTGTAACAACAGAATTGACCACTTCAGTAGCTGGGGGAATTACCAATGCAGCCGAAACTGCAAGTCCAACTACGGCTAGAATGAACTCTGCAGGTCCGACAACTGGAGCAGCAACATTGGAAATTTCAACGACAGAGATGGGAACTTTAGGATCAACATCTGAACTCACAACTGAGGTTACAACGGCAGGTATGGCATCTACGGGTACAACAGCGGGTGCTACCACGGAAGCTGTTACAACGGAAAACTCAAGTTCCACAGCTGGCCTGACATCTGCAGATACAACAACAGAAGCTTCTACTGAACGAACAACTGTTACGACTTCAACTGCTAATCCAAGCACAATAGCGGCTAGTCTTACAACAACGATGCGAGCAACAAGTACCGGAGTTGAGACAACAACGGCTGGTTCCTCTACAATGTCAACATCATCAATTACGACGGAAACAACAACACAAGAAAGTACAACTGATGTGACTACAACTGCAACGGCTGGTGAAATAACGAAAATATTGACGACAACAACTGAACAAACAACGACAACAGGCTCACTAACAACCACTGCAATGGCCACAACTGGAACGATAACAACAGGAAGTCCAAATGAAGTCTCAGGAACAAACCCTTTGACCACAGCATTGAGCTCAACTGCAGAGGCAACGACGATGAAGTTGACTACAACAACCCAACTTGCGAGTACGACGGTGGAGACGACAGAATCAACCACCTTGAGGACGACCGAGCTATCCACTACAACCGGAACAACAACTGAAGGCACAACAACAGAGAGCATGACATCTACAAGTGAAACTTCAGTTACTGGTATGTCTACTACAGCTTCGCGGTTGACTACCACAACCGATCTTCCAGCTACAACAACTGATGTGCCAACAACAAGTAGAACAACCACTGAAGACACAACCTCTACAAGTGAATCTACGACAACTGATTTTACGACTACAACAATCGCTGCAACTACTACAACCGAAATACCCACAACAATAAAATCCATAACATCTACGAGTGAATCTACTACTGTCTTTTCTACTACAACTGAACCTTTGTCTACCACAATCGACCATACGACTACAACAATAGAGCTTGCAACCACAAGCTTTACCACTACAACGGATTCTCCTACTACGACAACCGAAATGCCAACAACAACGACAGAAGTTACAACACCTACAAGTGAACCCACAACTACTGTGCTTTCTACTACAGCTAAGCCTTTGTCGACCACAATCGACCTTACGACTACAACAACAGAGCTTTCCACCACAAGCCCTTCCTCTACAACCGATGCTCCAAGTACGACAAAGGAAGTATCAACAAAAACGACAGAAGTTACAAGATCTACAAGTGAATCTACAACTACTGTGCTTTCTACTACAGCTGAGCCGTTGACCACCACAACCACGCCTCCAACTACAACAACAGAGCCTGCAGCCACAGGTCTTACCAGTACAACGAATTCTCCCACTATGGCAACCGAAATGCCAACAATAATCGATGCAACATCTACAAGTGCAGCTACAACTACTGAGCCTTCTACCACAACTGATTCTCCAACTCCGATAACGGAAGTGTCAACAACAAGTACAACAACAGAAATCGCAACCTCGACCCCGGGGTCCACAACGACAACGGAAGAGCCTGCAACAATTACGGCAGAAACGACTACTGAAGCAACAGCGACAGACAAACCGAAAAACATCTTTTCACACTATAAATGGGCATGGATCGGTTCTGGGATTGCGTTGAGTGTTGGAATTGGAATGATTTTGATCCTTTTCTTGGTTCGAGTCTGGTAATTTGATTACAGTTTTTGGTGAAATGAAATGAATTCCAGCCGACGTTTACCCACTGTTTCATCTGCTTTCAATCGCAATCTAAACATGAACACAGATGATATGGAACGGGTAGTAGCTAATAGACTTTTTCAATATGCAATTGTGAAAAGTTTAGGCACGGCACAGAAGGTCGCAAATCAGTGTTGAGAACTGGACCTGAAACTTGACCTATTGAATTTTAGCCATTACCCCATCATCATTTTTAAAAGAACTTTATCAATGTCATTGTTTTTTTGCATTTTCTTGTTTAATCTTTGGCCTTTACTGAACTCTTTTTGAAACATTTGATAAAGTATTTATTTACATCAAACGAATAAATTATTAAAAACCTGATTAAAAAAATAAACAATTACACTCTGTCAAAGATTATAGACGCACCCTGTTTTTTGCTAGTTTAGAGCCGGATATAAGTGCTAGCCCAGTGAAAAGTATTTTTTAGTTTCTTTAATGTAAAAAAACAACCCATGCAAAATTTCAAGTCATTTCACTCATCGAAAGTATTTTATCGTACAAAAAACGTTTTATCAGCTGTCAAAAAATTATAGACGCAACTTAAATTTGATGATTTATTCTATCGATAATTGTTAATTTTTTTCTCATTTTTTTGCTTATTATTGGGTTGTCCAGCTATGAATGCTCGTTTTTACTATTTTGTAAATTTCTCAAGATATCGAACAGATGTATATGAGTGTTATATATCATTCGAAAGCTGAAGATCTCCTCTACATTTTGGCATAAAAGTTTTTGAATTCATTCAACTTTTTGGGAAATTGACTGCACAAAGGGAGAGGTCGTTTTCGAAAAAACCCATTCCAGCTTAGCTATTCCTCAAGTTTTATGGTGTAAAATAACCGCCCAGAAAAGAAAAGTAAAGGTGCTCTGAAATTGTTATATTTTTTTAAAAGTTGTATTGATATATCTATTGGCTAAACAGCAAACGGTTCACTCAATTTGAGCGGAGCCAAAACTTGATCCAAAGGCACCCTTCCATTTTTTGGCCACCTCTTCTTTTGTGCAGTCAATTTGCCTAAAAGCTGAACAAATTCAAAAACTTTTTATATCAAAATGTAGAAGAGATCTTCAGCTTTCGAATAATACTCATATATATCTCGATTTCGGTATCTTGAGAAATTTCTAAAATAGTAAAAGACGCGGATTCATAACTGGACAACCCAATAGTTATGTTTATAAAAGTTTTTACATTTTCAGATATGCCACTTGGAAAACAACTGGATGTGGTGGAAAAAACGCGTACCGATGTGCTCCACACGCTTGGTCACTCAAACAGGGACATTGCTCGTCGCATCGGACGTTTTGAGAAGTGTATTCGCACGTATCTCAAGACCAGAGTGACTCCTAAGAAGAAAGAAACACGGGGCCGGAAGAAAAAGTTGACCGACCAAGACGAACGCGCAATTACGAGACGTCTTTCCAACACGACGACATCACTCGAAGAGGTTCGCAAGGAGATAAAGCTTCCGGTCACTCGCCAAACCGTGCACAACCTTGTCAAACTATCTACAATATTCAAATACAAACTCATGAAGCCAGCTCCACGACTTACCAAGGACCATAAAGCCGCCCGCATCAATTTCGCTCAAAAGAACCAGAAGACCAAATGGGAGAGAGTTGGTTTACTAGTATCTCTTATATATTTTATGTTTAGATCATTTGGAGTGACGAAAAGAAGTACAACCTTGATGGTGCTGATGGTTTTCGAGGATATTGGAAGGATTCACGAAAGCCGGGCATGGTCTTCAGCACGAGGAACTTTGGAGGTGGATCATGTATGGTATGGGGAGCCTTTCGAGACGGTGAACTGGTCGGCTTAGAGTTTATTTCGACCCGGATGACGCTTGACTATCAACAAGTGATGGACAAACATCTAGCCGTCTATCTGAACAACAATCCGGGCAATAACTTTACTTTTCTGCACGATAACGCGAGTATTCATGCAAGTTGCTTCACAAGAGATTGGCTGACAGCGCACAAAATCGGCACTGTCGCTTGGCCCGCTTGCAGCCCAGAATTGAACCCGATTGAGAATGTGTGGGGGACACTCGTTCGAGATCTCTACAAGGGAAACAAGCAATATTCGAGCGTGAATGAACTCAATAAAACCATTCAAGTAGCCTGGAATCGGCTTCAGCCAACAGCGCTCCATGACCTCGTCTCTTCGATGCCGAGAGGTCTTTTTGAAGTTGGACTAAAGCAAGGAGGGGCCACACATTATTAATTTATTTGGTTTGTGTTGTTATTTTTATTTCTGTTAACTTTTTCTTGATAAAATAAAAGGGCGTCTATAATTTTTTGACAGCTGATAAAACGTTTTTTGTACGATAAAATACTTTCGATGAGTGAAAAGACTTGAAATTTTGCATGGCTTGTTTTTTTACATTAAAGAAACTAAAAAATACTTTTCACTGGACTAGCCCTTATATCCGGCTCTAAACTAGCAAAAAACAGGGTGCGTCTATAATTTTTTGACAGAGTGTATAATTCAGCAAATCGAAGTGGGCTTATTTGTAGTCCAGAGAAGCTTAAATCATCCGAATCGATTGGAATCAAAGTTTCTACTCCATCACATCCAATTGGTCTCAAGATTTTGGTTAGAGTTTCGACAATTTCGGGTCCAAAGTGGCCTTCGTTGGGTAACTAAACACAATTTTTATAAACTCTTTGAAAAATCTCCCATCATTCAGGGATTTCATTGGTCGATAACATTCTTTGAGAGTTGGTCGCTGATCCGGAAGCACCTTTGCACATCCGAATTTGTTTTTTTTTCTGAAATTTCAGGAAGCAATCTACCGAGCTATCAAATTCTTCAAAATCTCTGCAACACATTGAAGTAGCTAATAGACTTTTTCCATATTAAATTGTGAAAAGTTTAGGTACGGCAGAGAAGGCCGCAAATCAGTGTTGATAATTGGATCTGAAAATTGTCCTATTGAATATTAGCCATTACCACATCATCATTTTTAAAAGAACTTTATCATTGTCATTGTTTTTTGCATCTTCTTGCTTAATCTTTGGCCTTTACTGAACTCTTTTTGAAACATTTGATAAAGTATTTATTTACATCAAACGAATAAATTATTAAAACCCTGATTAAAAAAATAAACAATTATAATTCAGCAAATCGAAGTGGGCTTATTTGTAGTCCAGAGAAGCTTAAATCATTTGAATCGACTGGAATCAGATTTTCTGTTCCATCACATCCAATTGGTCTCAAGATTTTGGTTAGAGTTTCGACAATTTCGGGTTCAAAGTGGCCTTCGTTGGGTAACTAAACACAATTTTTATAAACTCCTTGAAAAATCTCACATCACTCAGGATTTTCATTGTTTAATAACATTCTTTGAGAGTTGGTCGCTGATCCGGAAGGGCCTTTGCACATCTGAATTTGTTTCTTTTTCTCAAATCTCAGAAAGCAATCTACCGAGCTATCAAATTCTTCAAAGTCTCTGCATTACATTGAACTTGCTCTAATTCATAAAGACCATTCCAGAAATCGTAGAAGAAAGTGACGTGATCAAAGCTTTTCGGACCGAATTCAGAGTGAACCAATCTAAACGAGCTCGTATTTTAAAAACAAGCCTCTTTGAACCTTCTCTCAACGATTTCCCATAAAACCAATCCAGCCGAATACACATCGATTTGAGCAGTTGGCTTCTAGACTCATCTCATTGAAAATTAGTTATTAGAACCAAACTTGACGTGGCCCTCTTGGCGGATATCCATAAACTTCAGGGCTCATATATCGATACGTTCCAACACAAGAAACTAATGATGTTGAAGTTTCCATATCCCGTACAAAACCGAAATCTGTCAACTTCAAGACGAAGTTTTGCTTGACCAAAACACTAAAAATTTCATTTGCTTGATAGTTCATTTAACCAACTTTTCTGGTTTAACATCTCGATGTAACAGGGCGGCTCTTTGAAGACAAAGAAGTGCATCGAATAGCTGTTCACCCCAACAAAACACCGTTTTCATCGAATAAACGATTGTTGGATCATTTAAGACTGAAACTTTCGATTTTAGTGTTATTAGTTTGTTCATAACTATTTGTTTGTATGCAAGTGAAACGAAGGAGACTCTTCTCTTTTTAAATTCACTTTTATCTACTATACCAGCAGCAAAAAAAAAAAGCAAAAAAAAAAATTTTTGGAGCAAAAAGCAAAAGAGCGCACAACTACATAGCATTCCAAGTCAAACTAACTATAAGTTATTTGATCCACTGGGTGCAAAGGAGTAGTGCACACAGACAGACAGACTTACACAGCTCTTTTATATATGTTACGTTCGATCTATTAGGTTGGCAACTAAATAATGGCCCTCGCCCTTTTTTGATAAAATCTTTTAATCTTTGCGTTTAATCTACCCTCGCTTGTTGTTAATTGAATATTACTGAATTTCTGGTGCATTATTATACGTTTTTTACTTTCCTTGATTTGATACTTTTCAAATAATTTTGTTTAGAAATGGAAGATCTCAAATATCGAATGCGTGTCTGTCTCTGGTACGACTACAAACAAGACAAAACAGCTGCCGAATCCCACAGAGATTTATTGCGAGTTTTTGGTGATGAAGCTCTTTCCGAAACACAATGTAAGAGATGGTATCGACGGTTCAAGGAAGGGGATGAAAGTCTTGAAAATGAGCCTCGCCAAGGACGACCCGAACTTCTGCAGAACGATATTTTGGAAGCAGCTTTAAAGGAGGATCCAAGTCAAATATCACGCGAGCTAGGGGATCAATTGGGCTTTTCGCATACTGCAATCGAAAAGCGACTTTATGCATTGGGGAAAAGTAACCGCAGTGGAAAGTGGATTCCGCATGAATTGAGCGAAGAAAATAAGGCTACTCGTGTTATCACAGCTGGAATACTACTAAAACTTGCGAAAAAAGGGAAGCTTCTTGGATTCCATTGTCACTTCTGATGAAAAATGGATCTTTTATGATAATCGAACGCGAAAACGACAGTGGCTTAGCACAAACGAAGACCCAAAATCAACTCCGAAGCCGGATATTCACTCAAAGAAAACTCTCTTCTGTGTGTGGTGGAGTTCTCGTGGGTTGGTGCATTTCGAGGTTCTCAAAAGCCGGCAAACGGTTAATTCAGAACTCTATTCGTCTCAACTACATCGTGTAGATCAAGCAATTCGCTCTCAAGGACTCGAACCCTCTTCAATTCATTTTCTCCATGATAACGCAAAATCACACACTGCAAAACTCACAATGGAGAAAATCGAGGAGTTGGGCTGGAATGTTCTTCCTCATGCGCCATACAGCCCGGATATGGGGCCTAGTGATTACCATCTTTTTCGATCGATGTAACACTTTCTAGCCGAGAAAAAGTTCAATGACCTTGACGAAGTCCGAATTTTAGTGCAGAAGTTCTTTGACGATCAACCAGAAGAATTTTTCAAGAGAGGAATCCAGTTGCTCCGTCAAAAGTGGAAAGAAGTAATAAAGAATGACGGAGAATACCTTTTGGATTGATGTTGATATTTGTTTATCTTGTTAATAAATTTTTTTGTTTTTACTGAAAAGGGCCATTATTTAGTTGCCAACCTGATAGAAATCCGTCCGATCTAGAGTGAAGTGAGGTCAAACGTCCGATCTAGAATCAAATCGATCACTCTAAATTAGGCATCCGATCCAGACTTAGATTTAGAGTGATCGGCTTGATTCTAGATCGGACTTTTGACCACACTTCACTCTAAATCGGACGTCCGATCTAGAATCCGTCTAGATCGGACGGATTGTGTAAATAGTGAAATGCTCAATGCGAAATAATGCAAAATCTTTTTTTCAGGTATGTACTAGTGTTTTCTTTATGGGTGTTATATTGAATCACCGGCAGGTGAATGGGTCGTCTTTTCCCTTTAATAGGCGCTAAAGGTATCCTGAAAAGAAAGAAAAGTAAGAAAAGAGTAAAAACTTATTTCAACGAGTTAACAAAAAAATGTAAAAGACCTTAATATAAGCGTTTGCGACTACGAAATTTCCGTGAATCAATTTGCAATTAGGTTAAATTATTTCTTGCGTTAACTATATCAAAACTAACATTATTAGATATTCAGGCAGATTTGCATTGATCATTTCACATTTTTACACAAATGATTCGATAAATTCTTAATCGGACGTAACATATATAAAAGAGCCGTGTTCGTCCGTCCGTCCGTCTCTACCGGCTTTTTCTCAGCCGTCTTTTGGCCAAAAAAACTAGAATTTTTTAAAAGTCTTAAAATATAATATAGTTGTGCCGACTACCAAGAACAAGCAAACAAACGTTAACAAAGACTTCTGACTTTCAGTTGAAAAGTATCACAAACTTTCCTTAAGGGATCCTCGTTCACAGTACTCCATTTCGATCACATAATATTTTGAATTTTCTTCCCATCGAAAATATTGTACAATGTTGGGGTGATGAAGTTTTTGAAGCGCCTCGCATTCTTTGAGAGCACTTCCTTTTGTGAGCGCGTTTTTGTAAATTTGCTTGACTGCAACTTTTCTGGAAAAAAGAAACACTTGATGTTCAATCGATTTTTCAATAACTCACGTATGTTTTCCAATAACATCCACTCGTCCTTGTCCATCTTTGGCTAAAAATGTCGTTGTTGAAGGATCATGCTCGTAGATTGGATTTTTGTCACTTGTAATTTGATCATTTACAAGTGTTTCTTGAGGTTTAGAAGTTATCGTTTCCGAGCCAAAAAGGTTTAAATCCAATTGAGCAAATAATTCAGCAACATTTTTGACCAAAACCTGAAACTTAGCAAGATAATGGAGCATTATTAAAATCTTAAAAAATACCCAATCTTTTGTCCCATCGAAACCGATTGGTCTTAACAAATTTGTTTGTTCTTCAATAATCTGTGGCTCAAATGAATCTTCTTTTGTTAGCTAAGCTGGTTTTCTTTATATTTTAATCTAGTTCTAGATACCATACTTAGGTGTTCAATTATTTGAGAGCATTCTCCGACGCTTGGTCGTTGATCAACAGAAACATCAACACATCTGAATTTCTTTTGTGATGAATAAAAGTTTACTTGAAATAGCGTTATAGGGGTAGGCTAATTTCTGTCATTTTATTTGCGCAACTTGGTCTTTTGCGCAATGCGCCATAACTTTCTTCTAAGTGGGTCAATCTTTAGACGTTTAGTCTAATTTTGGTCTAATTTTGTTGCACTTATTGAGTTCTACAAAATGACACCAAAATCATAAAGAAATTTATGGCGAATTTCAAATACGGTATGCAAGTTTTAGCAAAACCAACCGCGCTATTAAGTTCTTCAATCCTTCGTTGACACATTTAACTTCTTCCAATTTATAAATGCCATTGCACAAATCATGAAACAAAGATACGTAGTCGAACGGTCCGGAATTATATTCACAATATTGTGAGTGAGGCAATCTGAGTTGTCTGATAAAAATAGATAGCTTTTAAGAAAACCTCCTTTCAACGATCTCCCATAACACTATTCCCATCGAATATAAATCAACTAAATTAGTTATCTGAATATCTTGATAGTTTAGAAACTAGTTTTGTAAACCGAAAGCTTTTCCCGATAAGAATATCGATAAACTTCTGGGCACATGTAACGATAAGTTCCAACAAACGTAAATGATGTTTCATCAGGAACAGGGCGAACACATCCAAAGTCCGTCAATTTCAAGATAAAGTCTTTTTTCACCAAAATACTAAAAAATTCATGAGCTACTATAAAGTTCTTATAGAGATAAGGAAAGAACCTACCTGCTTGGTTTGATATCACGATGTATGATTGATATTCTCTGAAGACAAATCAGAGCTTGAATCAAGTTTCTCGCCCAGCAAAGAACAGTTTTCATCGAATAAACAATCGTTGGATCGCCCAAAACTGAACTTGTTTATCTTTGTTTGGTTAATGGCTCAAAAATCATTTAATTTGTTACAAACGTGAGAAATACAGAGTGGCGCACAATTCTGGAAACTCGGTTTTTCGACTGTAACTCGACCACCAATGATTCAGTTCCCCTAATTTCCTATTTATATGAAATTTCAAGTTAATTTTGACCGTCAATTTCAATTTTTAGTTCAGAAACACAACTTTACGCCTTTTTGTAGTACTTCAAAGTTCAGTGGCGCCAAATTCTCGCCAGAATCTTCGTTTTCGATAGTTTTTAACTCGCAAGAATTGCCGACAAATCAACCAATTCTTTTAGTTTTTTTTTCACCTCTTAGTTAAATTTGGACAAATATTATAAAATAAATGCATTAGCTTTGCAAGACAGCGGATTAAGAATGATTTGCGGAGTTACCATACAGATAGCTGCTCTGCTCAGGCTTCACGGAATTCAACTATTAGTTCTCAAAATTTTGAAGTTATCGAAAAACTTCCGATGTAAAATGCTCCACATAATTCTGTTTCTTTTTAAAAAGAAAAAATAAGGAAATAGGAACCGGGAAATTCTTCAAAATATATGCAAAGCTTATCAAACAACGATTCTACCGTGAGGTTGGCACCTCTGAACTTCGAAGTACTATAAAAAGCGTAACACTGTGTTTCTTAACTAAAAATTGAAATTGACTGCCGAAATTAACTTGAAATTTCCTACAAATATGAAAGTAGGGGAAATGAATAATTGGGCATCGAGTTACAGTTAAAAAACCGAGTTTCCATAATTGTGCGTGATCTTCTATATAACGTTTACAAAAGTAGCTGATCTGTAGTTGAAAAGGCTTTCAAGCCCTCTTTTAGAGATCCCCGTTCACAATATTCCATTTCGATCACATTGTATTTATCGTCTTCTTTGAATTCAAAGATGGTGAATCTTTTATTAATCCATTAAGATTTTTTAAAGAATTATTTATTGCCATTTATTAAAATGCGATCCGCTTGCACACAGCGTTCAAGTACAAATAGCTACACTCAAGGTCATCCCAATTCCCGACCTCGTACCAAGCTGGTGGATTCACAATGTTTGAGCTAAGCACCTGAAAATTAGATTGTACAATTGTTGGCCTTATATTTTTTTTGCTTTCAGCTTACTTGAATACAATTCTGAACGCCTGCATAGTTGTTTGGACCGATGCTGATCCAAGAAGTGTAATCCCAAGCGCTGTTGTCCACCCATCGCCAATCCCCCGGATTTGGACCAGTCTAGATAATATCGATAAATTTCAAGAGGTTTAGTTTTTAAATTTAATATTCTATCTATAATTTCTCAAGATTTTTGTAGAATTCTAAAGTTTCACCCTCTGTCCGCCGATCAATGTCATCGCACCTGCTGTTAGGTTTTTTCCCGTTGTTGTGAGCGCTGAAAAGAAGCTTTAATGCTATTTTATTGGTCAAATTGCCGCAAAACTTGTAAAAAAAGAACAAATTCAGTTAATAGTCTTGCTTTACTTACAATTAATCAGTCGGTTCTCCTCAGCAGAATGAATCGAAGCCAGCTCTCCTCCCAAAGCTTTGCAATCAATATTGGCTTGATCAAAATTGATTCCACCGCTTCTTGTAATCACCTAAATCAGAAGGCAATTGAGCTCAAATGTAAATTAGTTTTTTGAACTTTGAAAAACAAAAAAAGCAAAGATATTCTCAAATCTTGCCTATTTTCAACACTAACCTTATAACAGTTTTTGAGCCCAGCCTCGTAGTGCCAATCCGATGGACAACTTGGTGTTTTTAAGGTCGACGAAATTATTGCAAGAGCCGTCGAGCCCTTTTTCGATACGAGTTTACATACGGCATTAAGATATTTTGCATTGCAAGAGGCATCGTCCCATTTGGTGATGTACGGGTTGAAGTCAAAGCCGGCAAGTCCCGTGTAATTTGAACTCCACATCTGGTATGAATTTGAAACTGGATAGAGAAACTTGAAAAGTCAAATATCTGACTTTGTTCTAGCTTTGGTCTAAGAATTTAAACCCCTAACCTAATTATGGGCGAGACTTAATTTTTAGCCACATAACTTTGCGTGGATATTACATTTTAAGTGAATTTTGATATCATTCGACGCGCCATTTTATTCTGCATCGAATGATAACCAAAATAGTCAAAAACTAAAGGGTTGATGCTGAGAAAAACCCCAAAAACCTCAAATTACCAACGGCAAAAAAGCATCGACAGATTTTGCGTTACAAGTCTAGAGACAAGCCTAAGCAATGGCCAGGATTTTTTGCTTTCCTTGTACACTAACTTGTATACAACTTCGAGCATCAGGTGTTGGGGCCCAGTTTTGGTAATCAAACGGCGACCCGTCACTCCAACCAAAATCATTTTGCCCAGCTCCGATCTAAATCCACCTATAATCTATTATCAAATTTCATCTCACTTTCACTCCGCCAATCAGCGTATGGTAGAGTGTGTTCACTTGACCCATTGTCGAAAGCTCTATATGCAAAGTAAAATACAAAGTTTCCAATAAACCTACCATAAACAAGTTCATTTTCTTTATCGGAATGAATGGACACAAGTTGGCCACCATTTGATTTGCATAAAGCATCGGCTTGTTCATAGTCGACTCCTCCAGCTTGCGTCACTGCCTAAATAAAGCAAATCCAGAAAAAAGCCTAACATCTGAAAAGATCATGGAATTGCTGTTTCGATTTGTCATTGTTTTTGTTATAATATTTATATTCTTGGCCAAACCCTGTAGCAGTTTCCAGTTTCTTGCAAATAAATCCAGTCCGAGGGACAATTGGACAACGGTTTAGCGGTTGTACGGCCACCACAATGTTTCCCATTTGATGGAGTCGTTTTTCCTCCTCCGCCCAATGTGATCTTGCAAATAACGTTCAAGAATTTCGCTCCACACTCAACATCATCCCATTTCTGAATGAATGACCGGAAATCCAAATTTGTGTTGTTTGACGCCCAGATCTAGATTTTGAATATTTTAGTTGAAAACTCGATTTGCAACCTGTAGACAAGCTTGAGCATTATTTCTATTATCCGGCTGAGTTGTAGCCCAGTTTTGATAGTCGAATGGGGTTCCGTCCGACCATCCATAAGTAATTGGATTGACTCCGGTCTGGAAATGGTAGAATTACAAGTTATCAGGGATTTTAAAACTAAAACCAACTTCTCTACTGTATTTTAATTTTGAAAAATTGTTTCTCATTTTGTGTGTCTGTTACCACGATTTCGCTTCACCTATTGCGTTTTGCAGAGGGGAAGGCTTCAAACTAGGGTTAATCGGAGGTGGGGAAGGCGAGGAGTGGTTAAATTTTAAATTTTTACGTTTTTGAAATCAAATATGTAAATTTGCGATAAGGAACCAACCCAAGTTTTGATAAGAATGAGGAAAAGGAAGAGTTTTGTATGTGTTACGTCCGAATGTGAATTTTTATTAAACAAACTTTTTCTACATGTAGCTTCACTTTAAGAATCTACATGTCTTGCTCTACAAAATAAGCATTATACTATTATACGTCATTTTTGGTTCGCATTTGAGTCACTAAAAATAGCTTTCAAAATGTTATGCTGAACTAAATGCCATAGAGTTTGCTTATAGAGAATTTTTTCTGGATCAAGTGATACCAAATTTGTACTTCTGTATATTAATTCTGCAATTAGTTATGCAATACTGCAAATTGCAGTTCGAGTTTGGACGCTAGTTCGGGTTTGGACGCTAGTTCGTTTTTTTAACTTATGCAAATTTCGAAATGATAATTTACAAGTTTAATGCAAAGTTTAGCCCCATATGATATGATATAATTGATTTAATATCACTGATATGATATAACTTAGATCATCAAAATGACTGACTCTGATTCCTCCTGTGAGCGTTTGATAGTTAGTCTGCACTTGACCAATGCTTGACAGCTCTAAAAGGATTGTTTTGTCAGCTTATTGCAACGAATGACAAAGAGACAAACTTCTTTTCGGAGTTTTCTTTTTGAAAATAATATCGAAGCTTTTCTACCAACCGCTAACAATTCGATTCTCCTCAGCCGAGTGAATTGATGCCAATTGACCACTAGACGATTTGCACAAAGCATCGCCTTGTTGTTGTGTGATTCCGCCCGTTTCAGTGATTACCTGAAAGTGCAAGATCGTATAAAGTTGTGCTAACCTCCTGACTAAGGCTTTTCTAGAATGTGCTTTCGGAAAAGCTACGGTATTCTGTCGCTTTCAAAGTCTAAACCCGTCTTTTGCTGGCGTTTAACAGCCTGGCTATTGGATATTTAAAAATGAGCCTTGATCAGTTAAACCTAGACGATCTAAGAACTGGGTGATGGTCGGCTTTTCGGAAAGCATATTTTTGAAAAGCTATATAGTTTCAGCTGGATTACGGTAGCTGATATCATTGTCTAGCAAAGCCTTAATTAGTTTCACTGACTATGATTCAATTTCGGTACCTTATAACAGTTATTAAGCGACTGAGCATAGTACCATCCAGCTGGGCAAGGTGAGTTGAACTCTTGAGTCGATGGATTGAGGAATGGTTGAGGTGTTGATGGATTTCCTTGTGGTTGTTGAGAAGCAATCGGTTCAAATGAGAGAGGCTCTTGAGTGAATGGATCAGAGGAAATCGGTCCATTAGTTGATTCTTTTGAATGAGAATGCGAATCAGAATTCTCGCTTGATCTTGATTCTTTGGATTTCTCTTTAGAGCCAGAACGAGAAGCTTTACATTCTAATAAAACAATGCATAAGGAAAAGATCACTAGCGGTTTGATCATCTTTCAGTATTAGAACTGTACTTTTCCAAATCACAAATCGCCCCTTTTATCTCAAAGTTCGTCCAGCTATGCAAACATGACCTTTCTAAAAAAATTTAAGTTTGAAAATTGACATTTGAAACGTTATTTGACCGAAATCACAAATAATCTAGCTCGAAAAGAGATTTTTTCATTTTCGATGAATCAAAAAGCCTGATATTTCAAGAAGCAAAGGTCAGTCTCGCATTTTTTTCCACTGCTAACTAGATAAAGCTATAGAAAGATAAAGCTAACAGAGGCTCATTAGACAAAGCTAACATCGGTACTTGTCGGTTATACATCCACAAAGACTCATCTCGGTTAAGCATCCCCATGCGAGTCTTCTCGGCTATCGATTTTCGTTCGACTGATCGACTCATCACTTTGGGCGAGCACTCTACTTCACTGAACATCATCACGCCTCACACCTTGTCAGTTCCTTGCTTAACCTAGTTGAGTCTCTGTGGATGTATAACCGAAAGTACCCTAACATCTATAGAAAGATAAAGCTAACAGAGCTAACAGTGGCTAATAGTCTTACCCTTATGAAATAAGGATAAGACTGAATGTTCATAAGAGCTACAGGAAAATTTAGAGCGTAATAGCAGTAGTATTAAGGTTGTCAAGATTAAGGCAATTAGATCTTCGGATCTTCTAATTGCCGTAATCCTGGCAAAGAAATGCTATTCCGCTAATGCTGATAATGATGCTATTCCGCTATTCGACTCCGTTACGAAGTGCTCAGTGCTATCCATTCTTTTCTCAGATATTAGCAAATCATTGTGAGTGAAAAGATTATTTTAAGAACAATAAACTGAATTCCCAATTTTCGTTTTTCCTTGGCCAAACCACATTGCCTTACTGTGGTGCTGTGTTTCGTATTTCGGTACCTGACTGTATTTCAGAAGAGGAAGATGGCGTTGTGATTCAGAGAAATATTTGAAGATGAGATACAATCATTTTAAACATACTGAATTGTTGAAGAATTGCATGTTTCTTAACAATAGCATAAACTGCATGCATAAACTTCAGGGCTCATATATCGATACATTCCAACACCAGAAACTAATGATGTTGAAGCTTCCATATCTCGTACAAGACCGAAATCTGCCAACTTCAAGACGAAGTTCTGCTTGACCAAAACACTAAAAATTTCATTTGCTTGATAGTTCATTTAACAAACTTTTCTGGTTTAGCATCGCAATGTAAAATGGCGGCCCGTTGAAGACAAAGAAGCGCATCGAATAGCTCTACGCTCCAACAAGAATTGCATGGTTCTCAACAACAACATTCGACAATAATGATTGAGAACCATTGTTGAGAACAATGGTTTTCAATAATAGCTTGACATAGCACTCATTTTGTTGGTACTTCTTCAAAAATGCGCTTGAATTCAATTGAATTCAATGCGAAAAGTGGAAAAATTTGATTAATTTCATAATACGTTAGCCTTCAGCATTTCACTTTTCTAAATCATTCGGTTCGATCAATTTTTTCACCTAAATCATGCTCGCCAACCGTGTTTTTGTAGTTTGTTTGAGCACGAGACTGATACCAACAAAAATAGACTTGGAAATTGATAACTTTGAGAAATCTCTTTCTTTTATTGTCTTGTTCTACAGTTAACTGGAGCTTTAAAGAGTGGAAATTACATTTCGAAATTTCAGCTACTATTTCTGTCTACTATCTGTACTAATATTTATTTTGCTCATCTATGGAGCTAACTTATCATGAGAAATTCCCTTTATCTTCCTTACCAGCTGAACTCAGAAGTTTGAGTTTACGCAAACTCGATTCAAATTCGATTTTGAAACTTATAAAAGTCAATCATTTACTTAGAAACTCTACTTTTTCCACCAGCCTCTTTGGCAAAAAAAATCAACCAAATCAGAATCACTTTCAAATGTGAATCAAATAAAATCCAGCCTTGTAATTTTAAATTCGAAATTCATGAGACAAACTTTAAGTTTCAGCAAATCATTGAAAACTGGCCATCTCAAGGATTTTTTCAAAAATCAACAACTTGTCGAGAACTTTACTTAATGATTGAGCCAGCAGTTAAAAAAGAGAACCGAAATGATTTGAAACTTTTCAAATCACTTCAGAAATCTTTCCAGAACCTAAAATTTGTCTTCAACATTGAGATCTTCTCTGAACTGAACATTTACAAGAGATTTCTTGACAATTCAATGTTTCAAATTATCAAAAAGACTTCAGTGAAGGTATCGGATGAAAATGAGCTCAGTTTTCAATTAATGGAGAAAAGATTCAAGAACTGCCAAGAAGTACAAGTTTTGACGAACAAGAAACCGGAATTGAGCCGATTTTCGAGTATAAAGACAAAGAAGTTGACGTTTAGCCATTGGAATCTACAAATAATTGAGCTATTGGATGAGATTTTGCAGAAAGGACTGCCTGGAAAAGATCCAAATTTTGTACTTTGTCTCGAATCACAACAAAGACTTGGAAATCAGTATCAACTGATATGTGACTTTCTTGCGGACAAAGCTGAGATTTCACAAATCGATCAAGATCGAGAAATTTTTCCTCTAAATGGACCAGATCTTATCAACCAACAACAAAGCTATCGACGAGCATTCAGCAAAGAATTCAATCTACTTTTACTTGTTGTTTGGAGTGAAACAAGGTGTCGTCAGGCTCATTATGTACAACTGAGCTTGAGAAAGCAAGTGAAGGTTTATGTGAAATATTCAAAGAGAAAACGATAGGAAGACTTTCATGATTAGAGTAACAATGAAAATTGACCAAAATATTGAGATATTCTTGTTCAGATGGTTTCTCTCACTTTCTTGTGTTGATAAAACATTACTTTTCTGACTTACAGGCAGGAATTGAGCTCAAACAACATTTTCTGTATTTTAATACGTACAAATCTAGGGCAAAAATTTGCCAAAAAAATGTAGGCATAGTCATGCCCAACAAATTTGTTGAAAAATCAAAGCTTTTTCTTGTCTTGTTTTCATTTCATCTCGTCAAATTCTCTCTTTGAGCCGATATTGTCAATATTTTCAAATCTTCAACGCTGTAATAGAGCTGCTTTCTGCGGGTAAATTTTCTTCTCGAAATAAGCCTAATAGGCTGATTAAGCATTTTTGTGGTTAAATATTCGTCAGAGATCTCAACAGTACCCAAATTCAGTGCATTCATAACACTCATCACAAATCAGAGTCGTCCGTCCGATGATTTGCTTGCAGCGCAAGCTCGAGCTCGCCCATGTGATGGCTGAGATAGTGAACTCCGTTGCTGCCTCGTTCAGGCGGGCTCATCCATTTCTTGGTCGCCTTCTTCAGCTGCTTGTCTAACTTGAAGAGCGTCTTTTTAAGCTAGACGCCTGAAGCGATAGGAAATGGACGAAATGGAGGGATATCTAGTGGGGAAGTGTGCCAGATGTCGGGCGATTGTGCGCGCGCACAAGGAACACCTCATTATTTGACTCGGACAGACTAATTATTAAAGTTAAATGGTACAAAAAGATCAAATATTTATCGAATGTTTGGACTTGATAAAATTTGGTAAGGTAAATCTATTCTAAAAAGTTTTAGGTCCAAGTTGAACATTATAAGCAGATTTCAGACAATTGCGCCCTTTCTACCGTACTCCTTCGATCCGCTTACGGCACAAAACGGACTATCGCTTTTCAATCTGTCAAAAAAAGGTGATCGTTGCAGTTTTGCTTTTGTAAATCAGCCATTTTATTTACTTTTAAGATGTCTAAATGTTCTATCAAATTTGATTTTTCTCAACTGCCTACTGAATTGAAGAATTCTTCACTCCAAAAGCTGTCCAATTATTCTTTGTTCAACTTGCTCAAAGTGAATCAACTATTCCGCAATTATGTCTTGAAAAACGGGCTTTTTGCTAAACCAAATTTCAAGCTAATTCTCACATTCAAACTCGGACGCAATCGAGAAATTCTGGCGAATGAAATGGACTTGATCATTCTCGAAGACGATCAACGCCTCAATTACAAGTTTGAGCAAATCCCATCTGCCGGTTTCTTCCAAAAGCTCACTTCCTGCCGCAGCATCTTCCTTCAAGCCTACCGAGGCCCAATCATGGAAAACACGCAAAGTTCGTCTCATGAAGAGACTCAAAAACTAGCTTTATGCTTTCAAAATCTCAAATCAGTTCTCAATTTCTACGAGGCACCATTTGGATTGAAGGCTTTTCAGAATTTTCTTGAAAATACTGCATTCAACGTGTTCAAATATGCAAATTTCCATTATCCAAATCATATCGATTATGCAAGAACCTTTGTTGAGACAAGATTACACAATTGTTCAAGCATTGAGATTTCCGAGAGAGATGGAAATTTGTTCAATTTCGATTTTGAAAAGCTGGAAAATCTCACAAAAATCATCTTTTCTGGAGATTTTTGGTCGTTTACGAACCGCTTTGATAAGCTTTTGAAGAATAAGGTTTCTATGGGCAATTCGAGATCCACGACGATGCTTCAAGCAATTCTTCACCCATCTCAAAGAAATTGCTTTGAGGTGAATTGTGGAATGATTGAACTAGCTTGCCGAGTGAAAAGAGACGCAGAAAGGGATTCGGATGAATCGGAATCAGACTCGGATCAGGAAGAAGTTCAGGAAAGCTTTTCTAGCCTTGCTCTTCAATTCAACGATGATTTTAATCAGGAAACAATTTTGCAAGAGGCCAGCTATCGCCTCAAAATCTCATCCACAAAGCATTGCCTCTTCTACGTCGTTCTCATCCAGAAACAAGACGTCGGAATCAAGATTAAAGTTTATGCAAAATTTGAAGTAATTAGCCCTTCTTGAGAAGTTGAAATTTTAATTTGAATTGAACTTCTTTTAGTACAAAAACCTTTTTCAATGTTGCTTTTGAGAAATTCATGTACCCTAAAGTCGCGAGTATAAGTTCTGTTTGGTTTTCGCATGCAAATTGGCGGCTGTCTCCGGTGCGGTGTGTCGAGGGTTCGAACCCCGCTGCAGCATAACTTTTTTGCTTTTTAAGAACAATAATAGAAGTAAATTTATTGAGGGTTATAGCAATTTTATGCTGTTATTTGTTGCTCCGGGCGTGGCTCGGCGCGTCCGCCCTGCTCCTCTCCGGTGCTCAGTCTTATGAATCCCTCCCTGGCCTCTTCATCCGGCCAAAGTCCACGTCGACGGTCGAAAGAGATGCTTTCCAGCGTCTTCTTCAACACTATCGTCTGGATGTATCCATGCACATAACAAATAGCAATGGTGATAGGATGTCACCCTGTAGTATCCCGCGCTCCAAGAACAATAATAAAAGTTTATATAACAATAAAAATGTATAAAAACCCAACAAAAAGAAATTCAAAGTAATTAAAGCGAATGTAAATTAAGGCAGAACTTATACTCGGATGAACTTATACTCGAGACTTTAGGGTACTATTGCTACTTTTGACAAATTCCCATCACTTATATTTCTTTGGAACTGTTCCAACTGTCAGATTTTACAGATTTTCAACTGTTTTACTTACAATTAGGTTTGTAACCTGGGAATAAAAAATTACTCGCGTTTGAAACGTTTAAAAGGAAAAAATATACTCAAAACAACCCACACAAGATGTTACCTACTAGATAAGGCATAGAAAATTCAAAAATCTTGTCATTAAGCTTAAAAAGATTGTTCTACTGATATACACCTCCAAAAAACTAAGTAGCCAATCCTGTTATACACCCCAAAATTTGAATACAATCATATCACAAAAGAAATAACAAAATCGGCTTTCCAAAAATTAAAGCTAGATAAAAGTCCATGAGAAAGCAATTCGATCCAAGATTTAATCGAAAACAGGTGCTTTTTTTGCTCTATTTCATTTTAATTACTAATAATTCAAATTTTGGGGTATATAACAGGAAAGTCCCAAACAAAATTCGTGTTTTTTGAGAATCCTGCAATTCATGGTTTTTGAGAATCCTCAATTATATGCCAAATATAATAAAAACACAAATTGTTTATTGGTTCCTTACCTCTCTAAATTTGGTTCCTTATCTCCCTAAATTTGGTTCCCGATCTCTCTAAATTTGGTTCCTTATCTCTCTAAATTTAGTTCCTTTTGTCTCTATATTTGCTTCCTGATCTCTCTATATTTGGTTCCTTATCTCCCTAAATTTGGTTCCTTATCTCTCTAAATTTGGTTCCTTATCTTTACGGTATTTAGATACGGTTTGCACTTACGAAGGCCTTATTACACATGGATTCAATGTGAAAACGGAAACTAAGACTAATAAGCTCTGGGGGCTAATCAGGACTCTCAAATCACGCAGATATTCATTTCTTTCAACCAAACGAATAGGATGATTATCAAGGGTTAATGGAAGAGAAGATCTGCCAGTGGAAAAAATGAGAAGACTTAGCTAATCCCCAAGTTTTGGACCAGTTTACAAAGTTGTATCTTTTATTTTATGGTTATTATTTTGTTTTAAAAGTAAAAAGTGAAAATAAGTCTTGAGAAGGATAAAAAAACTTGAACATTTTTACATTCTTCTCGAAATTACATTTGACATTCCTCGCCATTTTCCCGGAAAATCATTTCTGTTGTGTCTGGAACTGGAAAATTTTGAAACTCTAATAAAAAAGTGATGGCAAACATGATTTATTTGTGTAACCAAGGGTTTTCTTGTAACCAGACAAGTGTTTATCATCAATTTAACTAATTTTTATTGATAATTACATCAAATCCACTTTTATTACGAAAAATCCTCGATGATCCAGTCCAACGTTTCAATAATGTGTTGATAACAGGGCTCTGGTTGAGAGATTTCTTTTGGGAACTCGAAACTAACCTGGAAAACTGGGATGTCCGAAGAAAATAGGATTCAAACTTAAATCTTTATACTTACACTTTTTTGATGAATATAAATAGTATAGTATATGCAATGGTTTAGAAATAATTTGCGCTTTCGTACTCACAATGATCTTCGTGAATTCCGCCAACGAAACAAACTTTTGCCTCTTTCCTCCACAGAAATGAGCTCTCGAGAAGATTTCACAAAGCAGCAAATCTTCATCGGAGCTGAACAAGGTCCATAACTTTAAGAATCTACTATCTTATTGTAAAGTTGAAAATCTGATTATGATCTACTTCAAACGATCAAGGTTTCTTTTGAAATATCACAAGTTGAAGTCAAAAAATAGTTCGGGCTGTTTTAAAAAGATCAAGAGATGAAAAGATCAGTTCAGGCTACATTTTAATAAAGAATTGAAGGAATTGACAAGAAAAAGTAGATTTTCGGAGGATGAATTGAATCCTCACTTTCCGGGCAATTGCTCTAATCACTAAGCTACCTTAGTAGCTTGATAACTTGTGATGTGCTTGCCCGACACAACAAATGAGTCAGGTACACACGATGGAGAAAGCCGTTCTCTCTAATCACTAAGCTACCTCGGTACCTTAACTTCCTAAGATAAAGAAGGAAAGAAGAAAGAGAAGGAAATAAGGTTAAAGATCTTGTTATAGACTATAGTTATAGACTTGACCTGGTTTTGCCTCAAAATTTTACTTTAGGAACAGTTCTGGCTGGGAAAAGTACCAAAAAGCAAAGTAAAACTATAAATTTTCTAACCGACAATCTTCACTTGACATCATGCTTTGCTCTTGGCAAATCTCTTGTACTTTTGCATCAATTTTGGCAGTTGAACACCTTCGGACAAGTGGAGTGACTGGAAATAACGAATAATATTGATTGTTAGATTCTAACAGTCTAATTCTTAGATTCTAACAGTGTTGAGAAAACTAACAAGCATTCAGTTCATTCTTCACGTTCGCAGAACAATAGTAATCTCTCAACTTCAAAAACTTCTGAATGAAATGTTTCATTTCTTCTGGAGAACGGGTTTCATTTAATGAAATCTCAGCATTATCAAATTTTCTGAAAAGAAGTTATTTATAAATTTATAATTTTCTTTAGCCATACTTGCATAAAGCATCACCAAACATTTTGCCTTTATCGTGATCCCAAGATTTTGGCTGAAAAGTTACATCAATTTCTTGGTTCTCAGTTGAGCTATTGTCACAATTGAGCTATGGTGGTGCGTATCAAATGTAACAAGTCTTGAACAAACAACTTTATCTCAAAAGAGAATTTCGTTTCCTGATAGTTCCTTTTTGGTTCCTTTATAGTTCCTTTATAATTTCTATTTAGTTCCTTTATAGTTCCTATTTAGTTCCTTTATAGTTCGTTTACAGTTCGTTTGTAGTTCCTTTATAGTTCCTTTATAGTTCCTTTATAGTTCCTTTATAGATTAATTAGTAGATTATAGATTAATCAGTAGATTATAGATTAATCAGTAGATTATAGATTAATTAGTAGATTAATCAACCCAACTTTCCCAGAGAAACAGAAAAAGAAAAAGAAGAGAGAAATTACAGGAAATGTCGTCTTTTATCCCCAAAACATCCAACCAGTTTTTCCGGTGCCTAATCTAAAGCCTTATTTTTCAATGAAATAGTGGGAGAATAGAGAAGAAAAGACGGAAAAGATCTGTTTACTGTTTAAGGCAATTGTCAAGATAATTAGCATAGAAGAATCAAAGGGAGATTATCAGATTACCTGCTGTAAATGAAGCCAGTCAAGGTCCGGCCAAGGCCAATTCTCGGCTACTTTTGCTGAAAGCCTTGCTTTAAAGCTTAAAAGTTGGTAGAATTACCATAAGTTTCGATAGAAAAGATTAATAAGGTAAAAAAGGTTCGAGAAGACATAGCAACGATTGAATTGAAGGCAAAAATCGTTTGTTTTCACTGTTTTGTCTATAAATGGTGACTCAAAAAGAACAATCATGAAAAAGTGTTTGCTCTTTTTAAAGTTTAAGTTGTTTTTAACTTAAGTTCTTGTAAAATCAAGTTGAGAAAAGACTTTGAATAAATTTTTATCTTCAAATTGAATTTGAGATTGGATTTTTTGAGAGTACAAAGTTCCTTTATGATTTTTTTTCTTTAAAATATCTCACAAACGATTCTTATTAGGTACATGCATAAGAAATGCGGAGAAAAGTTGTAAATCGCCTCTACAAAGTAAGATGGAATGATAAATGATATCATAGTGACTAATTGGGAGCCATTTTCAAGGATTCCCGTGAGATGCTCTAGTTTGAAATATTGAAAAATAGCACCGATTCTAGCAAAGCTAGAGCTGCAAATGTCTTTGCAGATTAAAAAACCCGACACAGTATTAGGGACTTGCAAAAGAAACTGCGGATTATAATCAACATTTGAACAGCCCAAAAATCAATAAGAAAACAACTTTATTCCAAAAGATATTTGTCATTATTATCAACTATGTTCTTACATTTTTTGCGTAGACTTCGGATGTCTGATTCGAAAAATTCGGGGCCCCGCGACGCAAAGTAGTCTTGCACCCAAATTTCGACTTCTTCAAGATTGTTAAACTTTAGATTTGCAAGAGAGTGTTGCATAGACAGGAACAAGTGGTAATCTGAGGGAGCAACATCAGGCGAATAGGGTGGATGAGGCACAAGTTTCCGGCCTAATTCTTCTATGGTGTTTTGAGCCAAGTTTGATGTGTGTACCCGGGCATTGTGAGCGAGTAAATGGATTGTCCTTGGATTAACACCTCTTTCTCGTAGAATTTCATCAACTTTCTTCAGCTGTTCGGCGTAGATTTGGGAAGTTATAGTTTTTGACGATTTTCGTAATTCAAAATAAACAATTCCTTTCATATTCCAAAAGACCGACAGCATAACTTTCTTTCCGTCAAGTTCTGGATGTGATGTCGGAATCGGCCTTTCTCCTTTGCTCAACTATTGTCTCTTGCAAGTACCTAATACCATACACAAAATATACTGCAAAGAGTTTTCGCTTTAGATTTTTTGTACTTTATAAGAAATGAGTGTAAAAGCTGTTTATGCTAAGAAAGATAAAAAATAGACCTATTACTTTGCCCAGAATTCTTTAAAAAAAAATCGATTAGGCACTTTTCTATCTAATCGCAAGTTAGCCGTGCTTTAAAATATTAGGTACATGCATAAGAAATGCGGATTTCAACATTTTCATAAATTTCCAACGATAGAAAACTGACATCAACGATAGAAAACTGATTAGTTATAAACTATTTGAAAGTTGTAAATCTCCTCTACAAAATAGGCTAAAACGTGTTTCAATTGGTAGCTTAAGTGTTTCTAGAATTTAGAACTTGTACCATGTGTTCCAATTGCAAGAAGAATCATTGTGTGGAGGTTGAGATCCAAGAGATCAGTAGATTTTTGTTTGAGGAATACTCCCAATCGGAAAAGCTGCAGCTTTGCAAGCCGAAAGTCAGTGAACGCCATCTGAAAGCAATAGTGGAAGCCATAAAAGGCTTACTTACAAAGCGATTAAACGATTATATTTGAACTTAATCTTGCAGAGTTGATTTTAATAACCTTTTTCGTGTTCGTCTGAAGTTATTTTCGCTATTCATCTTTCTCGTTTCGAATTCAAAGATGAAGAAAAGTTCAAAGATGCAGAAAAGATGAACAAAGCAAACGTAGCTAGAATCATCTTTTAACTTCAACCTTTTCACGTCTAGATTGCATCCAAGCGGTTCTTCCAAGCCCTCTCTGAAAAACAAAAACAAAATGTGTTCAAAGTTTTTACAAGTTTTAGTTGAGCAGCCTCATTTTGTCACTGAAAAGCTACCAATTTTCTGTTCCGAAATAATAACAAAAAGGTTCAGATAATTCTTCTGGCAAGAAAAAGGTTGTTTTGCTGGAGAAAATTCCAATGATTTAATGAAATTCCCAGGAAAAAAAAGTGATAAAACGCAAACCAAACGGAATTTTTCGTTTTTCGATTAGCAATTTTATTATTCTAAACGTACCAAACGCACATTCTTGGCCCTTTCTAAAACTTTTTACAAGAACTTTTCCAAAAATGCAAGCCTGTGGTTTAAAATAGTCACAAGTTGATGGACTTGTTACTATTTTCGACAAAGTTTCGTATGTAAATTTCCAAACAATAAATGCAAAGTGTTGTCGAGAAAAAAGCCACAAGAACCATAATTTCTATTGGTTGAGATTTCAGAAAAACAATTTCCTCTCTTTAAACTCTGTTCCCAATTAAGCAAAGATTTTCGCAGATCGATCAGCGATCTTTTTTGCAGCTTCCAGCTATACAAACTGGAGAAGCTGGACCAAAAAAACAGCTTATACAGGGGTCAATGTTCTTCAAAGTAAAAAACGATAGAAATGATCTGTGGGGATGTTGAATGATCTGTGGGAATGTTGAAACAAGATGAAACGTGGCTCAAGAGAAGAAACTTACTAAATATTTGATTTCCTTGTTTTTTGGTTCATAAAATCTGATATAAAAGGCATCGAGAATCGGGGGAAATCATTCGATTTACCCCATCGGTCAATCGGACTCTCTTCCACCAAAATGAAGCACATTGTGGCCTTCTTTTATGTTGGCTTGGCTATCGTGTACGTTCTTTTTGACTTTTAACTAAACTTTAGATAAGCTATTCGTTCAATTTTTCACATTTTACTAAAGAACTAAAGAACTAAAGAATTTTTAAAGAAAGGGTAATGATCGATAGAATATTGTTTATTCAATAAGGAAGCTTAAAAAAGATTCTTTTAGCTTGGCTGCTAAGAAGAATGGAGAACCAATCAAAGTCATTCATCCATCAGACCAAGAACAACAACAAAACCCAGACGTGCCTCAACCATTAAATGGTGGATCGAAGGGTGGAAAAGGTAATAGTGGAAGAGAGTCCGATTGACCGATGGGGTAAATCGAATGATTTCCCCAATTCATTAAACTGTCGTTTTCTAAAAGCGAGTTTGAACAAAAACTACCGTAATTGAAGAGGTTTAAATGTAAACTTACCATTAAAAAATTTAAAGCTCGCTTGGATTTACTCATTTAAATCAAGTTGCTTTTTTTCTCCAACTGAATAACTTGAAGATTTATGTTAAATTAGGGTGTTTTCTAGAAAGCGCATTAATCAGCGATTAATTAATTGACCGTCAGGAACACAGTATACATTAAAATTTGATTGTGAAAAGAGATAAAACCAAATAAATCCATCCCAATTAATTTAAGGGAAAAAGGACAACGATGGGATTCTCGACGATGATGAGTTTGATGCCTACAGTAACTTCGTGAGCAAGTAAGTCAACCTTTGACAATAAATAACATAGTCTTTTTAGACACAAAAAGGGCAAATCATGCGGAGCTAACGGTACAGCAGAGTGCAAGAAAAGAAAAGGAAATTTCGCGAAGAACTTCAAGAAGTTGAAGGAATACCAAAAGAAAGCCACGTAAGAAAGGAACAAATGAAGGTTATCTATAAAACTTTAGTTTCGAAGTTAACGTGAATCCAACAATGGACTGGTCGGATGAGGAATTGAAAGGGGTAATGGGAAATCGGAAGCGATATTTTAATGAATTTCTATTCAGAGACTGATGAGCAAAGAAGCCGCCGCTCAGTTTTGGTCAGGCAAGAAGAATCAAGGAGGACGAGTGATCGAGAAGAGCAGAAGAAAAAGAGTTTGTAACGATACCGGAATGTCTGTAGTTGTAATTGAAACTCATTTGTTACTAATTCAAGAAGACTTTGTACAACGGGGATCAAGAGACCATTAAGCCAAGAAACTGTATGAATAATGAAACTCATTTGTTACTCTGTTACATTTTTTACTCTGGTAGAGTGTGTAAACCTCAAGTGAGGCGTTTCCTAAAAAATACTTATTTTAGAAACTACCGTAACGAAACAGCCCGTTTTCATTCTAGTAACAGAATTTTCGAATCTCGAGGTTCACTCAATACTGGGATTACAGCTTTATTTGGGTCAAAACGGGCTGTCTGGTTAATGTAGTTTCCTGGAATAGATGTCCTTTTCCGAGTAACACAATTTTCGAATCTTTTTCGAATCAATACTGGCATTAAAGCTTTAATTGGGTCAAACTATTAAAAAGAGCTTAAAAGCTTAAAATCAAAGAGCTTTAACATGATTCCTTCAGTTACTTAAGTTACTTTCCGAAGTAACCTTACTGGCATTAGAGCTCTAATTCGATCAAAACGGGCTGTCTGGTTAATGTAGTTTTCTGAAATAGATGTCCTTTTAAGAAACACACTTTACTCTCAGGGATGGGCTACCATTAAAAGGATGGTTTTTAACTATAAGTATTACGGAAGGGAATAAACTATCAAAAATGAAAGAGCTTTAACATGATTCCCTGAACATGATTCCCTGAACATGATTCTTTTAACATGATTCTTTTAAGATGATTCCTTTAACATGATTCCCTTAACATGATTCCTTTAACATGATTCCTTTAACATGCTTCCTTTAACATGATTCCTTTAACATGATTCCCTTAACATGATACTTTCCGAAGTAACTTTGCTTGAAAAACAATTCGAAACATCATTTATTAATTCATTTTTCAGTCGATCCCTGCATCATTCGATTGGCGAACAACTGGTGCTGTGAATGACATAAAAAATCAACAGAGCTGTGGAGATTGCTGGGCATTTGCGTATGTCTCAAAGAGTTTATAAATAATATAGTTTTTGAGAAATTACCGTGCAAGGTTTTTCCGAGAACTTCCTTTCCAACCTAATAGAACTGATTATTCATTTTTAGATCGGTGGCTTCGATTGAGATTATCGACAATCTTGTGAATTGTCGCACCAGCAACACCACTCGTGTCACATACTCTGAACAAGTTACTCTTGAAATTCGTTCACAAAAATACTCTGTTGATTTAGCAAATCACCGATTGTACATATGCTAGTCAACAAAGGGACGGCTGCCAGGGTGGAGGAGGACCCGACGCTCTCAAGTAAATTGTACCCAACTCGATTATTGCCTTTTCTAGAAGGCTTAGGCTTAGGCCTTCTAGAAAAAAGCCTTTTCTAAAACTATCGTAATCACATCGACACGATTTTGATGGAATTACTGTAACCACACTATTCCTCGTCAACTCACACCAAAAGCTAGTTGTTTGGACCAAAGCTGATGATTTGGTTACGGTAGTTCTATAGAATGGGTGCATTTTTGAAAGAGCATTCATCGAGAGGAACACACTCTACTCTCCAGTAACAAAATCGATAAATTCTAAAAGCTTAACATCTATAATCTAGCTGTCACTTTTTACTATTAGATTTTGCTGTTTTTGCAACTATTGTCGACCCACAGGCAAGTTCAGAATCTATTGGGTTGTCCAGTTATGAATGCGCGTTTTTACTATTTTGTGAATTTCTCAAGATATCGAACAGATATATACGAGTGTTATGTATCATTTGAAAGCTGAAGATCTCCTCTACATTTTGGAATCAAAAAGCTTTTGAATTCGTTCAACTTTTTGGGACATTGACTGCACAAAGGGAGAGGTCGTTTTCGAAAAAGCCCATTTCAGCTTAGCTATTCCTCAAGTTTTATGGTGTAAAATAACCGCCCAGAAAAGAAAAGAAAAGTAAAGATGCTCTGAAATTGTTATATTTCAAAAAAAGTTGCATTGATATATCTATTGGCCAAACATCAAACAGTTAACTCAATTTGAGCGGAGCCAAAACTTGATCCAAAGGCACCCTTCCATTTTTTTGGCCACCTCTTCTTCTGTGCCATCAATTTGCCCAAAAGCTGGACAAATTCAAAAGCTTTTTGTATCAAAATGTAGAGGAGATCTTCAGCTTTCCAAAAATACTCATATATATCTTTTTCTTGATTTCGGTAACTTGAGAAATTTACAAAATAGTAAAAAACGCGCATTCATAACTGGACAACCCAATAGTTTAATATGCCCTAACTAATCAGCCCAATTACAAGAGTGTATTTTCCTTGGTCTTTAAGTGCTTTTTCTCCGTTTAATGATTGATAAAGTTAGATTAAAATTTCCAGGTATGTAATCCAAAATGGAATCACCACTTCGGCCGCTGTTCCTTTCACGTCTGGTGCAAGCGGAAAAGGAGGTGCTTGCCCTAGCACTATCAATGTGAGTTTCAAGAAATTCAGATCTAGCAAAGTTCTGCTTGTCAAAAATTATCTTAAATCAATTTTGTTCAGCCAAAGAAAATGCCGATTCGTGACTGGATGGACCTGACGAATGATGTTCCCGGAATGATGAACTTCGTTGCCACCACGGCTCCGATCATTGTCGGTACGTTGAGGCCATGAATAAATTCACAAAAAAAGAATCTTTAGGCATGATGGTTTGCAACGATTTTCAACTTGTGTACAAAAGTGGAGTCTATGATGGATCGACGAATGACAATGTGAATTGTGGAGCACATGCACTCACTATTATTGGATATGGTTTGTGAAAATCACTAGAAATCACTAGAAATAACAAGCTAGGCGAATTCAATATAGTTAAAAGAAGTGTTTCTTATTTAGGCACTGACACCAGTGGAAAAGACTTCTGGTTGTTCCGAAACTCGTGGGGGAACTAGCTGGGGAATGGGCGGATATGGACAAGTAAGCTGTGGATAGACTTGTCTGATTCATGAGACAAAAAAATGACTGTAGATTAACATCCTTTATGATTTGTTGAAGACTTACTGTGGATAGACTTGCCATAGAAGATTCATGAGACAAAAAATGACTGTAGATTAACATCCTTTATGATTTGTTGAAGACTTGCTGTGGATAGACTTGCCATGGAAGATTCATGAGACAAAAAATGACTGTAGATTAACATCCTTTATGATTTGTTGAAGACTTGCTGTGGATAGACTTGCCATAGAAGATTCATGAGACAAAAAATGACTGTAGATTAACAGTCTGTATGATGAATGACTCTCAAAAGATAAAACGAAAATCGTTGACGAAAAATGTGTTTAGATTTTGCGAGGAAAGAACACTCTGCAAGTTGAAACGATGGGTGTATCCGGGCCACTCCCGACGGTAGCCGCCAAGCAATGCACCACAAAAACTGCTAACAATCCATGTATTTTTTTTCAGAAAACCAATTCTTATGCCACATTTTGCACTTTGATTGCAAAATTTACATTTAAAACTTCATGGCCTGCATTTAATAGCATTTAAAATTCATAATTAATATTTTTATACAGTAAAAACCAGGTCTTTGGTATTTTTAGAAACGTTTCGTATGGTAAATTTCAAATCTTAAGCCTTGGATTGGACTCAAAGTGTGAAAAAAGTCACAAGCATCAGAAAATTCACTTCTAAACGTGAATTATTCAGATTCGGCGTGCACTTGCTCAGCCGTTTCAACTGCGACTCCAACAGCTCCATATGCTACCCAGTCAAAGCCCGGAGAAAGGTTTGAAAAACATCTTTGATCTTATCTTTGACAACTCAATTTTAGCGGATGCATTCCAAGCACATATGCGCCCACTTGTTCAGGGTTTGCTAACAATCAATACTTGACCATCACACTTTATGATGATGTGAGTGATTCTAATTAATATGTAAATTTATTGACGAAGTTCTAGACAGTTCTTAATTAGAATAACTCAAATCATCATACAGTTCTAGACAGGAAAGGTGATTGAAACGTACAATGGTTGTGCTCTGTGGGGATTCAAAAATGCCACCTGCGAGACATCGGCTGCCGCCGGAACAACCGTCAATTATCCACTTTACAAAGTGAGTTCACTCTCTGAACATTGATGCAATGATGAACAAAAACAAATGTTTTTTGAATAATTGTTTATCTTAGGGCTCTCGAGTTGCTTATCACGTCTGTAAAAGTGTCGACAATTATGTGTGCTCTCCACCAGTACCAGCCAATCCAGTAACAACAACGACCACAAAGCCTACCACTAGCGGTTAGTTGTTAGGGTGGGAATTGAAATTAAGCCGAACACTAATTTAAGTTTTAAGCCGAACCATGATTTAAGATTTGTCAGGGGATGTGATACAATAAAATGTAATGTTTTCAGCTCCAAAATGCACCTGCACAGCCGTTTCAACCTCAACTCCAACATCTCCCTATGCCACTCAACCAAAAGCTGGCGTAAGGTAAGCCGTAACGTAAAGGTTGAACAAAAAATGACAACTCGATTCTAGCGGCTGTACTCCAAGTGTGTATTCGCCCACTTGCCCAGGATTTGCAAGCAATCAATACTTGACCATCACACTCTATGATGATGTGAATTATTACTTTTAGAATCTGCATTGGAGCAATTTTAGACAGGAAAAGTGATCGAAACGTACAACGGATGTGGTCTGTGGGGATTGCGAAACGCCAGCTGTGCGACTTCGGCTGCCGCCGGAACGACAATCAATTATCCACTCTATCAAGTCAGCTCCTTTCCTAAAAAATATAAAATGAACTTTTTGTTTTATCTAACTGCCACTTTTAGGGCTCTCGATTTGCCTATCATGTCTGCCAAGCAGTCCCCAACACTGTTTGCTCTCTATCCTAATCGATTCGCGAGAAAACATCAGTCTTACATCATCATCTTTAGTTTACATAATAATAATAATAATAATAATAATTTATTATCATGTAAAACGAGACCAAATAAAAGTTCTGTTAATCTGGAAAGCTTTGTCAGCAAACCAATTTTGTCCTTCTCGGAACGTGTGAGTTGATAAAGTGACTATCATTGGTTTTTTAGATTGAAATCTAAATCAAATTTGAACTTTGTGAAAAACAAGCTACAAAATTGAAGGTTTTCGCATTGAATTAACACAAAAATTCTCAAAAAGGAGTCGCGGATGTGATAAGAAGAACCGATTCCAGCTTTCCATGTGTGGTGAAAAGAAGTGTGGCCGTATTTAGCCAGTCTGAATTAACAGTTTCCCTACTCTTTTCCCCTTTTACATAGATTTTCTTATATACACCAAATAGAGTGGCTAGACCGAGAATCGCCGAGTAGCCGGTACGGGCCGGCTCGCTCGCCGTGTGACAGAGCTGGGACAGAGATCGTTTGAACGCATCTAGATTGGGATGAAGGTGCTGAAGCAACTTGAAAGTGTTAGAACCACTGTATCAAGTCAGCTCCATTCCTAAAACATATAGAATCAACTTTTTGTTTTATCTAATTGCAACTTTTAGGGCTCTCGATTTGCCTATCATGTCTGCCAAGCGGTCCCAAGCGGTTGCTCTCTATCCTAGTCGATTCGCGAGAAAACATCAATCCTACATCATCATTTTTAGTTTGCATAATAATAATAATAATAATAACAATTTATTACCATGTAAAACGAGACCAAATAAAAGTTCTGTTAATCTGAAAAGCTTTGTCAGCAAACCAATTTTATTCAATTTGTTCCACCATTTGAATTTTCGTCAACATTTGGAAACATTTGGAGATGTTGACGAAAATTATTTCTTTCTGGAATCCACAGAAGTTCTCTTGTGATTCTCTTGTCCTTCCTCTAAAGATCGTTTGTGTGATAAAAAGAGACGGAGCCCACTTTGTATTCCCTTTCTTTGGCTTTGAAACACTGAACCAACGATTGATTCTAATCCTTTCTATTCTATTCTATTCTATTCTATTCATTGCCTTTTCTCGCTAGATTAGTGATTCTGCTAGATTCGGAATAAACTAAATAGTACAGTACTGGACAATGAAATATCATATTTGAAAAACGATCGTCACGTTCGCGCGTCTGTAACTCCCTTGTCTTTGAGTTTAAACTATTAGTGTTATACATTTTCTGAAAGCTCTTTTCAAGGGCTACACAATGGTAATATTTATATTTAGAAATATGATAAAGACAACGGAGTTACAGGGGCGCGAAAGTGATGATCTTTTTTCAAATATGATATTTCATATTTGAGTAGTGTAGATAAGCCATAAAGTTACTGTAAAAGCAAAAGCTGTGTTGGATATCCATAAATCCACCGAAGAAATTGCGTAAGCTTACAGCTAAGCTAATCAAAGCTAAGCAAAGCTAAGCAAAGCTAATCAAAGCTAAGCAAAGCTAAGCAAAGCTAAGCAAAGCTAAGCAAAGCTAAGCAAAGCTAAGCAAAGCTAAGCAAAGCTAAGCAAAGCTAAGCAAAGCTAAGCAAAGCTAAGCAAAGCTAAGCAAAGCTAAGCAAAGCTAAGCAAAGCTAAGCAAAGCTAAGCAAAGCTAAGCAAAGCTAAGCAAAGCTAAGCAAAGCTAAGCAAAGCTAAGCAAAGCTAAGCAAAGCTAAGCAAAGCTAAGCAAAGCTAAGCAAAGCTAAGCAAAGCTAAGCAAAGCTAAGCAAAGCTAAGCAAAGCTAAGCCTGGTGGCATATTGTGAAGATCATAAAGCAACGGTTAATAGAATCAATAAAACGAATTTAAATAAAGATTTTTAGATTTTATATCGTCGATACAATATCAGCAGAAGAAAATGAATCCAATATCGAAAACAATGAAATGATCTTTCCTTGAGAATCAATTGAGTCTTTGTTGAACGATTGAACAATTTCCCCGGAAGGCTCACCCACACAAAGATCCTCACCTATTCACGTTTCAGACTCATGAAAAAGGAGATCAGAGCATTGAAATCCCTTTTCATCGCGTCTCATTTCCACCTCATGAAGTCAATCTTAGGAAAGAAAGAAGGAGATGGATCTGGGTCAGTGAAAAGGGAATATCAAACGCCGTCTCCTTTCCTCTTCTTTTGATCTTTTGAATTAAGAATGAAAAATAGAAATTCCGTAATGGTGGCCATTCCGTAAATGGTAATTGATTAAGATTAGATAATAAACAGAAAGAGAATTACGGTGGTTTTCACAATTTACACGTCTTAAAAAATAGTTTCCGTTTGCGCCAAATCTTTTGGGTCTTTTCCGCAACTTGCCATAACTTTCTGGGCCAACCTTGCTGATTTTGGTGTCATTTTGTAGAACTCAATCTGAATTTCTGAACTTTTACGAGTCAGGATCGCTTCAAAACTTTTTTCAAAACACCAAACTCTAAACTCTTTGCTTCATTTGCTCAATTTCTTTCTTTTGACTGTCAATTCTTGTGACTCATATATAAAATATGCACAAATTTGGATTCTGAACGGTGGCGATAAGAGCTCCTCAGAAGTTTTTTTGGAAAAAATCCGTCAAATTGATAAACCTTTACGACTTGAAAGCATTTGATTCATAATCTCTTATTAGAATGAGTCATTTTGTGGCTTAAAATGGCCCGATTCTTATCACTTTTAACAATTCCTTTCCTAGATATCTAAAGCTGTTTGCTCTAAAGCTTTTTGTGGCATTAAACGAAACCTTTTCCAAGTGTTTTTCAAGAGTTTCAGAATATTTATTTCAAATGCCCAATCAATTTTTGGTTACATTTTATAGAATTAACACGTTGCTCTAAATTAACACAGTTGTATCGTTGCTCTCTGATTGCTAGCCACAATAACAATGACCGAACAAGCACAGGTTGATTCTGGTTTGATCTCATTTGATTTAAAGTTATTCTTTGTGTTTGTAAATGCAAATGCATACCGTATTCTCTCTAATAGTAGTGCACCCTGAGCGTTGCCTAAATTGCTCGAAACCACAAAAACCGCTGATCAGAACCTATCGATGTGGGGTCGGAAAATGTAGCTGACGATGAGATCTCATGGGGGATTAGAGTGTTGATCTTCTGCAAAGGCTTGGAAAGCCGTAAAATAGTCACCAACTCGGCTCGCCGGGGTGCACTACTATTAGAGAAAATATGGTAATCGAATACCGTATTTCTTCGAATAGAAGACCGGGTAAAGAGTATCATCGCGTACTCCTGTGTAGCAGCCCTTTTTAAAATTTCTTTTCTGCATAAAAGCTTTCAATCAAGTGCTATAGGGCTGGAAAATGACTCAAAAATACCACATGAGCTAACAGATTTTTGAGCCATTTTCCTAGCTCTAGAGCACTTGATTGAAAGCTTTTATGCAGAAAAGAAATTTTAAAAAGGGCTGCTACGCAGGAGTACGCGATGATACTCTTTACCCGGTCTTCTATTCGAAGAAATACGGTAGATAGAGGAATCTCATACAAAGAGATGAACAGTTTCAAGTTCCCGAATCGGCCTCGGATCGCCGTATTTTCTCTAATAGTAATGCACCCTGATCGTCTAAATTACTCGAAATCTCGAAAGCGCTTATTAGAACCTATCGATGTGGGGTCGTAAAATGTAGCTAACGATGAGATCTTGTGGGGATTAGAGTGTTGAGCTCCTGCGAAAACTTAGAAACCGTAAAATAATCATCAACTCGGCTCGGACGATTAGGAGTATCCACAAACAAATCGTTTGTTCAATCGTTCAAACAAAATGACAAAAACGCTAAAACGATTAAGAGAAAGGGCAACAGATTGGTTGAAAATTCAATGCTTTCCTTTTATTACCATGCGATGTCCATTCCACGGTGAGTTGTCTATTTGTTTTCCTTTTTTTTTCCTTTCTTCGCCCATTTCCCTTATTTTATCCAAGAAACACCTCTCACATTTTTTTAGAAAAGCCCATATTTGGCACTCTCTTTGTAACACTTCACATTTCACATTTTGTCTCACTTATTTTTCCTTTTCAATCATGGGCTGTCTTGACATGAAGGACTATAGTGTTGAATACGCTAAATTAGAGTGAGTTATTCCAGATGCATGCCTGATTTTATATTTCCAAACATTTAGTCCAACTGATAAAAAACTTGTACAAGCAGAGATGATTCTTGTCGCTGTCAAGTTCATTCTCTGTGCGGCTGCGTTTGCTGTTTCAATTGTCGTGCTTCTTAAATTCTCATAAACCTTTTTTGGATCATCTTTGTACTTCAATAACTAAAAGATCGATATTTTATCGATATCAAGTCTTTTTCGAGTGTTTCAGAATATTCATTTCAAATGCCCAATCAATTTTTGGTTACATTTTACAGAATTAACACATTTGAAGTTGTATCGTTGCTCTCTGATTGCTAGCCTCAATAACAATGACCGAGCAAGCACAGGTTGATTCTGGTTTGATCTCATTTGATTTAAAGTTATTCTTTGTGTTTGAAAATGTAAATGCATACCGTATTCTCTCTAGTAGTAGTGCACCCTGAGCGTTGCCTAAATTGCTCGAAACCACAAAAACCGCTGATCAGAACCTATCGATGTGGGGTCGTAAAATGTAGCTGACGATGAGATCTTGTGGGGGTTAAAGTGTTGAGCTCCTGCGAAAACTTAGAAACCGTAAAATAATCATCAACTCGGCTCGCCGGGGTGCACTACTATTAGAGAGCAAACGGTACCATCCTGCATATAGAATTCTTAGTTTACAGCCAACCTTAGAATTTTCTTTAAGGCCAAGTGCACTAGACGGGATGCGTTTCTATAATATTTCTGACTTTTAAATCTAAATTACAATCTTGTAGCGGCTAACGAAGCTATATCAGACGAAAAATTGTAATCTGTAACAGTGTATTCTTCTTCTTTATAGATCAAAAAGATGTTGCAACAAATCGGCGAGAAAGGGCTTCTTGTCACCAGTCGAGAAAACAAGATGATCGATGGGAGAATGCAGTTGGTCATCGAAAAATTCTTATATTTTACTGTGAACAGCCTCGTGACTCAGATAGTACAGAGTGCGGCGAAAGTTCTGTCCTTTTTAAATTCTCTCTGATTATTATTATTTCATAAGTGTTTATAGCCAAAAGAGAGCCAATTTTCCACAAATTTAAATCGTATTACCTTTTTTTAAATAGCTTCTTTAAATTTTGAGATATCACAATTTGCATGAGCTCACACCAGTTATTAGTCCTGTAAGTCATCTATTAGAGCGGCATTCCACTCTATTGTTCGGTGCCCATTTTTCGGATCCCCAAAAAAATTACATAGCGATCACATAACGTAACGTTGAAAAAACGATTTTTGCTTAAATCACTCTAGCTCGCTACCTTTTGATCTAGATCGAAGAATAGACAAATCATTCAATAATAACAATAGTAACTAAAATATCAGTTTGGCCCGGAGCTCACAATCTACGACTTTCTTTATTTCAAAGCACCTTTACCATCTTGCAATTCTTGATTGACTTACAGCTTCTTCAGCTTCAGCATCGCAAATCTCTTCCACGGAATCTCTTGTTGAGAGTTTTCGTTTTGAGCAATAGCGAATTAAAATCCAAAGCTCTTTTCTTGCAAAATAGCTCTTTAGATTTTGAGATATAACAATTAGTCCTGTAAATCATCTAGTAGTAGCGGCATTCCACTCTATTGTTCGGTGTCCATTTTTCGGATCCCCAAAAAATCACATAACGATCACATAATCTACTACATTGTTGAAGAAATGATTTTTGCTTAAATAAAGAATCTATTTAAAAGTCTAAAGAAGCTATTTAAAAGTCTAAAGAAGCTCTTTAAAAACTGTAATAAGATTTAAAGTCTGTAAGAGATTGGCTATTTTTTAGCTATAAACACTTATAAAATAAAATGAACGAGGAAGCTTTTAGAGAGAATTTTAAGAAGGACAAAACTTTCTCTGCAGCCTGTACAACCAGATAGCGTCACCGTATCCACAAACAATTTTAGCCACCTTGTTCGTTACCAAATCAAAGGCGATTCATACATTGCGCAAAGCACAAATGTTAGCCTAGATGAAGCAGTAAGTTTTAAAGATTTTCGAAAAAACTGTTTAAATCTGACAATTTTAGAAAACGGCAGCCAGAGCCGACTTTGCGAACTATGTCTACTTCTTCCGCAATGAATTTTCTGCGTTTGCACTGCGATCCCGATTGCCACCATGTCATGATGTAAAATCTAGTTTCCATACAGCATAGGGTTACAGAAAAAGTGATGTTTAGCCCGTTCTTCAATCGACAATCGATCATATTGGACAAGAGGATTACATGGCGAAATTTCACGGTGGATGGACAAGGGAAACGGCTAATAAGGTGAGTTTAGTGGAAAATAAGTTTGCAAAGTTGAATTTAATCTAAAGACAATAAAATGTTTCTTCAAACACTTAAATCGATTTGAATTTTATCCAAATTTTCAGCATTTCCATCAGCTATTGAAAGGAATTGGATTGAGCGCTGAGATGCAGCCCGAGATCAAATATTTTGGTGGTGAGAGCATTGTGTGAGTTTTTGAATACTTTACAAGAGTTGATATTAGACGATCAGAGTTTGAATCTAGTTCTTCTTTTCAGCTGACAATATTTTTGATTTTAGATCATATGCTTGCGAGGAGAAAGTTCATGTCAAACAGGGCAACAAAAGGAGAGGTACAAAGGTTAGGCTAATAAATTATCATAAAGTTTACAGGTATCATCGCTAAAGGATCGGGCGATTGCAAAGAAGCGTGCTTGATCGATTTCCGGGTAACTTGTTAAAAGTTGAATGCTAGGAGTTGAACAGAACTTATAATGTAGGATAGGATTATTCCAAATGGACCAGAGCCCGTCTGCTCTGGCTCTGGCTTGTCCAGAATTGAACTGGCCTGAGGCCGTATGCTCCGTTCCGGCGGAATTCACATAAGTCACATAAGTCTTTCTCTTTTTTGACTTTCGTCACATAAGTCTTCTTTGAATCAAAAGCGAAGATTTTTTACGAATGAGACATTCGACTTCTTGCACTAAAATTGGCATAAATCAGAGAAAATAATGGCGAATATTTGGAATGATTTGAAATGGTTAACTAAATAAAAATTTCATTTGAAAATGTCATACCCGTCAATCCAATACTTTGTATAAAAAGTACGTTCCGCGGGAATACCCTCTCAGCGAATTCGTGCGGGAATTCTCTGGGAACAGAGCATACGGTCTCAGTCCAGTTGAATTCTAAGCCAGATCAGAAGCCAGATCCTGTCCTAGCTTTGCTGCAAGCCTGATCCGCAAAAGATCTCTGCTTGCCTAGGCCTAGTCCACAAAAAGTCACAGGATCCGGGACTGATTTACAGACCAGATTATAACACTTCTGCCGTATTAAATACAGGATTAGCAAACAAAGCAAGGTATCCATTTTCTACTAGTTTTTTTATCGTGTCAACTGTATCTTTTATTAATATTCTTTTTTACAGCTGAATCTCATCCGCCAATGCTATCCCTTTGGTTTTCTCAAGAGTTGTGAGGAACAACAGGAAGTGATGCAATCGAAGAGACAAGTAAACGTTTTAAGTTTTAAGCTTAAGCTTAAGCAATTGCACTTTTTAAGTAACATCGTTCCAGGAGTTCAAATTTGAAGTCATATCAACACCTGAAGCGATGAAATTGGCACAAAAAGTTGTAGCTGTTCGTGGAGAGGTGAGCAAAGTATTTAATCAACGCAAAGAAGAGCTTGATCTGGTTTTAATTTTGGTTTTCTTTCTAAACTAACACTAGTCCATTATATGAAAGCAAAAACATCCGGGAACCTGGCAATTTTATATGCAAAATTCAATTAGGTTGGCAAGAAAGCTCGTAGAAAAAGTTCATTTCTCAAAAACCAAGCAATGAATTTTGGGTGCTCAAAAAGGGTCAAAAAAGGGAAAAACGGCAAAAATAGCCAAAAATCGTCGTTTTTGAGCACTTTGAAAGGCCCGAAAACCCTTAAATTTCAACGAATTTCCACAAACTAAAAGCTTATTCCCACTAAATCGAATACGGAGAATCTTTTTGCTGAACATTATCATGCTCTAAAACGCCTCAGGAAAAAGTTGTAAAACTATACTTTTATTTTCATGCATTTTTAAGTGCCTCAAAGTTTTTTCAGAAAACTCGAAAACTGTTTAATAGATGTATATTGAACTATATTTTACTTTACTTTTGAAAGTAAGTTAAAATAATGCACGAGAGAGAAGACACGAAATAATTCCCTCGGTGCTATTTAATTTTCCGCCACTGTAGGTGCCTAGCTGGCCATTTCCATACGTGGCAATCTCGATCACGAGATCGTCACGACAGTGACTTGGTCACTTTTTGAGTGACCAGGCTTTAGACAAGTTTTGAAATGGTTAATGAATAAGCAATGGGTCCCATTCAAAACTTAAAATCAAGTACTTAAAATAGGGAAAATTTGTGATTAAGGCAAATGTCATCTAATGCTTTAACTTTTCAGCATGACCCATTCTAGCAAATATACAGTGCCAAGAAGATGACACGAAAAAACTCTTTTTTAAAATACAGCTCCTCTGTCAAGAATTTTTGGCCAAGAATAGAGATTATAGAGTGTAAAATAGAGATTCATTTATGCTGGCTTTACCTTATAGAAAATCGTTTTTCTGGTGCAAAAAGTGAGCTGAATTTAAGCTGGAAAATAATACTTTTTCAAAAATCCCTAAAATTTAACGGGAAAGCTGCACTCATTTCTTTACGAGTAATTTCTTTGAGTTGACTTGTAAATAATAGAAGAAAATGTTCTTGAATTGGTGGATTTGTTTTTAAGAAATTTCAGTCAAACTTTTTCCGAGAACTTTCTTTCGAACCTAATATTTACCGATTTACTCATCTAGCAATTTTGCTAAATGGATTTAGCAGTTTAGCAGTTTAGCATTTAGAAACTTTGCTATTTGCTAAATGCTGATAAATACCAAAACAATTTTGCTTAATTTAAAAAAATTGAATTTTGTTTCTTGTAAACTGAATATTCTGCTGCGAATCTGTGATTAGTTTTTTGATATCTTTGTTCAAAGCAGAGCTATAAGTGTTTTTCGGAGCTGGCGGCACTGCTTAACATTCTCGAAGGTGTTTAGCAAAACTCGAGGCTCACCAAGAAAGTTTGGTGAACCCAAAAACTCCGCTGAATTTAGCAGCTGGTAGACTCGGTTATTTATAAATGATAGAAGAAAATGTTCTTGAATTGGTGAATTCCTCTTTAAGAAATTCCAGTCAAACTTTTTCTGAGAACTCTCTTTCCAACCTAATAGGACTCTCCACTTGCGTCTCTCTCATCAACTCCCAGCCGAACTATCGATGAAATTTCTAAATCGATCACTTGGGAACCACCTTTTCCACCACCAGTAAGAATTTAATTCGTTTTTCTAGTTGAAATGCAAAAACAACAATCGAACTCAAGACTCACTTTTAGGACGCAAATCAGAAATTGACGCAAAAACACATGAAATCGCTTCAAAAGAGGATTGCAATTGAAAAAAACTGAAGAAGGAGCAACTGACAGACGAAGAGATGGCTCAGCAGAGGATCTGGAAACGACGAGAAAGCTTACCAATTCATAAAAAGAAGAAGGAGGTGCAAATTTGTTTGGTTCAATGTACAGTTCAAAAATTTAGATAATTGACCTCATCGCCAAGAACCAAGTTGTGGTGGTACAGGGAAGCACTGGGTGTGGAAAATCGACACAGGTCTTACTCTTTGCCACTCTAGATCTAACTTAAATTTGGATATTTTCAATTTAATTTCTGACATCATGGTATGATTTGTAGATTCCCCAATTCCTCCTGGAGAATCATCTCGCACGGGAACAAGGTGCCAGCTTTGTTGCCTTCATCACTCAACCAAGGAGGTTGTGCACTATAATGTGTTTGCTGTTGTGTTGTGTTAACGAGTTGTTTGCTATAATGTATTTGGTTTAGTCTACAGTACTGGACAATGAAATATCATATTTGAAAAAACGATCGTCACTTTCGCGCGTCTGTAACTCTCTTGTCTTTGAGTTTAAACTATTAGTGTTATGCATTTTCTGAAAGCTCTTTTCAAGGGCTACACAATGGTAATATTAATATTTAGAAATACGGTAAAGACAATGGAGTTACAGGCGCGCGAAAGTGACGTTTTTTTTTTCAAATATGATATTTCATTGTCCAGTAGTCTATCTATAATGTGTCAACTTCCCATAAACTATCGTAATATTGTCTTTGTTTTTATCCAGTATTTTCGGTATTCTCGAATAGACTAATACTTGGAATAAACAAAAATAAAGTTAAGAGTACGGTGGAAAGTTGACACGTCTTAGAAAACCCTTTAATTATACAAAATTTCATTGCAAGTACCATATTGCAAGCATTTAGAATCTGTGCCAAGTCATTGGCAAAACGAGTTGCTCAAGAACGAGGAGAAACTCTGGATCGAAAGGAAAAGATCGCCAACAGATCGGTTGGATTTGCGATGAGGTGAATAAACAAATGAAATCGAAATGGTTCTTGCATTTACTTTTCAGATTTGACAACAACTCACCCCGTGGTTATGGATCGATTTGCTATGTGACGGCCGGATATCTCTTGCGGAAAATGCAGTCGGGACTCCATGGAGTCAGCCATTTGTTCATTGATGAGGCACATGAGATGGATAAAGATGTAAGGGGCAAATAGTTGAAAATTGTTTAAATGTTGATCAAATGCTTAAACGAATTCAATCTCTTAATAATTCATTCCAATCCAATTTCTGTTTCAGATCGAAATCCTTCTGACTCTTGCAAAAGATTTGGCGCAAAAGTTTCGAGATTTGAAGATTATTATCATGAGTGCTACCATCAATGTCGCTTCTCTTCAGGTTAAAATTCTTTGAAAATACCCTCAAAGCCATCAAATTGAAAATGATAACAGTGTTCCACAGGTTTTTTTCTCTAAAGTAAGCTTTTAGGAGTACTTCCCGAATTGTGGGTTCCTTCAGCTTCAGGGAAAAACGGCGTACCCAGTGGAAGGTTTGTTTCAACGATTTTCAAATACTGTAAGCATTCAAAATTTCAGATTTCTATTTGAGTGATGTGAAGCGAATTCTTGAAGCTGCCGAAAATGAGAACAGTGATCCACAGGTTTCTTTCTTTTTTTAAAGCTGATAAGCTGAGACAAAACTAAGTCCAATTCAATGTTTAGAAAGAGCATTCTCCTAGCAACGATTCTCAATTAGAAGCGAAATTCGATACTCTGCCTGAACTGAATGAAGACATGGTAAGCTTTTGTTGGACTGAATGCACTAAATACTTTTTAGGCGGCTCTCAGTTTGGAGCACAAAATCGATGAGAGGTTGCCGTTTGATTTGATCCAGGTAAAAGAATTCACAAACATCAAGACACTCATCCATTCCATTGATAGCTCTTTGCACTATGTTGTCCAGTTCAGGTTGAATATATATAGGTCATCACAGATCTCTTCCTTCCACGGCCCAATCGATCCCTGTTGTTTCCCAATGCTTTAAACCATGCAATTATTTGATAGACGGTAGCTCGACTTGCTCCTCGGCGATTCTGGATTGAACGCGCCGAGACACCACACTGATGAAGATCGATGATCGATTGACGGTGGATCGAAGGCTTCACCATCCCAACAAATCGATTACCTGAAACAGAAAAAACATTATTTTAGATTTGTAAATGATAAAAAACAAAGAAAAACTGAGAGTAAATAAACAAAATCGAAAGGAATCTCTTCTTATTTTAGTCGTGCGCTAGTATGAGTAATTTTGACGCACCCTGTACCTTGATATCTAAACGTAACTTGATATTCCTTGACATTCATTGCTTGAAAGTGTTAGTTAACATTGTATTGCATGGTTTATGTATGGATTTATCTATGAACTTTGATTCTAAATATCATACCGGAAACTTAACCGTGAACGAAAGAACAAATCCATTATTCAGGGATTGTAAAAATGATCAGACTCACGATTACTTAAAATCTATGAAATTTGTACATAGAACTTTTAGCAACTCATCGAGTACATTGACGGAAACGAGGGTGAAGGTGCGATTCTCGTTTTCTTGCCTGGCTGGGGAGAGATCAAACGCCTTTTCACATTGCTCCGCGATTCCAGTGCTCTTGATCGTAAGCTCTATCAGCAAAATTTCAATCAAGTCCAATTTTTAGAAGAAGCCATCAAATTGTTGTGTCTTCACTCAAAACTTCCAAAATGGCAACAGAAATTGGTCTTTGCAAAAGGCGAAGGAAAGCGAAAGGTAAAGAAACAAGTATCACAAGTGCCATGTTTTAAAACAAATTAGATTATTCTTTCTACAAATCTTGCTGAAAGCAGTGTCACGATTGAGGATGTCGTTTTTGTGATCGACTCTGGATTGTAAGTCGAATAGATTTGTTTGGAAGATTGAGCTTTGGGTAAATGTTATGGTAGATGTCGATCTACCATTTCTACCAGGGTCGATCTACTATCTATTATGGTCGATCTACCATGGTCGATCGGCTGACGGCACTTGGCCGGGTTCTGGTTGAAATTCCACTCGAAGTCAACGAGTTTCTTTTATAATGGGCAAATTTTGATCATCAATTCCAAGTTCTAGGTTTTTTTTGCAAAAAGCTGAGCCAGTCATAGGATGTGTTGCTTTTTGATTATTACAATCCGAACAGTTTTCTTTAATTATTACAAGCAGTTCCGAAGACTTAACATAGGTTAGCCCTTTTAGTCTTGAAGAATACAGTCATTACCATTCAGGGCTCGAGTAGCTCGCTTCTCTCCCGAAACGAACACCAACTACTTTTGTACAATCAACGCCTCACGAGCAAATTGCTTGCAAAGGTAGTAAAGTCTTAATCTCATAAGGAGATTAGGACTTGAACTTGAATTAAAATCTGTCCCACAAAGTTTTATTTTAGAAAAGGCCGTGCTGGGCGTTGTCAAAAAGGAAAGTACTACTTAATGGTCCCCAAGGAGAAATATGACAGGTATTACTTTAGAGACTTAAGATATCGTAAAAGCTGTAATAGTAGCCTCGGGGGCATTATTTTTTCGATAGTACTTTTTGTCATTCACATGACCAAAACTGGAAAATATAAGATAATTAAAGAAACAGTTTTCAATTTATTTATTTACCAAAACAAGTAAAATTTAACAAAAATTAAGAAAAAAACCAGAAATTTAAAAATCTATTGGATTGGTGAATTGAAATCTACAGGCTATTTCGCGGGACTCGCAGATAAAAAACAACAGCATTGAACCAGCTGAAAGGGGGTTTGGTTACTTCAAGTTTTGGTTTGGAAATTTAAAAATCTAGATCAACTGATACCTCAGACCTAAATTCTTCCTCACATATTTCTGCTTCTTAACGAAAATTGAGAGGATTTGCTGAAGTAAGTGGATCCAGAAGCTCATCGATTTCTTTTTCGACACTTGTATCCCTGAGTCACTATAATCCTGTAGGAATCGGGTCATCGGGCTTAAAACAGTGAATCAGCTGATCGTCGGCACCACTTGGATCGTTTCTAACACCCCAGCTTTTTGAAGGATCGAGATCAAATTTGAGAAACTATTATTAGAGGGGGGTCACTATTTTTTTTGTTGGGGGTTACTATTACAACTTTTACGGTAACGGTAACTGTCCTTTTTCTAGTTACCACGAATTCAACGAGTCATCTCTGCTGAATACAACTCTCTACAATGTCTACTTGACAATCAAGGTATACAAAAAGGATCAGAGAAAACCATATTTTACAATTTTAGGCACTGAAACTCGGAGATGTGGAAGATTTTCTGGGAAGAGCCCCTTATCCGCCATCAAGCTTGCGAATTGTAGAAGCAAGGTGTAAGCTACAAGGTAAAAACTATGAACTATGAGTTTTGCTTTAAACCAAAGATTTTTCGGGGAACTGCAAGCAAGGTAAGACAAGCTCAGGTCCTGGTTAAAATCCAGACCTGGTTTTTAGCTAATCTAGGCTTCTGGCTTGCTAAGCTAGCCTGGTCTAGCTTAGCCTTTCTTGGTATTTTCTGAACTCTTCCCCTTGATACATCCATGGTTACAGCTCTTTTATGTTTAGCAGAGAAGGTAAAATGCATAAAACTATTTAATAAAACTGTAACTATAGCTATATTAAAGCTGAGAGCTGTGATCAAGAAACAATCTTTTTGAGCCAAGTTTTGATTTTGGTTATGTTTAGCTAGACCTCGATTTCAAGCCGACTCTGAAACTCCAGTAATCTACCAATTTCCAGAAATCGGAGCTCTCGATGTGCACGATCGGTTGACGGCTCTTGGCCGGGTTCTGGCTGAAATTCCACTCGAAGTCGATCTTGGATCAGCTCTCATTCTCAGCCGCTTATTTGGGTGGTTTAACATAATCCTATTTTCATAGCAACCTCTTTAGTGTTCACGATCATGTTATCGAGCTCATTTGCAATACTCAAAATGCTCCATGGAATTTAATGATTGCCAAGAAAGCTATTAACAAAATCAAGGAGCTGAAAAAGTTTGCCAGCTGAGAAAGTTGAAAAAAATTTGTTTCAGCAGCTACATAAAGAAGATCCCAACGCCATCGGATCATGAAGTGATGAAATTAGTGGCTGAGAAATTTGCGGTTGATTTTTGTTGTACTTGGATAGTAATTACTGACCTTTGCATTATATTATAACATTGCAAGACACCGAATTGCTAGTAATATTATGAGATTACCAATTTCCAGTTACTTTACGAAGCGGATCAGAAAGCTTTTCTGAAGACGTATTCTTTAGATGGTGGTGCGATGCGGGAAGCAAGGTAAGTGTTGGGGAAAGAAGTGAATACTGTTGTATATCTCAAACCTAACTCTGCTACTGTAAATACTGTAATAGTACCCCGCCTCACGTACAGTCGTGCAGTCGCAAAAGTTTTTTAGTATTTCATTTTTTTTAAAGCACTCGTAATTTCAAAAAATGCGTCTTTGATTTCAAAAAATAGCCCTGAATTTCAGCTATTTTTTGATACCTAAGCGCGCATTGTAGCATAAACCACTATTGTGAAAACGTGTTCGAAGTTAGACTACGCAACACTTCTCACCGTCATTAGGTGAGTGAGGTAGTATGACAGTCTTGACGGTAATTCTTTGTTCAACTGGAGCACTGTTATTGATGTTTTTGATTAAGGTTTATTTGCTTGATCTATGTAAATCAATGCTTTTCATATCAAATTCGCTAATAGTCAGAGCTTTTGTGCTCAAGCTCAATGACAATTTAACCATTTTTAAGGCGATCGAACTTGCAACTACTTCAAATCTTAGAGCGTCACTTCGTCAAAAATCCGCAGAAGAAAACGAAGGAAGTACGGTAGTTTTAAGCTAGCTCAAAGCTAGATTGCCAATGGCAAAAGGGGGCGCGGTTGTGGTTGTGGGACCTTTTATACGCGTCTCTACCCCTTTGCCATTGCCAACCAAACTTTGAGCTCAAATATCTTGGTGTTGGGCTGTCCAATTTAAATAGTTTTTGTACCAATCGACAGAGAAAGACTTGGCGCATCCAATGATATCAAGAATGCTTAAATTGGTCAGCTCGACAATAAGAAATTTGAGTTCAAAGTTGGATTGGCAATGGCAAAGGGGGCGAGGCGCGTATCAAATGCCCGCTAACCAAAATTTTATACAATATTCAGGAGAATCCTTCGCTGTCCCTGGGCATCCTCTCTCGAGCTTTTTACCCGAATACCGGAGTCATTGATAAAGAATCGGTACATTTCTCAAAGATTTAAAAAAATCAATCGTTTAGATTTCTAAAATTTTGAATTAAAATATATATCTAAATAGAAATTGGAATGATTTTTTCCAGAAAAAGATCATAACGATTGCTCAAGACTGTCCCGAGATCAACTCGATTTCTGTCGCTCACACGAACAATCAAGCAGCGAATCGAATTTGCTTTTTCAACGAAAAGGTAAAAGCTTAAAACAAATGAAATTCAACTCTTTCAGACCCAAAGCAATAAAAAAGTTCACTGCCAAGAAATCTCGACAATTTCACCGGTTCAATTGATTCTCTTTGCGGCTGGGCTTGTGAAGAAAAGTGAAAATGGAGAAGTTTTGATTGGCGACACGTAAGTTTATTGATTTAATTCAAGCAATAAACGTTTAAAACTTAAATCCTCAATGTAGAAAGTTGATCATCGAATGTCGTTTATTCAAACGCAGTTTATTTTGATTCAATATGATTAAACGAGATTGGTGAAAAGACTTTGATTCTAAATTTAAGTATGCGGAGAACTGGATTAATAAACTTGACAAATTGAGACTTTTGAATTGCCGGAGAACATGGAACAGTCCTAAGCTTTCTTTTTAACAAAAAGCTTACAAATTCTCAACATTCCCACTAAATTCATTCAATTTTCGTTTATTTTGCTTGGAGATGATCAAATTGCTTTCAGAATTCGAATCAAATTGGACCCAACACTAGCCGACGCTTTGCTTCAGCTCCGCAAATGGATCAAGGTTGTATAATTACAATAAAAGAGTTTAAATATCAATTTCAGAATCATCTCATTAATTTGTCAGCAATTCCTGAAGAAACCACACTTATCTTTAACCATTTTCTGAAGCTAGACTATAAGAAATGTTAAAGAAATTATAAAATTACCTTTATCTTTGTCGAATTAATATTTCTTATGTACTTATGTCAATCTTTTCATTTATCTATCTAATTCCAACAATGTGATTTTTCTATTTTCCCAAAAACACACTCTTGTCTAATAGTTGCAAGTTGTTATAAGAATTTTTGCCTACTTTGGTGATAGAACAGGATTTTTTCCGCTAAATAAATCAATTGAAAGTATTTCAAACGATTTTGAGTGATCTCAAGTTATACTTGGCCTGTAAAAAGTTTAATTTAATTTAATTCTTCCAGCCAGCAAAATTCGATGTGACTAATGTTTAGGTTGGCGTTTTTCGAGGTGGTAAATTAAAGGAAATGATGATCAGACGAAAAGATTTGTGCATTTTCCTACAAAATTTCTAACAAAACACAATGCCCGCGAAATGGCTCCCGAGAAAATCACAATCAAATCAAACGTAATCAAATCAATCGCAATCAAATCAATCGCAATCAAATCAATCGCAATCAAATCAATCGCAATCAAATCAATCGCAATCAAATCAATCGCAATCAAACCTTATAGCCCTTAAGCCAAATACGCACTATAAACATACGTTTGCTAAAGATCTGACAAGGTACATCGAACCGGATTACAAGAAGAAAATGGAGGTGGCGATCAAAAGTTTTTGAGAAAGAAGAGAATTTTTGGCCATTTCACCAGTGAAATAAAAAATGACTTTAGGGAAATTTGTATTTTTCAATCAAAGCAAAAATGTTCGCAGCGGGCAGGATTCGAACCTACGCGGGCAGAGCCCAATTGATTTCTAGTCAATCTCCTTAACCACTCGGACACCGCTGTTCCGGTCCGAAAAGAACCTCCATAAAAAGCCTTAGGATTGGCAGGTGTCACTTGTCAAATTTTCATTCTTTATCAGGGAGTTTTGGTCAATTTTACGTTTTTCATCATATTTGCATTCAAAGTTAAACAAAAAAACAGAAATGCAAGTAAAGTTAGTAAGTAAAAGTATTAAAGTCAAATTCAATTTTTACCGAAAAGGAATAAACTGCAGTTTTTTTCTTTTCAATAACTTGAATGCACCTTTATTATAGCTCATCTTAAAGCCTTGATCAAATAAAATATTGCGTATCTATTTAAAAGTTTAATTACTGAGTGAAAAGGAAAATTTTTAAAAGCCATGATAAGTTTATTGAATGGGAACACCGTGATGAGGTCCCTCCGCATGGGGGCTCGTGTCTTGATCCAACGAGAAATCGGAATGTCCGGTCTCGACCTCGTCCTGCGAAGCTTCACCCATGATATTGTAGCGTTTGTAAGCTGTCGATTTGCCGGTTTTCAGATTTCGGATCACATAACGAGGCTCGTCTTCACTCGCATGAATTGTGACTTCGCCTGGAATTTGGTGGAGTTTTAGAAGCACTCGTGATTCATAAAAACGAACTCCAAACCCATTTCCGAATCGAACCAAGCCATTTCCTATTTGAAAGAGCAGTGTAACCAGCATTATCTTTAAAATGTCAGTAACGTAAGCAAGATTTGTCTTCAAGTGTCTTTAAGGTTTAATCGAGACTTCGGTTTGTCTAGCACGTTCTAATCTATTTTTTCTTTTGATTTTAGATATTCCGGATTCAAATCAAATTTCTCCCTCAAATTACCACTCAGATCTTGGTCTAAAAGAGCTTTTTTCTAGAAGGCTCAGCTTTTTTTACCTGTTCTTGAAGTTGCACTCTGCACGGGCGTCTCCCCAGTCAACACCTCCTCAATTGTTCCAACGGCTGAACGAGGGGTTTTGTCTATCGGAATATAGACCACATTTTCTCCCTCTTCATAATCCTCGTTCGTTTCTTTCTTCGAGAGTTTGAAGGGCATTTTGAACTAAAAATGGAATAAAATATATAAAATGTCAATTATTTTGAACAGCTTCTAGAAATGTGTTCAAAAATGATTGATAAAAATATAAAATCAAAAGGATTGCGTTGAAAAAGCTGTAAAAAATGTCTTGAAATGGTGTCTTATATAAAGCCAAGTTGTTTTTGAGAATGAGTTGTTTCAGTATGTCAAACAGCATGCCAAACGCCAATGACTTTGTGTGAATTTTGACTAAATAACTGTAAAACCTATTACATATATTTGGATAGTCGCATAAATTTGATTTTCTGACCTTTAGGCTAAAGCTGGGTTATAGCTAGGCTTTTCTACAGGGTGCGCTAGAATTACGGCTACACCTTTTCAGCAGATTGCATGCCAAACGCCACAATCAATTCAAAAACCCTAACTGTTATAAAGAGAATTGAAGCCTGAATTCTTGCCTACATTTCTGTACTAAAAGATCTTTGATTGGAGTTTTGCAGCCGATTTTGCAGACCCTCAAATGAGTAGAGTGCGTTCCTCGCGAGTTTACTCAAGTAAAATCTGCATCAGTAGTTTTTACTCGATTAATCGACGCTTTTGTTCGAGCAACTACGAGCAATCCTCTTTAGACATCGAGTAAACTGAATATCTTTACATTTAAAGGGAATTTGCCACCAAATCAGTTAAACGGTTGAATATAAAGGGAATCCCACGAGCTCGAAGTTCAGAATCGTTTCGTGACCAAGTACATCTTATACAGAGTGGGCCAGAATTACGGCTTCACCTTTTTTACGCAGAATTACGGCAGATTGCATGCTAAACACCGCAATCAATTCAAAAACCCTAACTGTTATATAGAGAATTGAAGCCTGGATTCTTGCCTACATTTCTGTATTAAAAGATCTTTAAACTGTCAATTATTTTCAACAGCTTCTAGAAATGTGTTCAAAAATGATTGATGAAAATATAAAATCAATAGGATTGCCTTGAAAAAGCTGTAAAAAGATGTCTTGAAATGATGCCTTATATAAAAGCAAGTTGTTTTTGAAAATGAGGACTGAAAAAATTTGAATACAGATTTTGCAATGAGTGCATTGAATTCTTGTTTACCGGATAAGAGACTGAGGAAAAAGAAGAGAAAAACAAGAAAAGCACGCACTTTTTGCGTTTGTTTACGGCGTTGGACTTCTCTGAAAAGGGCGAATTCAGTAAAAAGAAATGTTACGAAAGAGAAAAAACCCTACGAAAGAGAAAAAAAACTGAAATTGAAAACGATAGATTAGTTTAATCTAATCATCTGAATGCAAAAACCTAAAGAACATCTAAAGAATGAATACCGAAATCTTTAGAATACTCATACTCTATAATACTAATAATATTCTTCTAGTTTTCAAGAAATACTTGTACTTTGCAGAGTTTTACGACTCAAATAGCTGATTTAGTTGTGTTTTTTCTTTAAAAATACTTGAATATGGCAAATTTGGTAGATGAAAAGGTAAATGCGATGTATATTCCTGCCTCTTGCATCACAAAGTATTCTTTAATTGCTTAATCTTAAAGCTTAAGCTTAATCTTAAAGCTTAATGCTTAATCTTAAAGTTTAATGCTTAATCTTAAAGCCTAATGCTTAATCTTAAAGCTTAATGCTTAATCTTAAAGCTTAATGCTTAATCTTACAGCTTAATGCTTAATCAATTGATCAAAAGCTTTCTATTCGTAGCAAATTTTAAAAGTATTAACATAAATATGTCGTTATCTAATATGTAAATTTGTTTTGATATCAATTCTTCTTTATTTTAGTATTTCTAGCATCAAGTTTGGCTTAGCTATTTTGCGCCCTTATCAACCTTTCCACTGCCTTTTTTTGCATGACTCACCACTTCCAACTCACTCAAAAACAGCTGTCCAAAAAGGGCTGGGTTTAGATTAATTTCTATATTTTCTTAAATTCTCTTTTATTTAATGTTTCCAATGAACTTCTCCTCATTCCCTCAAGAACTTAGAAATCAAATTCTTTCTCATTCCGGTATTGCAGAGAACCTAAAGTTGCTCAAAGTCTGCAAAACTTTACGCTATTTCTTTCTTCACAATGGCCCATTTCCAAAAGAAATTGATTCAATCAAGTTCGAGATTTTGACGAACTACGAAGAAGTTGCGGAAAAGACGAATGATCGATTTTTCTTGCAATCTCAAAGTCTAACTTTACCAACTCGTCGCCCTTCTCTCCACCACTGGCAAAACATTAACTCTTTACCCTATTTTGGAGAGATTTTCGAGAAAATCCGGCCACCACAATTGAAGCCAAATTCAAGGATTTACACAGTTGAGAGGTTTTCTTATAACATTGAAATCACTAAAAGATCTTCGACTTTGAGGATTCAAGACAAGAAAATCAGGATTGGATCTCTTTACTTTCCCATCAATTTCAAAGTCTCTTCACTATTAGATCTTATTGTTTCTTGCAAGAATTTATCTATTAATGGTGACAATAATCTAGCTTTGCTTCCAGCTGAAGAATGGATATTCGATCAACACTTTCAGAGCCGAAAACTTTTTGCTAAACTTAACGAGGTGAAAGAGCTGAGTGTGAATTTGAGATCATTCAATGTCATGATTTTGGATAAACTAAAAATATCCATTGCTGAAAAATCTCGTTTTTCTTTAATCCTTATTCAAAACGATACAAGGTATCTAGAAAAAGTGATTCGAATCTTAAAAAGTGGATATTTCAATTACTGTAACCGCTTCGAGTTGCACGATTGCGAGCACTTTTTAGATCTCTTGCCAGAGCTCTTTTCACCATTAAAGCCTCAATTTCTCTGGAATCACTTTAGCTCAATGATGAGTTTTTCCAAGGTTTTTCGAGAATTGCTAAAAACCAGGAGATTAAGTGAAAACCCATTTGTAACCGTTTGTATTTCATTGAGTTTACCAACAAGATCATTTCCCTCAGAATTTCTGAGCCTAATCAAAGCTCATCAAACAGAGGAAGTGATTAAATCAAAAGAAATAGAAAAGCTTTGGAATTTGTTTAGAGACTTTTGCGAGATTGGAGAATTCAGTGAAAATCGAGAACTATCCATTGAAAAAGAGACTCTTCAAAATGGCTTAATCAGAAGATTTTTTAAACAACATATTTATGGAGCTGATGAAAGAGTGATTGGCTTGATTTGTGTCAACAAACCCTATCCGAATGATAGAGACTCACATACTCTGTACCTCTTCATGAAAAATCAACCTGTTTCTTAATAAATTGTTTATTGATTTCAACTTCTGCACACAAAAGTTTAATTGTTTTTTTGGAAAAATCATTTGTAACTGTGCTTGTGTTGATCGTAGAGTTGCAATCGTTTTACGCTCATTGCTGAGAGTCCAATGCTGAGAGTTCTTTGCTGAGAATCCAATGAAACAAATGAGCACAAATTTGACAAAGTAGAGGGTTTGTAAAAAAGCAATTATGATAAGAAAAGTAGTAGAAACGAATGTTATTTTGCTAGTGATCTAACTAACGCCGAATGAAGCTAGTACAGTAACGTTTAGTTGGTGGTAAATCTAACTGTAACTGGAGCCCTGGAGCCGGTTTATCTCTCAGGTACCTTCTTTTCTTATCTAACAAATGATAATTTTTGGAAACAAGTCCATGAAAAGCAGTCTATACCAACGTAAAAAGAGTCCCATTCAATTTCCTAGTGCTCCCATTCTTTAAACTTATTATCACTTCTAAAAACTTCTATTATAACTTATATAACTTCTAACTTCTAAATCTTCATTTTCCTTTAGTTTATGTGTAATCCTTTGAAATTTTATTGTATACAATACATTTATACAATACATTTATTGTATACAATACATATCACAATACATATTACGTATATTTTATTTAATCAAAGCTTTAAGTTGAGCTATTTTAAAGATGCATTCAAGTTCATGTGGATAAAATTTTGGATATGAAAATGAGACTGTAAATCTGATAAAATAAAACAAACTTGAATGTTGTTTGTGGCTAGGATTGATGAAAATTGACTAAGACTCATTGATAAAGAATGAAATTTGATAAGTGACACCTGCCAATCCTAAAGCTTTTTATAGAGGTTCTTTTCGGACCGAGACAGCAGCAGCGGTGTCCGAGTGGTTAAGGAGATTGACTAGAAATCAATTGGGCTCTGCCCGCGTAGGTTCGAATCCTGCCCGCTGCGAACATTTTTGCTTTGATTGAAAAACACCAATTTCCCTGAAGTTAATATTCATTTCACTGGTAAAATGCCAAAAATTCTATTCTTTCTCAAAAACTTTTGATCGCCACCCCCATTTTCTTCTTGTAATCCGCTTCGATGTACTTTTTCAGATCTTTAGCAGACGTATGTTTGACCAAATTTTCTTTATAGTTTTGTTAAAATGACAAAAGAAAACTGCGTATTTGGCTTAAAACGCAAGTGTTAAAAATCAAGACTACAGTTTTTACAAAACGAAACTTCATTCAAAACACTTACTTGCTGACAAAGTTCGACAAAACTCGGCCATTATTTTGAGCAAGTCCCCTAGCGCGTATAAAGCCACATAAACAAGTCCAAGACACTCAAGACCATGACTCGATAAGACAGAATCAAACCGCAAATTCATCGACAGCACCGAATTCTTGTTCAAAACATTCAAAAGAAGAACTTTTTCTTCAACTGGCGTATATTTGGGTAATGTCGATTTGTCGGTGGTTCATATTCATAAAGAATTTGCTTCATATTCATAAAGAAAAAGCCAAAAGACAGATTTGTTTTATGTCCAAGCATTTTCGAGAAAATTGTCTAATCAGTAATAGAACCATGACAATTTATTATTTGAAAAACTCTGGCATTTATACTTCCAGTGAGTTTTTGCAGGACTACCTGGTCAAGGTTCTGCCAGGTCATTCGGATTGCTGCTTTGAGTTGATTTATTAATTATTAATGAACTTTTCATTCGTTTTTCTTTTGTTTATTCTCAAATTTATTGTTATTCTTTATGTGGTCCTATCATTTTGCAAAAGGTGTTAAATAAGGAAATTGTTATAAATTTTGTTGCAACTTGTTAGATAACGTTAAAAATGTCTATTTTTGTATTTTACTTATTTTTGTATATGTCGTAGCCGATGAAGGATTTCAGCCGAAGAAGTCTCAAAATGAAATCTTGAGTTATGTATTGACTCAAGTCAATACCACAAACTCAAGCTCTCTAAAAGGCGCTTAAAAGCTAAAAAGGCATTCTAAAGAGTGCGCATTTTATCATACTATAACCAAAGGCTATAAAAGGACCCTTTTCGTCATTCGTCAAAGGCACGGATTTAATCGATCTTCAATCCGTTTCCGATGGAGAATTCAAGTTTTTGATGGTCTACCAGGATCATTTCACAAAGTTCATCGTTTTGTGGGCATTGCAAAGGAAAACACAATTTGAAGTTGTCGATCATCTAATGGAGATATTCGGAACGTTTGGAGCCCCAAAAATTCTTTAGTCCGACAACGGAAAGGAGTTCGCCAACAGATTGGTAAGCTTTTACTTTTGTGTCCTATCGAATTTCTTTGTGACGCTTTATTTTGTTTGCTTTTAGGTCAAAGAACTCGTGAACCGGTGGTATTATTGTTTATTTTTGTTTTATTATTGTTTATAGACTCGCTTTTTGGTATTATTATTTATTTTTGTTGTTTAGTTTGGTCGAAAAATGCAACTTGCAATGAAAAATGCAAAATGCAACTGCAACTAGAATGCGTTTTTAGCTTTTAAGCGCCTTTTAGAGAGCTTGAGTTTGTGGTATTGACTTGAGTCAATACATAACTCAAGATTTCATTTTGAGACTTCTTCGGCTAGCCGAAGAAGTCTGAGACTTCTTCGGCTAAAATCCTTCATCGGCTACGACATATAGATGCCTATTTTTGTATATATTTCTAGGATTTAAAAGCTATTTCGCGTTGTTAAATTTCATAGCCAAAAAAATGTAAAATTTAGGGGTGGTCCTATCATTTTGCAACGCATTTGCAATTAGCTGTTCCCCATCTCTCTAAACTGTCATTTTTAGGGGTGTCCAAAAAATTATGAAACGTACTGTAGTATTCTGAAATGAAAATTCAGACTTGAATAGTTTTTTAGCTAAAGCACAAGTCTTTCTCTCATCACGCTTTCAAGGTGCTGAGTATAGTTCACACTTTTTGTAACTTTCCCCTTTCACAACTAGAGTGTGTTCCTTGCAGACAACGCGTTTTCTAAAAAGCGCGCGCCAAGGATAAGCTACCGTAACCTTATGCTTTGCATCAGCAAATTTTTCAAAATGCAAATGTACATTAAAATCTTGCGCTCTTTTTTTCTATTACTCTTTCCTTAACTCTATTACTCTTTCCTTAACTCTACTCTTTCCTTAGCTCTATTGCTCTTTCCTTAACTCTACTCTTTCCTTAGCTCTATTACTCTTTCCTTAACTCTATTACCCTTTCCTTAACTCTATTACTCTTTCCTTAGCTCTATTACTCTTTCGCTAAAACTTAAAATTTTTTAAATGCTATGTAAAATTAAATAAAACATTTAAAACGGGAAAAGTTAAGAAACACTATTAAAAAATTATATTATTTACGAATTTACCAGACCTATTGTCTACATTTGCACTAGAACCATTCCAAAAAAGATTCCACGCCCTAAAAAACCTAAATCCTTAAATAAAACTATCCATTACTACATTTTAAGAAAAGTTTGCAAATTTTTTTCGCGCGACCTTTATAGCTTTGCTTAAAAGCGCACGTTTTAGAGAACGCGTTGTCGGAAGTTTGTCGGATCAATTGTCTGACAAAAAAGTTGTCAATGCAAATTTGTCTGACAAATTGTCTGTCAACAAGGAGCACACTCTACTCCAAATAGTAAAGCTCTGAGCAAAGCAAAGGTATTGAGTATAGTTCACACTTTTTGTAGCTTTCCCTTTCACAACGATCAACACCAACCAGCAAGCTATATTCATTTGGCTTTGCAGAATCCAAAACTGAAATACCAAATTGAAAAAATGGCCGCAAATCTGCAAATAGCCATTTGAGTCACGCGAATGAATGCCCGAAAAAGTGTCCAGTTGTGTCAATAAATGATTAGCAGTAAAGTCCCCCGCAGTCTGCTCTGATCATCGAAAAAGTGGGCTAGATCATGAAAAATAAGAATTTAGTGTACTCTCCAGAGATATCTTGAAAGTTTTCACTGACTGAACAAATAGGTGACCCGAATTCTTTGATGTCATTTGAATGGTGATCGGTTATGAGAGATGTCTAGAGCTATGGTATAAATATCAAAGTTGCGCTCATTCAGATCATCAAAGAATACAGCTTTTTTATGCTTTTAAACTTTTTCATTGTTCTAGAGTACTGTATTCGTTGTGTCGGCTTAAAAATTGTCTAATTTGTTGAAATAACCCGACTAGGCAATTCAAATGAGACTAATTAATTGTATATAAACTTTTTGATACAGTAAGCTTCTTCTACGATAAGATTCTTTTACTTTAACTCTAACTAGTTTAGTAATACTGTTAAAGTAACCCATAAGTACTGTAATTTGACTATAACTATAATTGCTGCTCGAAGCTCATTCATGAGATCTTATCACTAACATTTCCAGATCCATTCTCTAACTAGGATGCTCCTAATACTTTTCTACAGTATATCAAACATTTAAAGGAACAACCTGGCTTTTTGTGCTATAACTACTGTTACTGTAGTCTAGATTACTTTAGTTTACTGTTACTGTAGTTTAGATTACTTTAGTTTACTGTTACTCTAGTCTAGATTACTTTAGTTTAATATCAAAGTTTAATATCAGTTTAATATCAATAGTGTAATATGCTTAGTACTTGGCTAGAAACCTTTCAGTTTTAGTGATTCAAATTTGGTACTAGAGCGTACTTTCTTTTCAACTACGAATAGCTATTGCGAGCAACTAACTACAGTAATCTCTAACTAGACTTTTCGTGCTATAACCACTGTTACAGTAACCTATAAAAACTCCAAAATTTGATATATATCTATAGCTTAAATACTTTAGTTTACAGTGGTCTAGTATGGTAAAGGAGTACTTGTACTTGTTGTACTTGTACGTGTTGTACTTGTTGTACTTGTACGTGTTGTACTTGTTGTACTTGTACGTGTTGTACTTGGTAAAGGAGTACTTGTACTTGTTCAAAACTACCGTATAAGATTCAGCCTTTCTAGAACGTTGTACTATGTATAAGAACTTGTGTCTGTACTTTGCTGTACCTTCTTTATCACCCAAGATATCTTACTTGGTTTCACTAATATTTCCAGATCCATTCTCGAACTAGGATGCTTGGTCACCTCTCTCTTCTCGTTGTCTGCTTCTCAGCAGTTGCTGCTTTCGATGGACTTGGGTTTCCATTTGGTGGAGAAATGAAACCACCACATGGTGGGCTTCCATTTGGTACCGGTCGACCATCTGGCCCACACGGACCACTTGGACCTCGTGGCCCACATGGACCTGGACCCCATGGCCCACATGGGCCTGGATCCCATGGCTCACATGGATCTGGATCCCATGGCCACTCACACGAACACTCTCACGGCAGCTCAAGCTCTGAAGAGAGAACAAGACCAACTCGTCGGCCAGTCACCCGCCGTCCAGTCACTGGTCGTCCCGTGACTGATGGCCCAGTCACTGACCAACCACAACCTGGAAATCAAACTCAATCAGGTAAAAAGATCTAGCTAGCCTTTTAACATTATATTCAGTTGGTGCTTGTGGTCTCTGTACCGCCGATTCGATCACTATTCCAACTGTCGACCAAAACGTCATGACAACCTGGTTCTCGTTGGATGAAATCACGTGAGCTTTTTATTCAAGTTTAATCTGTTACAAAGCTCGACTCAAAAACTAATAGTCCTCAATCACTCTTACAACAGAAAATTTTAGTCAGGGAATTGATGGTTGTCTTGTTCGAATGATGACGTGCATGTCGTCGACCGGAATTCAAACCGTCGTTTCAGTGAGTCTACAACAATAAGAGCTTTTAAAAAATTCACAAAATCAGGACACATTAAAGACATTCACAGACATTCACAGTTAAAGACATTCACAAAATCAGGACTGAAGTAAAGAAATGAGTCAGGATACTTTGAGAACAAGGAGTTGCAGGAATAAGATGTGTCTCTATCCCTTGGTTCAGGCAGAATATTTATTAAAGCACAGAAGGGTTTACATACAGAAAAGTTGAGGGGGAGATGTTTAGAAATGTCTATGTTTTGGCCAGCTTATGGCTGAGGAAATTGTGGAAAGATTTTGGAGGAAAAGGATGATTCAGAGGGAACATTGATCTCAAAGAGAAATAAACTTTATCGGAAGAAGTTCCGAACAGTAGTTAATGCTGCGGGATAATGCGGTTTAGAGACTTTAGCTAAAGAAACCTATCTTGGTGTTAGTAAATAAAAGATAGAGCATAAAAAGTTAAAAGTATCTAGCTGAATTTTCAGAGAAATTGATTCAGCCAATTTCTTCGTAGAGGTTTTTATAGATTTTTACGAAAAACCCGTCTTTTTACTTTCGAATTTACTTGAAAGTAAACCAAAATGGACTTAAAAAGATGAAAAATTGAACAATAAACACTTTTTATTTAAAGGAAACTATAGGTTAATTGATGAATTTCTTAATTTTCAACGAAAGTACCTCAACTATTTAAAAAAAATCTCTGTCCGTCCGTGCGTGCACTACTTGAAATTTGCATGATGGGGTTTTCCAATACGGGGATTTCGTTTCTGGGAATCATTTTTATGATTTCTAAAGCAGCTCGCTGTTATGGGGCTGTTCTGCTGGTGAAAAGGAACGAAAAGGCCTTCTGGACAGCCTTATCAATTCAATAAACCAATTCAGACAATTGATTTCGATTCCAAAATTTCGACCACATTGAATTTGGAATCTTTTCAATCTTACGCAATCATTTTAATTCTAATCAGTTATAAATTAAGTTCAACGACGACACATCGGGCACAGTCTCCGGAATGGGAAACGTTTCAATCGACTTGAACTGCAACGATGACTCCGAGTGGACATACATGAGAAACGGAGTCACCGAAGTGATCACCACAATTTCATGTCTCACTGCTTAATCACTTTCTTAATATTCTGCTGATTTCAACGTTTAATCGTGGTTGTCAAAAAGCGTTGTACTCAATTTGTTGTGGTGATTGTATTATTTCATATCTTCTTGTCGTACTTTTCATGGTTGTACGTGGTTCATTCTACGGTCGTATTCCAGTGGTATTCGTCCAACAATTGTGGTGATGAACTTAAATACTTATAAAAGTGTAATAAATGATCAATATGGAAATTGTAGTCAACACAATGTAACATTTCGGTTTTTTTGCGTTATACATCCGGAAAAATAAACCCCGATCATTTCCGTTATATTAGGTTGAAAAGAAAGTTCGTAGAAAAACTTTGCACAGTGATTTCTCAAAAACCAACTTGTGACTGTTCGTGGAGAGGTGAGCAAAGTATTTAATCAACGCAAAGAAGAGCTTTATCTGGTTTTAATTTTGGTTTTGCTTCTAAACTAACAGTAGTTCATTATATGAAAGCAAAAACATCACTGAATTGTTACCTGGCAATTTTATATGCAAGATTCTATTACGTTGGAAAGAAAGTTCGTAGAAAAACTTTGCGCAGTGATTTCTCAAAAAGCAAGCCATGAATTCTTCCCAGATTCTTTCATAAACTTGACTATATTTCAAAAAGTTTTTGACAAAAAGAATCAGAATGGGCTTCAAGTAAAAAAATAAGAGATTTCTTCAGCTAAAGTGACTTGGTCAGTTTTTGAGTGACCAGCCTTTTAACAATCTTTTAATTGGTTAATGAATAAACAATGGGTCGCATTTAAAACCTAAAATGAAGTACTTAAGATAGGGAAAATTTGTGATTAAGACAAATTTTATCTAATGCTTTAACTTTTCAGAATCACCTATTCTAGCAAAAATTCAGTGCCAAGAAGATGACACGAAAAACTTATTTTTTGAAATACAGCTTCTCTGTCAAATATATTTGGCCAAAAATAGAGATTATAGAGTGTATTGCTCATTTATATGACATGCTTATTTTTCCTTAATTTTGAGTACAAGCAATCACGGAGTGACGTTACTTGTTTCTAAAGAAAATCTCAGCAGAAAGCCGTTTTTCGCTTGGAGACTCGATGCATTCGCCCAAGAAAACTCAAGTTTCTGACCGACTCAATCTAAAGATTTATCCTGACATTTTCATATACTGAAAGATAACAATTTCCTCTACAAAATGATTTTTGTAGAGGAAATTGTTAGCTGTTTATCTTTAATGAAAAAGAGAGCTGTTTATCTTTATTGTTGATTGTGGCTAGGATTGATGAAAATTGATTAAGACTCACTAAAAAAGAATGAAAATTTGACAAGTGACACCTGCCAATCCTAAAGCTTTTTATGGAGGTTCTTTTCGGACCGGAACAACAGCAGCGGTGTCCGAGTGGTTAAGGAGATTGACTAGAAATCAATTGGGCTCTGCCCGGGTAGGTTCGAATCCTGCCCGCTGCGAACATTTTTGCTTCGATTGAAAAAGATAAATTTTTTTCATTTACTTATCAAATTCATTTACTGCAGAAGAAACATCTTCTTTTCGAGCAAAAGAAAAAGAGAGTCAACCGGTGCAAAGTGCTCTTAGCAAGGACCGTTTGTGGAAAACATTTCATCACTCTTGAACGATGAAATTATTCACGATTGAGCAGGTCCTAACCCACAAAACCATCGTGCACAAACATCTCAAGCTGCAAATCACAGCTGTAGAATTGTTGCTCGTTCATCTCATTTAAAGTCTGTCATGGTTTTTGCTGGAGTGACTGCCTGTATTGCTGGAGTGACTGCCCGGAGTACTGTTCCCAGCCAAACTGGCTCGACATGATTGTCGATTGTCGGTCAGTTTTCAAACTTTAAGTGATTTTAAATATTAAATGAACTAAAGAATTGAGCAATGATAACAAATGCTTTCAAAATTCAGTGAAGTGGCCGCCTACTTCGATTGCCGGTTGTTTGCGATGGTGGAGTTGTTTGCGGAGGACTGCCCGGAGTCCTTTACAGATAATCTTGATATGCATAATATTTATACAGACATTCATATTACAGAAAATCATAAATAAAACAAAGATTTGAATCATAACATCGTTTTAACGACCCGGAAGCGGGACGGGAATCGTTGGAAGAGGAACAGTTGGGAAAAGGCCTCCAATCTCGGGTGGGATACTAAAATTTCAGGCTAGACTAGAGGTCAAACACAGTTTGATTTCCGCAAGTACTTTACAACTGTGCACCTAGCTAGTTTAAAAGCTATCTAGCCACAGTTCTAAAGGATTAGAATGACACTCAAGCTTTACTTACGTGATAAGACCCTCAAGAATGGGCAACACGTCGCCGAGCAACAAGCAAACCACATCTTGTAAGAGGGCGATGATGTTGATCTCATTGGCGAGACCGGGTGGAACCTAGAATTAGAAGTAACAAGGAAACGGTCGAAATTGAGAATCAATTTTCAATTTTTGATTTTAAGTATCATTTTCTTGAGTCAAGTTAAGCTAATCGTTGTTTTCAACAATTTTTAACTATTGGGTTGGTGAATTGAAAACTGCGAGACTTTGAACTAAAATTTATTCAACATAAAGCCATCAATTCATTCGAAATAATTTCCATTATTATTGATGACTTCTGCCCATTTTACAGGCAATTCGTGGGTTCCTCTTTCGTAGTAAGATTTTGGTTTGTGTGTGAGACAAGTGTGAGACTCAAAAATGGAGGACTGGAGATGTCCCAGTTTGAGCACTTTCTTCAAAAGAAATCCATTTTGGTGTGAATAGAAAAGTTGTAGAGAATCAAAAATTAGGCTCATAGCCAAATTTCCAAAGAGATACACTTAGTAGTTTCGCTTAAAATGCAAGTTTTGTGAAAATTCGTAAATTTGGCATTTCTTGAAAACCAGTTTTTGAATCGTTCTGAAAATTTGGCTATAAGCCTAATTTGTGATTCTCTACAACTTTTCCATTGACAGCAAAATGGGTTTCTTTTGAAGAAAGTGCTCAAACTGTGACAGATGACAATAGCCCGCAGTTTTCAATTCACCAACCCAATATAATAGAAATTTCGCTAAGTTTAGCTAAGTCTGATCATTCAGTCCTTAAGAATAAATCCTCACCAATGACCAAAGTGGAGTGATCAAAGTCATCACGTCATTTGCAACTGTGTTCAGCACTTGAAGGCACAACGTTGTGTACAATTGAGAGTTACCAGTGAGAAGTCCTGAAATCGGATTGTAAAGCAAACTTTAGCCAAGTTACCAGAGAGCAAATATTGCAATCCGACTTGAAGCTCCAATCCACAAGGTCCTTCCGGGATTATCAAAACTGTTGGCAAGTTCACAGCTCCCTGAGTATTCAATCTTCTCATAGCATTCACTTCACTTACATCAAGGATAGTAATGTGTTGAAGCGTGTATTCGTTTACAATCATCCCATTTATCAAGCTCTTTGTATGATTGAGAATTTTGGCATGGGAAACTAAAGTTTTTTAGTCAGAAGGGGGAAAGATTATATGTCGTAGCCGATTATGAATTTCAGCCGATTATGAATGAGTGGGTCTAGGAGCGTCCAACCATCAAGTATTTAGTATCATTCAACGCAGAATCATTGACAATTATGTTAAATTTTTAAAATTAGCAAGATTTGATGAAAAGAAAAAAAATTAGAGCAAAAAAACTGTTTGTTCAAACTTTGAAGCCCCATAATTTGTGTTCTTTTTATCCAATCTTTCTAATTTCAAAAATTTAACATAATTATCAATGATTCTGCGTTGAATGATACTAAATACTTGATGGTTGGACGCTCCTAGACCCACTCATTCATAATCGGCTACGGGGGGTCCCGCCGATTTTGAATGAAACGTTGTAGCGCCGGCAATTTTCAACCTAAACTCACAAATTTGGTACCAATCGATGCAGAATTCAATTCGCTACAAGATCATATAATATTGTCCTCATACATTAAAGGGTTGCTCTACTAGAAAGATTTGCCAAAAAATTTCATTCATAATCGGCATATATAGGAATCTTGTGCAATAAGATGAAGTCAGTAAACTAACCCCAATCAAGCACACAAACGAGAGCATTTAGGTTTGGAACGACAGGGCAATCACAGGTGCCAGACAAGCCGGGAAGGCCAACTGTTGGAAGAGTGGGTGGGGTGATTGGAAGGGTCACTTGAGCCCATAAAGGAGACGTCAAAAGAAACGCAAACAAAGCCACTGCTTTACCGAACATTTCTTATGCACCTAAACATCAATAAGGTTTTAATTTTTTCATGTAAAGATCGAAAAACTTAAACCGTAAATTAAACCGGTGCTCAACTTGTGAACTTTCAAATAAGATTATTTTCCTGAATCCATTTCGTCTTTTTATACCAAAATTTCCCTTCTATAGAACGTTGATCATTTTGTTCCAAAAAATTTGAATATCCCATTGTTTTTGTTTAAAAACAGACATGTTTTTGAGAAGATTTTGGCCGATAATCAAAAAAAAGCAGTTCTCTTGGTGATCAAAGCGAAAATATGCAAATTTTTAGTTCAAAACATGCCCAGTCTGAGGATTTGGAAACATTGAGAACGCTTGGTGTTTGAGATTCGAAAACTGAGGTTTTTATTAAGTGAAACTTCTATTATCCGTTAATTTTTGATGAGCTGTTTTTCCAAAGTGATTTGCTCTTTCTTTCCCTTGTAAAATTGACTTCTACACTTCTGGAAATGCTATTAAACCCATAATTTTTATCTAGACTAAATGAATTTTACAATAGTTGAATATGACATTTGATTTGAGATAAAATTTCATTTATTGTTTCAAAACTATATTGGGTTGGTGAATTGAAAACTGCCGGCTATTGTCATATGTGACAGTTTGAGCACTTTCTTCAAAAGAAACCCATTTTGGTGTCAATAGAAAAGTTGTAGAGAATCAAAAATCAAGCTTATATCCAAGTTTTCAGAACGATTCAAAAACTAGTTTTCAAGAAATGCCAATTTTACGAATTTTCACAAAACTTGCATTTTAAGCGAAACTACTAAGTGTATCTTTTTGGAAATTTGGCTATAAGCCTAATTTTTGATTCTCTACAACTTTTCTATTGACACCAAAATGGGTTTCTTTTGAAGAAAGTGCTTGAACTGGGACATCACCAGTCTTCCATTTTTGAGTCTCACACTTGTCTCACACACAAACCAGAATCCTACTACGAAAGAGGAATCCGCAAATTGCCTGTAAAATGGGCAGAAGTCACCAATAATAATGGAAATTATTTGGAATGGATTCATGGTTTTATGTTGAATAAATTTTAGTTCAAAGTCCGGCAGTTCTCAATTCACCAACCCAATACTTTCCAAAAGGAGTTGCTCTTTCTTTGTCTTGTAAAATTGACTTCTACACTTCTGAAACTGCTATTAAACCCATAATTTTTATCTAGACTAAATGAATTTTACAATAGTTAAATATGACATTTGATTTGAGATAAAATTTCATTTATTGTTTCAAAACTATAAGTAGTTGTTTGATTGAGTTGTGAAAATGATGGTGGCGTTTCTTGGTGAGAGATCACACACTTTTTCCCAGCTGAATATTGCCTAGAACTCTTAAATCAAGCTTTGAGTATTATGCTTCGTGAAGTCCGTCATCATCGTGCATCTAAAGCAAATCTTTATAGATCAAATCAATATTTAGACTTTATTCAATCATGCTTGACTTCATTTTATAACTTTTAGTTGACTTCTAAAAGCTTCAGCAGAAATCTTACCCGAATACAGCGCAATTGATTACATTTAAAGCGATTGAATTTCAAAAAGTATTTCAACAGAGACAAGATTATGGTCAGAAAAATAAAGTGAAATGGAAAAATCGTTCGTGGAAATTCGTTTTTTCATCAAACAAACCTTGAAAAGCAATCAGTTTTAGGGATATTTGAGCACTAAAGCTGATAAATTAAGTGGCGTAAAGGATTAAAGGTGAGCTTTGGGACGACAACCTACTATGAAGCCTTTGAGACGACAACCTACTATGAAGCCTTTGGGACGACAACCTACTATGAAGCCTTTGGGACGACAACCATATTTAATCGAAATAGGAACCGTTTTGGAACCGTATTGGAACCGTATTGGAACCATATTTAATCAAAATAGGAACCGTATTGGAACCGTATTTAATCAAAATAGGAACCGTATTGAACCCGTATTTAATCGAAATAGGAACCGTTTTGGAACCGTATTGGAACCTAACAAAATACTCAAAGCTTGATGTACGAGTTCTTTGTAACTAATGAATTGAAAAGTGAGAATAATTGGCACATATGAAAGATTTATTCACTCAAAAAAGCATTTCTTTCTTTTAGTTTTTCTTCTTCAGAGCTTTTGGGGGTTGGAGAGAGACAGTGCCATTCGAAGGCTTTGGTGTTTCCTCCTCCTTGTCACTCCAGACTTTCTCCACTTTTTGCATCACAGAGATTAGCTCATCTCGGCACACATCGCCGCTGGGGAACGAGAACTGAAAACAAATTTAAATCTCCAAAACTTTTCCTAAGCCTGTTGGCCTATTGGCCTATAAGCCTATTGGTAAGTCTTACATCCTTCACTCTTCTATTCTGAATATCAGCTGCTAAAGATACTATGATTGTTTCAAAAGCTAGTGGCCCAGTGCAGTGCTTTTTGGCCCAGTGCAGATCCAGCAAGGCCAAGGCTAGAAGCTAGATCTTGTTTGATTTCTATCTTTGATTGATCTAACCTGGCTTTACTGCAGTCTTAAACCAGAACCAGTTATCGGACATTTGGTACGTGCCCCGCCCATTTTACCATTAGCAATCTAACTGAGCTCAAATATCTTTGTGTTGAGCTGTCCAATTTAATTATTCTTTGTATCATTGGATGCGCCAAGTTTTTCTCTGTCCATTGGTATAAAAACTATTTAAATTGGACAGCTTAATACCAAGATATTTGAGCTCAAAGTTGTATTGGCAATGGCAAAAGGGGCGGGGCGATTATGGGACCTTTTATACGCACCCCGCCCTTTTTTTCGTTGTCAATTTAACTTTGAGCTCAAATATCTTTGTAAGTCAGTGCTTTGAAGTCAAAGTTTGAGCCGACTCAGATCGCCAAGAGCTTTATTTTAGTCACTTTTAACCTCAGTGACTTGAGATTAACAATAGGATTGAGCAAGCTCTGATTGTGGTTTAAACGGCTGACCCAATCTCTTGAACAAATTGATCCTGACGCTTGGCAAGTTTGGGCCAGCTTCGAATAACATCATAAAATCTTCCCAAATCAGGTGGGACATACGCCCCTTTTCTCTTTGGTAATCTAGATTTGAGCTCAAATATCTTTGTGTTGAGCTGTCCAATTTAATTATTCTTTGTATCATTGGATGCGCCAAGTCTTTCTCTGTCGATTGGTATAAAAACTATTTAAATTGGACAGCTTAGAACCAAGATATTTGAGCTCAAAGTTGGATTGGCAATGGCAAAGGTCGAAATATTCCTGACTATAAAATCTCCTATTTCACTACAGTAAAAATAACAATCCTGTCAACGATCTTTTCTACTGCATTCTCAATTTAATTTCAAATTATTCACCTGAACGTTGAAGTATTTGGCGAAAGCGATGATCTCCTTGGCTCCTCCGCAAACAGCTCCACCATAGCTTGCCCGGCAATTGAAGTAGGCGGCCACTTCACTGAATTTTGAAAGCATTTGTTATCATTGCTCAATTCTTTAGTTCATTTAATTTTTTAAATCACTTAAAGTTTAAAAACTGACCGACAATCGACAATCATATCGAGCCAGTTTGGCTGGAAACAGGTGACGTTCCAGGTTTCCTCCAAAACCGTTTTGTTGCACCGGTCGAGAATTGGAATCACTAGAATGGGCTTAGGTTTTGAATAATTTTATGCCATCTGTCAACGATCAGCTTCAGCTTTAGGCTTTAAGCTGTCAAAGATTTAACTTTAAGTTTTATATGAAAAGTTCGCTAGAAGATTTTCATTGGAATTTGCTGCCGTAAATACTGTAATAGTACCCCAGCTCCATAATGACGGTGCGGAGTGTTGCGTAGTTTAGCTTTGGACGAGCGTTTCTCGACACTGGTTTAGGCTACAATGCGCGCTTAGGTATCAAAAAATAGCCCTGAATTTCAGCTTTTTTTTGATACCAAAGACGCATTTTTGAACGTAAGGGCGCTTTAAAAAAAATGAAATACTAAATTTGCTTATTTGCTTATTTGCTTATTTCAAAATTCAAGAAAGCTTTACCTTCATTGAGCACATCGACCGTTTTGCCTGAGCAATAGTATTTGCGAATTTTCGGCAAATCTTTTCGCAATTTTTCTCGTCCCTTTTCGGGAATCAACGGGAATGTCTCGTTGTTGACCTCCTTGACGCTCTTCCAATACCTATAAAGAATTGAATAATTTTATTATTCATTGCTGAATTATTCTAAAAACCAGCCGAGAAACCCGCCTAACCTAATCTAACCCGATCCGAGTTCGACCTCCCCATGCGACTCGAATTGTGCGTTTTAAAAAATCCAAAAGCACGTTGCACAACTACATGTAATTCTCTATTCAACGGCGCAAAAATCATTGCAAATAGTCCTCTGGGGGATGAGTAGCGCGCACAGACAGACAGACAGACGGACGGAGAGACAAACGGACAGACGGACGGACAGACAGACGGCCAGACAGACGGACGGACAGACGGACAGACAGACGGACGGACAGACATACGGATAGACAGACGGAGAGACAGACGGACAGACGTACGGATAGACAGACAGATAGACAGACGTACAGACATACAGACAGACAGACGTACAGACAGACAGGCGGACAGACAGACGGACAGACGGACAGACGGACAGACAGACAGACAGACGTACGGACAGACGTACGGACAGACAGACGTACGGACAGAGAGACATACGAACGGACCGACGGACAGACAGACCGACGGACAGACAGACGGCGAGACAGACGGACAGACAGACGTCATAGTCCCTTTATATATAGTAGATAAAAGCCTCACTTGCACAAAGCATCTCCAGGGAGATCCTCGCCGCTGTCCGAATCCAAGCTCAAATTCTTAGACGACTTAGCGGCTAAAAAGAGTTTTGTAAGGGAAAGGAATCAAAAATCTTTTCAGAATACTTTAAAAACGTTTACTTTAAACTTTAATGTGATCAAAAATAACATTACCGTATTCTCTCTAATAGTAGTGCACCCTGAGCGCTGCCTAAATTACTCGAAATCTCGAAAGCGCTTATTAGAACCTATCGATGTGGGGTCGAAAAATGTAGCTAATGATGAGATCTAGTGGGGGGATTAGAGTGTTGAGCTTCTGCGAAAACTTAGAAACCGTAAAATAGTCATCAACTCGGATCTTACCATCTGCAAGCCAGGCCAGGTCAGAGTCCAAGTCTAGATACTTAAACAAGACCAGGCAGATCAGGACAAACTGAACCCGGCTTTTGAACAAACGGAACTCTTCCGATTCAACCTGAACGTTCTTAAATTGTTTTAAGGGATAAGTTATGTTAGAAAACCGTCAGCCTAATAGTATTGCACCCTGATTGTCCTCTAAATTGCTCGAAATCTCGAAAGCGCTTATTAGAACCTATTGATGTGGGGTCGAAAAATGTAGCTAATGATGAGATCTAGTGGGGGGATTAGAGTGTTTAGCTTTTGCGAAAACTTAGAAACCGTAAAATAGTCATCAACTCGGCTCGGCTGGGTGCACTACTATTAGAGAGATTACGATAACCGGATACAGCTCAAAGGAGGGTCCGAATTAGGGCGGATTCTCACTAAAGTTGTCGACAGATAGGTAAGTAATAAATTTTCTTTAAAAACTAATAACGGATTCAAATACCGCACTACTATTAGAGAGAATACGGTATTTGATTAAAGAATACATTAAAGACTCAAAAACTTACCATAAATCCCAACAGCCAAACAGAAAAGAGCAAGGAGAACTCGCTGAGCCATTTGTGATGAGCGAAATGAAAAATCGAAGCTCTCAATATCGGATTCATTTCAAATTTAAAGCCTGATTTTATTTTGTCTACTGCAATTCTTTTTCAACATCCCATTTCATTTCATGATTCCATTTCAGCCAGATGAATCAGATTTGGATAAATTTGTCATTGGGCAAATTTTAGATTGAAACTGTTTATCAAAAAAAGAAAATTTCGCAACGTTAAGTTGTCAAGAAATTTACTTTTCCATTTCCAGGGAGATCCTCGCCGCTTTCAGACAGATTCTTTAAAATTGTAAAATCTTTCTGCTAAAAGATTTGTTTATACAGGATGCGTCATAATTATTGCAACAAGAGTTTTCCAGAGTCAACAAGACCGTTTTCCAAACAGCTTTCTTATTGTTTTCTGATTTTTTTTAGATCTTCTTGGATCGACGATCCAGGAATACAGAATCGTCGACGATTCCGTTTTCCCAAGTCAATGACTTGGTCCCCAAAGGAAGGTACAGGAATACGGCGTGTAGTTCAATTTCCTATTCCTAGGACTGCTTTCTTACCACCGGAGGTTGCGCCGGCCTAGCCCTGCTTTCTTACGGCCGGAGGCCGCGGCGAAGCCTAGCTGGGAGCGTGAAACGGGTGGGTGGGCTACAAGGTCGTGTCGCGGCGGCAGCCGCGGCCGACCACACATTTGACAAAAAAATTTAAATTAAAAATCCTATCTTACCGGAGGTCGAGTCCGGCGTCAGCCTGGCCTGACACACCCAAAAAAATTGGTCGAAATGGCCCGATCGCGGAGCGATCGGGCTTTCTCTTTCTTATTTTTTAAGCTTTCTTATTTTTTTTGCCCCCTTTTTTGTTGTGTTGCGTTCTATCTTCTTTATTCTTGCCTAATTGCCTCCCGCTCACACGAAGAAGACGGTTCAGGACTGGTGTGTGGCCAACTTTCCCCTCAGTGATCACCAAGGATGAATGGCCTCCAAACTCACCGGATCTCAATGTGATGGACTTTTCCATTTGGGCAATCTTAGAGGCTAATGTCTGCTCTCGAAAACACACAAGTTTGGATTCTTTGAAGAAGTCTTTGACCAAAGGATGGAAGGCGACTCCTCAAGATGACATTCGGGCCGCAGTGGAGGCATATCCGAACCGATTAAGGGCTGTTATCAAGGCAAAAGGCGGTCATATCGAATGATCTCTTGTTTCCTTATTTGTTACTGTTAAATAAAGCTATTTCTGTTTAAAAATCTTCTTCCAGTGAAACTTCTTGGTGTGCAATGCCTTGAGTATCTTGTTGCAATAATTATGACGCACCCTGTACACTTCGGAATCATTACGCGTTCTCCTTTCCTTCCTGCAGCAACGTACTCGCAGATCAAAACTCGGTGATCGATTAAAGTGCACAAAAGAAGATAAACGCAATCTTTCTGGTGGATTCAATTTCAGCTTTTCAGAGTTTACAACTGTTTAAATGCAATTCTCAAATCATTTTATGCTTTTAAATTGAAATAACATCAAAATCTATACAAAATTCAACAAAATCTTTAAAAGACTCACAATTTTTCCATTGGAATCTACAATTTGTCAACAAACAATCAAATTCCGGAAAACTTATTCATCACAACAAGTAACAGTAATGAATAAATCAAAGAAATTCTGGTGCCAATCTTTATTGTTGTAGATTGTGGATTTGAGGGGAGCGTTGAACCCACAGAAGTACTGTTTACTGGAAGCGCAGTGGGAGTTGTTTCGTTTGAAGTAACTGGGGAAATTGGGATCGTGATTGAGACAGTCATTGCTGTATTTGCTGAAGAAGGGACAGTTGCTGGAGTTTGAGTGGTCACGTTTGATGTGGAGGCTAAAAAATCTTTATTGTACATATTGGGCGAGTCTTGAATGAGGATTCAAGCTTTGAATGTGCATAACTTTCAACATAACAGCTAAATCCGCTAATTGGTAGAATTACTGATTACTGAAGAAAAGAAATTACTGATCAAAAAAGTAATTTTGTGTTTTTCTAAAAAAAGATGGAGTCTGATCGATAGTGGATCCGAACCAGGGGAAAAAAGTTGGGCTAACAACGACTGACGACTATCAAGCCAATCCACTATGACTGTCCTGGGCCCATCGACCAGACCCTAACTTGGCCAGGGTCAGGCTCTGGTCTGGTCTGACTTACAGGTTGAACACGGTTAAGCCTAAGCCTAAGCCTAAGCCTAAGCCTAAGCCTGAGCCTGAGTCTAAGCCTGAGCCTAAGCCTAAGCCTAAGCCCTAAGCCTAAGCCTAAGCCTGAGCCTAAGCCTAAGCCTAAGCCTAAGCCTAAGCCTGAGCCTAAGCCTAAGCCTGAGCCTAAGCCTGAGCCTGAGCCTAAGCCTAAACCTGAGCCTGAGTCTAAGCCTGAGCATAAGCCTAAGCCTAAGCTTAAGCCTGAGCCTGAGCCTAAGCCTGAGCCTGAGTCTGATCCACTAGGCTACAGAGGCACCAAGACTGGTCTGTCAGAAATATGCTGTTTGGCAAAATGTGCTAGCTTGCTGTTTGACAAATTTGAAGGCCAATCTCGAAAATGGCTTATAAGGGTTTGAAAGTTTTAGTAATAGTGAAAAATTTAGTAGAGTTTGAACACAGTTTCGGCTTCGATTTCGGTTTTCACCATGCCCAAATTCTTGAGGTTAATCTTTCCCTTAAATCTCGAGTCTTTATGCTACAATTTTTCTACATCCTATTAAACTATTGTGTCACTTAAACCGTAGCTAAATTATAGAACAATGTGACTTGAGCTTTCTGACTCTGACTTGAGCGTTTTGCCTCGATTTTCTTAGAACTGGCTAACCCAATGAACGTCTATTAAATAGCATTTAAAGTTTTGCTGTTTTATAGAAGGTTTTTGAAACAAACCAGTTCTCATTGTTGTTGTGGTTGTCGACATAGTTGTAGTCGTCGTCGTACCAATACTGCTTTGCACCGTACTCGTTGTTGTTGACATCGTCTCATTTCTTATCGTGTACCAAACCAAGTAGCCCTTTTTCTGCTGGGTTGTTGAAGGATTCCAGATAATCTAAAAGTTTTGCAAAAAAGCTATTAAAGTCGGCAAACTTTGAACGTTTGTCCCCACATGTCGCCCAAAATGTAGCCGCTGATCGAGGTGCTCACGCTGAATTGGAATTTTGAAATTGAATGGATTGCTTGATAGACAGTTTAGTATATATGTCGTAGTCGTTTACGAAATTCAGCCGTTAACGAATGATTCGTTAGCGGCTGAATTTCGTAAACGGCTATATGTTCAATCTTTTCTGGAAATGAAAAGCCGCCAAAAAGAAATGCCGCGCCAAGCAACTCTTCACCGCCAACGAAGAGAGTTCTATAAAAAGGCAGAAAAGGTTTTTTTGTCCTTTTTTTGTCTAAGAATCTACCATAGAAAAATAGTTAAATTTTCTATTAAAACAAAGCGTGAAATGATTGCAGATTTGAGTGTTGAGTTACACTTAATACCGAGTCCAGGTAATTATTGAATCCCTGTAGACTGGGCTGGACTGGGCTGGACTGGGCTGGACTGGGCTGGACTGGGCTGGACTGGGCTGGACTGGGCTGGACTGGGATGGACTGGGCTGGACTGGGCTGGACTGGGCTGGACTGGGCTGGACTGGGCTGGACTGGGCTGGACTGTGTTGGGCTAAACTGGATTGACAATGAGTTGATCATGCGAATTGAGATTTTATAGTTAAAACAGAATCATGTACTGTTTAGTAGACATGGGTCAGTTTATCAATTCCTTAGTCCAATCAGCCATTGAACTGAAATAAAGTCCTTTCAGTCCATTCAGCTCAACCCCGTCAGCCAGTCCAGTCTGATGTTGGACAGGACCGGTCCGTGGATCAGATTGGATTACGTTGCATGTTTATTATTTGATACAGCTTTTTTACTTGCTAGCAGCCATTTGATTCCCCGAGTAGTCGGTTGTTTGGAAGTTCAGGTAGCCACCATTGCTTAGCATCGCGTCTTTCACTGTGAACACAATCGGGAGGAATGGATATGTTTCTGAAAAATTACATGTCTTCAGTTCAGGAAAAACCAACGATATTATGTTTTATTATATTCTGATCTTATGTTTTACCCTAATATAAAAAACTGGCAAAGTACGGTAACTTTAAAGTTATGTTCATTTATAAAACAGCTCGCTCAAAGTCTCAACCATTCAAGGCCTCAACCATTCAAGCCTCAACCATTCAAGGCCTCAACCAGGTTATTCCCATAAAGCCTCAACCATTCAAGGCCTCAACCATTCAAGCTTATTCCCGTGTGACCCATTGACTCGGTGAAATTCTCAGTCTCTCCAAACGGCTCCAAATATTCGTAACTCATGCTGAACCCATTCGATGGTTTATAGGAATCAACAATGATTGTGGCTAAATGCTTGGAGTTTAAGAATTCCAAGGAAATCTCTTACCTTTATCTAAAACAGAGTACATAATCCTGGCCGTGCAATTCTCCTGGATCAAAAGAGTGAATGCTGATGTCCTGACGTAGCTCGATTGATACATGGGAATGTTGTCATTTCTAAAGGAGTTTTAAAACGTAAAAATATTGGTTTTACGTGAATTCATAGATCTTGAGCCGATCTCTGGCTGAATAACTCGGAATGTGACCGGCCAAAACGGAAATTGAGCAATTCGGAGAAACCTAAAATTATAATACTTAGTTTGCAGAGATTAAGGTTAAAGATAAAAATATTCTTTTCTTTTCTTTTCTTTCCCAATTCTTTACTCCTCTAAGGCATCAAAGCTTCAGCGTATTTCACACTTTTAGTTGATTTCTGCATCTCCTTTATTAGGGAAGCATTTCAGAATTTTTTAAGACATTTTTGACAAGTCCTCAAGACAGGACAAAGCCTCAAACTTGGGTAATTAAATCGAAATTCGAGGTGTCTGTCGCGCTATCAGGGAGGGCCGTGTGCTGGTTGGCAAATTTTCCTACAAGACAAATGAAGGGTACACACAGCGTCGTCTCGTGACTGTCACTAGGTTATTTTGTTGGATAACAAATCGAATCAGTTTTTCCGTTATTAGTGGGTTCTAAATTTGCAGCCTTGGGCAAGTGGGCCGGATTGCCTGTGGATTTGTTTCGTGCGTTCCAAAATGATACAAGACACTTTTACAGGGTCTTGGGGCTAATGCTAACCTCAAACTTGGGTAACTAAACCTAGTTTGTGGGTCTCTATCATGCTATCTAGAAGGGCCGCGTGCGGATTTTTTCTACGAGACATATGAAAGATGCACAGGGTCGTGTCGTCTCGCGTCTCTTCGGTGATAAAAGATCTCCCGTTCACTATTCGAACCGTCTTTCACCGCCTAACAGCCGCTTATGACCATCCCACGTTGAAAAGACTGCATCCCGTCCGATCTGTCAAGTTAAGCAACAAGCCCAAGCAACAAGTCTTTTTCAAACCCAACAAGTTGAGCTTGGTTAATACTTGGATCGGAGACGGCTTGGGAATCCCGAGTGTTGTAAGCTGTTTGCTTTTTGAAATAGATCAAAGCAACTAACAAGATGCGTTTCGACTCATCTTCACCACTATAAAATGACTTATTTTCCTAAGGTTTCTCTACCGAAAAACCCCTGTGATTTCGCACCATTGATTCACTGAAAGTGAATCAAAAAATGAATCGAACTGAATTGAGAACAAAATGAAAAGAACAGCACGAAAGCTTTTCCACTTTCACACTTTCACATTTGCTTTGAATTTGCTTTCCAAATTGATGAGACAAGTAAATGAATTTTGCAGTAACTACAAGCTAACTTGTAATTTTTTTCAAACCCACCGTCGGGGCAAAGAGTTTCACATTCGCATAGCTAGCCCTGCCCATCACCAGCGTCACACTTCTAATCCCATTCTCGAGTGGAACCGTATTCATAGCCCCATTTTGACCGGGGATCAATTGAAGATTCGTTGGCTGCCAATCAGCTGAATAGTTTACAATTTTCAGCAACTTTTTTTAAACGAACTTTCTCCATTCACGCCGTTCCATAACCGGAAAGAAGCAAGGAAAGTTGGAGTCGTTCCATCAACACCAAGACTTGTAAGCAAGCTGATCGGTCCAGGAATGATAAACCAAACTGATGAAGTGACTTGATCATAACTAAAATCAAATTTGTCACATTAAATTTTTCATACTACCAATTTAAAACTTGAAAACTTGCGTGTAATTCTGGGTTGGCGAAGTGAAAGAGAAAATGGTGTTGTTAACATCGGAGACCTCGAATTCAACGTAAATTTGGCAATCCGGGCAATTGAGTGAAACGGTGAGCGTCTAGAAATCAAATTATCGAATTTGCTGAAAGATTTGAGATCCTCATAGTAATGTGTTTGCTAAAAAGCGTTAATTTCCAAGCACTACCGCAGTCTTGAGCTAGCTTTCACCCGCTCTAACTATACGCCCTAATTCTAGCGACAACTTTTTGGAAAAGTAGCTGGAAAATGTTTAATTTATTTCAAAAGTGGCAAGTGTTATCTAAAGAATTGTAGCCCTAATTCTCGGCAACATTTATCTGCCAAAAACTTCCCGTTTGGACTTATAGAACCCATTTAACAAGCGCTTGAATGAGCGCTAGTCAACATCTCCGGCAATCTGCCATTTGGCCACTTTTCTATATTCAAAATTGTAAAGAAAAGCTTTTCAACAGGCAGACACTGCTCTTTTATATCTATTGGGTTGGTGAATTGAAAACTGCGGGCTATTGTCATATGTGACAGTTTGAGCACTTTCTTCAAAAGAAACCCATTTTGGTGTCAATGGAAAAGTTGTAGAGAAACAAAAATGAAGCTTATATCCAAATTTTCAGAATGATTCAGAAACTGGTTTTCAAGAAATGCCAAATTTACGAATTTTGACAAAACTTGCAACAAAACTTGCATTTTAAGCGAAACTACTAAGTGTATCTTTTTGGAAATTTGGCTATAAGCCTATTTTTGGTTCTCTACAACTTTTCTATTGACACCAAAATGGGTTTCTTTTGAAGAAAGTGCTCAAACTGGGACATCTCCAGTCCTCCATTTTTGAGTCTTACACTTGTCTCACACACAAATCAAAATCCTACTACGAAAGAGGAATCCGCAAATTGCCTGTAAAATGGGCAGAAGTCGTCAATAATAATGGAAATTATTTGAAATAAATTCATGGTTTTATGTTGAATAAATTCTAGTTCAAAGTCCAGCAGTTTTCAATTCACCAACCTGATAGTACAAAGTGACCGCAAAGTATAGCGATAACTTTTTGGAAAAGTAGCTGGGAAATGTTTAATTTATTGCAAAAGTGGCAAATGTTATATAGAGAATTGTAGCCCTAATTCTCGGCAACATTTTTCTACCAAAAACTTCTCGATTCGACTTATACAACTCATTTAACAAGCGCTTGAATGAGCACTATTCTCCGGCGATCTCTCCGGCGATCTGCCATTTTTCACCATTTTCTACATTAAAAAATTTCATTCAGAAAAGTTTTTTTTCATTCAAATTTGTGGTAATTTTATCCAAAAAATGTTTTCAACAGATTTAGTTGAACAGCTAATATAACGAGATACGCATATGAACTGAATATCGGAAATACTCAATTTTTACCTTTTCCCCTGTTCCTCCAAAAAGAGCTTGGCATCAACTTAAATTTTGGTTATTGAAGAAGTATTGAAAAGCTTTTCTTAACAATTTTGAATAGAGAAAAGCGGCCAAATGACAGATTTGCCGGAGAGATGTCGACTAGCGCTCATTCAAACGCTTGTTAAATGAGTTGTAAAAGTCAAATCGAGATGTTTTTGGTAGATAAATGTTGCCGAGAATTAGGGCTACAATTCTTTAGATAACACTTGCCACTTTTGAAATAAACTAGACATTTCCCAGATACTTTTCCAAAAAGTGGTCGCTATACTTTGCGGTCACCCTGTACATTTGTTTTGATTGAGTAAGAGCTCACAAGGGATAGAGAATTATATCAAAAAGCGATACTAACGTTTATAATAAAGCGCTAAACTGAGAACAAGATTACGGCAGATTTCGAAAAATGAGATGTTTTAGAAAACGCGTTAGTGGAAGAAAAAATTCTAAAAAAATAACAAATTCCGACAAATTAAATTGTCTAACTTTTTCTTTTTGAAAATATTTAACCATTGAATTCTTATATACTTATTTTATTTTAACTCATTGAACTCTTTGAACTTTGTTGGATGTCGACTATTGATGACACAAAAAGACGCTTTTTCTTGTAGTTCATGCTGTTATAAAATGCGATAATCACACTGTTTATTTTTAGTTTTTTGAGTTTATTTCAATTGAAGGGCTACATTTTAATACCAAATTCGCACAATGCGAAGGCCCTGGTAAATGGTAATTCCATTCGGCGCAATCTTCATAGTCCCGATTTTTCTTTTGTTCTGTAAATGATTCCCAAATGAGATTTAGTGTTAAAAATTTGTGCTCTGAGATTTTCAGGCTCGTAGAACCTATTGGTGGAGTTTATTTCAATCATTTGTCCCAAGAAAAGTCCTAAGAGAATCGAATTGGCTTTGGGTTTTGCATATGATAATTTTACAATGAAAAGACACGGATTTCCGAAAAGAACTTAAAGACCACTAGCTATTTGGGAATAAGGAATTGATTGTTGAACAGGACGAGAGCAAAATCACAATACAAGTCATCGAGTCTTGTTAGATATTCCTCTACTAATGAGTTTTTTTAACATGTCAACTTGTCTCTGATTTTTATCAAAACTATTAGCTTCTGGTTCTTTTAGTATACTTCTTAAATTTTAATCAGATCAAAATAAATAAATTGGTTAAAATTCTAAGAAAATAACAAATTCCGACAAATGAAATTGTCTCCTTTTTCTTTTTAAAAATATTTAACCATTGAATTCATATACTTATTTTATTTCAACTCATTGAACTCTGAACTTTGTTGGATGTCGTCTATTGATAACACAAAAAGACGCTTTTTCTTGTAGTTCATACTGTTATAAAATACGATAATCACATTGTTTCAGTAGAAATTAATTTCATTTAAAAACCTGATAATTCAACAGTTTCTCTCCATAAGCTACGTACGAAGCAGAATCGTTTGTTAAAGTAATTTGCCGATCAGCAAATATCAATCCTTAAAAATGTTCATTTAAAAAAGAATTTTTAAAAAAAACCTGGCAATAAAACAAACACCAAAAGAAGCATTTAAGCAGAAATTTTCACGAATGATTCCAAAATTTACAAGCGGTTTTCGGTTTTTTTACAACAGCTTCGAAAGATTGGTTGTAAGTTGTAAATGGGCAAAATGATAACGCTAGATATACTAGGGGAAATCTGGATGGAATTTGGAAAAAGCTAGAAAGACAATAGAGAATAAAGAACAATGAAAAAAGCTTCTAGGAAATTTGAACTTTCAAATATTCTCCAATATTCTCCAACTTTGGGTTATCGAAATTTTTATCAAGTTTTGAATAGAGAGCTTTTAGAGAGGTTTTAGAAAACTTTTAGAGAACCAATTCACGGGTTTTGCTTAAAGAAGGACCTAAATTAGGACCAATGCTCAATAAAACCAAATTATCAGCGTGTAGCTGTAGTAAGATAATTATTTGACGATTTTTGACGATTTTTTCCTAATTCTCGTATTGCTTGGCTTTGTTTTAAAGAAATAAAAATATACAATCCATCACAAAATCGCAAAGAAACACAATAAAGTGAAAAAGTAAACGAAGAAAGAACTTGAAATCGTGGATGAATTACAGAAATCGCTTTTACAGCAAAATAGATGATCCTGGAGGTCGTCGGTTTCCATTTTGAACTCACCTTCTTCCTAAAATATTTGCTCTTAGATATATTTACGTTCTATTAGATTTAAATCTGATTTCTATAAAAAGTTAATTCTTGGAATTGTCAGCTCCGCTTACACCTAGGAACGTATAGAATACCTGACCGATTATTCGACACAAAATTTAAATCTGAGAATTATAATAAAACAATCAATTACGTTTTGTATTGCTAATTTTCATTGTAGGGAATTTAGCCCGTTAACTGAATATCTTTAATGTTGTTTCCTTTATTAAGTGTACGTTGCCAGGGTTTCGCGTCTCTTTTCCATTCATTAAAAGGAAAACACTTCTTACAAGTTGAATAAAGCTATTGTTTTAAAGTTTATTGATTAAATTAAAGAACTTTTAGAGAACCAATTCACGGGTTTTGCTTAAAGAAGGACCTAAATTAGGACCAATGCTCACTAAAACCAAATTGTCGGCAGGTAGCTGTAGTAAGATAATTGTTTGACGAAATTTTATGCAGGAATGACTAAACTAATTATCAATAGTTTATCAGGTATTAAAAGATGAAATCCGCCTTTTAAATCAGTTTCAATATTGAGCATTTCAGCTGGTTTTAGTTTTGTGCAATCTCGAATTTGTATCTAAAAATACAGCCAAAGCTAAGGCAAGGATTCATCCCAGGGATTTGTGCATACTGACGCCAAGAAAGCCAGTCGCTCACCGCTCCTACCCCAGTTGCCAAAAGGAAAGCACTTTATACCGGAGCGGTTTGCCAGGGCGCAAGCGATTACGCAGTCGCACAAAAAACACCTCGATCGTCACTTTATACAGTGATTTTTCGAGACCATGAAGATTGCGCGACTTGTAAAAACAGAAATTGCGCCGAAAAAATTGCCATTTACCAGCGCCTTCGCTTTGTACGAATCTCCAATTAAAATGTAGATGGTATAGAAAAGTTCTAGAAAAAGTGTTGTTTAGTAGAAGGAAAACGGCCGCAAAGTGAGAGCAGCGACTGCACTTCGCAATACTAACGACGACCATTGTCTTTTACATGATTCCAAAATTAACCACCCACACTTTCACACACACTAAGCTTGATTGGAAAGTTCGGTTCTTACGCAATCACCGTGTGCCAGATCGTTTGCGATTACAATGCACAGCAAAGAATACTCATTTTATTGAGCGCTTACAAGAAGCAATGTCAAAATGAAGCAAAAAGCCGAAGCATTTGCTTTTTTTTGCGCTAAGAATAAGATGTAAACTGTTGTAAGCATTTTTGCCTAAAAATTTCTCAATTCGATCTATTTACTAACAGTTTCAGTAAGCTATTTCTTCAACTCTAATATCAGTTTATAATGTGAAATGGTGTCCTTTTTTTGGAAATGGCATTCGAATTCTAATTCAGGTCTAAATGCAAACTCATGTACACAAACATACTAAATTAACGCATTTGCGACGACAAGATTTCGTGCGTACAGTTGCGTTTTCGTTAGCTGTTTTACTGATAGCTTGGTGTAAATTCAAAGATGAACTAAACTATTATAGTCATTCGATTGTGATTAAAAATAATCATCATTAGTACGGCCCAGGTCATTAGTAGGGCCCAGGTCATTAGCACGCCCCAGGTCATTAGTACGGCCCACGTCATTAGTACGGCCCACGTCATTAGTACGGCCCACGTCATTAGTACGGCCCACGTCATTAGTACGGCCCAGGTCATTAGCACGCCCCAGGTCATTAGTACGGCCCACGTCATTAGTACGGCCCACGTCATTAGTACGGCCCAGGTCATTAGTACGGCCCAGGTCATTAGTACGGCCCACGTCATTAATACGGCCCAGGTCATTAATACGGCCCAGGTCATTAATACGGCCCAGGTCATTAGTACGGCCCACGTCATTAGTACGGCCCACGTCATTAGTACGTATGTACAGCTACGTCATTAGTACAGATACGACTCACCACCGGTGAGTCATATCGTCGTGAATGTGTTAAGAAAGCAAGTGCCTTGGCGTCAAAACTCAAAACTTTGATTTACACAAATTTTCAGCTAAGACAGAAAAGTGTTGTCCAGTTTTGAAATCAGCATTCTAGCTCTAGTTCAACTCTACAAGGTGCGACAGGATCATTCCAACCGCTGCAGGGTTAGTTCGAACAACTAACTTGACATACAGTACTGGACAAAAATACATCAAGTTCACCCCAACTTTGAAGCACTATAACTCGAGAACTATACATAGAAGTCTATAAGTGTTTTAGTGATTCTGAAAGCTTGAAACGAAATCTATAAGATGGCATATTTGGTTTTCCAATTCACTTCAATTTTTGACTGATTTCAGGGCGTGCAAAGCAGGGGGTCAAAAATTCAGGTTTTCAACACGCTTTTTCATAAAGATCCCGTGCTTCAACCGTTTTGAAACGATGTTTTTTGGAAAGAACGTCAAAAATTATCCCTAGAAGTTTTCATTGAATACATTTTCTGTTGTCTTAAAGTTTAAAAAATCTATTTGACCGATATCGTCATTTTTGTTTTCTTTATTCCTATAAAGCGTCTTTCTGTCTGTTGCTCGTCTTTTCTTTCTGCTATTTAGTGCTTTTTTTCAAAATATTTCTTTACAATCTTGTAAATTTGAAATAATAAACTTTATACTTAAGTAAGATCTTCTTCCGTGAGCCAAAAATCATTTTGCGGCAGGATTTGATGTTTTATGCAGCATGATGCTTTTGCTCACAAGTAGAGTGTATTCTTTTTGGTTAATGCGTTTCCTAAAACACGCGCTCAAAAAAAGCCACCGTAGACGCGTAAATTTTACATTTACGTAAAAGCTTTTCAATATTTCTTCAATGCAAAAATAGCGTTTAACATCACTTAATAACATTAAGAATCACACTTAATTGTTTTGGCCGAACTGGCATAACCAAAATTTAAGCTGATGTCAAGCTCTTTTTGGAGGAGCAGGGGAAAAGGTAAAAATGAGTATTTTCGATATTCAGTTCATATGCGTATCTCATTATATCAGCTGTTCAGCTAAATTTGTTGAAAACATTTTTTTAGATAAAATCACCACAAATTTGACTGAAAAAAAACTTTTCTGAATGAAATTTTTTAATGTAGCAATGGTGAAAAATGGCAGATCGCCGGAGAGATCGCCGGAGACTAGCGCTCATTCAAGCGCTTGTTAAATGAGTTGTATAAGTCAAATCGAGAAGTTTTTGGTAGATAAATGTTGTCGAGAATTAGGGCTACAACTCTCTATATAACACTTGACACTTCTAAAATAAGTTAGGCATTTACCAGGTACTTTTCCAAAAACTTGTCGCTATACTTTGCGGTCACTTTCTACTATTAAGTTGGTGAATTGAAAACTGCTGGACTTTGAACTAAAATTTATTCAACACAAAACCATCAATTCATTCCAAATAATTTCCATTATTATTGACGACTTCTGCCCATTTTACAAGCAATTTGCGGATTCCTCTTTCGTAGTAGGATTTTGGTTTGTGTGTGAGACAAGTGTGAGACTCAAAAATGGAGGACTGGAGATGTCCCAGTTTGAGCACTTTCTTCAAAAGAAACCCATTTTGGTGTCAATGGAAAAGTTGTAGAGAATCAAAAATTAGGCTTATAGCCAAATTTCCAAACAGATACACTTAGTAGTTTCGCTTAAAATGCAAGTTTTGTGAAAAGTTTTGTGAAAATTCGTAAATTTGGCATTTCTTGAAAAACAGTTTTTGAATCTTTCTGAAAATTTGGATATAAGCTTAATTTTTGATTCTCTACAACTTTCCCATTGACACCAAAATGGGTTTCTTTTGAAGAAAGTGCTCAAACTGTGACATATGACAATAGCCGACAGTTTTCAATTCACCAACCCATTACCCCGCGCCAAATTTGCACTAAATCTTGCCTTAAACGTCCGAGTTCGATTTCTTTTGGTTTTTCCTTTTTTGCAATTATGTTTCTTTCTTCTTTTCTAAAAAAATCAATTAACTTCAGTAATTTTTTAAAATTTTGAGACATTACAGAAAAAAATTGTCCTCGTTATCCATTTGATGTTGTTCTACATGTTGTTACTGATTTCTGTCGATTGTAGTGCAGAGTTAATCTAAAAATAAATGTTATTTGATAAAGAACTAAGTTAAAAGAAAAGAAGCAGAAAAAAATCAAAAAAAGCATCAATCATAAAAAATTCCAAAGGGCACCGTTGCTCGTAGCAATCTGTATTCAAAAAAATTTGCATAAATCAGTTCGTTTAACCATCGCTTTAACCGAGTTTAACCGCCATTAATCGACTAAAAAACAATTATGCAAATTTATTTAGTTAATTGTTTAACCGCGAGGAACACACTCTATTCACAAGGCTCGAGTGGTTCAGGACTGGCGCAAACAGTCCCGATTCTCCCGATTTGGCCACCTTTAGTGACCACCTTCAAATCCCGATCTTAATCCGATGGATTTCAGTGTTTGGAATGTTCTTTAAGCAAAAACGTGCTCAAAACCGTAGTTCAGCATCAATTCGCTTAAGAAATCTCTTCAAAAAGCATATGGTGGACTCGATCACACTTACCATTTGGCCACGATGAATGCATTTCCCAAATGTCACCAGGCCTGCATTTCTGTCCATAAAGATCTTTTTAAAAGAAAGTAGTTTTTCTTCTTTAAGATACCGTATTTTCTCTAATAGTAGTCCACCCTGATCGTCGTCTAAATTGCTCGAAATCTCGAAAAGCGCTTATCAGAACCTATCGATGTGGCGTCGGAAAATGTAGCTGACGATGAGATCTAGTGGGGGATTTGAGTGTTGAGCTTCTGCGAAAACTTAGAAACCGTAAAATAGTCACCAACTCGGCTTGCCGGGGTGCACTGCTATTAGAGAGAATACGGTAATCGAAAGGAAAATCTGTCAAAATCTTGAGTTCAGCTAAGATTCTCGGTTCTAGAGCTAGAATTAGTGCAATTTTTGTCTCATTTAATCTAAAAGAAACCCTATTTTCTAATCAAAGCCAATATCAAATAGCACAAACAATACACAAGCACAATCCTTAAGCTCTAAATGTATGGAAGAAAAAAACCCATATACGTATTCTCTCTAATAGTAGTGGACCCTGAGCGTTGCTTAAATTGCTCGAAATCTCTAAAACCGCTTATCAAAACCTATCGATGTGGGGTCGGAAAAGGTAGCTGACGATGAGATCTTGTGGGGGATTAGAGTGTTGAGCTTCTGCGAAAACTTAGAAACCGCAAAATAGTCATAGTTCAGCTTAAAGAACTTAGCATACACTTTTTTACTTAAACTCTTTATTTACTTATTACTTAAATTAATTACCATGTTCTCTCTAATAGTAGTGAACCCTGAGCGTTGCCTAAATTCCTCGAAATCTCGAGAACCGCTTATCAGAACCTATCGATGTGGGGTCGGAAAATGTAGCTGAAGACGAGATCTTGTGGGGATTAGAGTGTTGAGCTTCTGCGAAAACTTAGAAACCGTAAAATAGTCACCAACTCGGCTTGCCGGGGTGCACTGCTATTAGAGAGAATACGATATCTTTAAAAATAAATTTTTAAAGTTTTTGAGTTGGTTTCTCTTTTATCGGTTTCTATCCTTAAAAAATATTGGTTGCAATAATCCTGCCGCATCCTGTAGATCTGAAATCTCTTGTCCATCATTAACACATGCTTTGCACGTGCCCAATCAAAAGACAGACGCCAAGTCTGCCTACTCAAGAATTGGCTTTCCAAAATTGCCAAAAGCCTACCATATACTTGATATTCTCTCTGATCTTATCGCTATTGATAATCCCCCCGTTGTACTTGTTTAGCCGATGGGCATTTACCCAGCAAATGTATCCACAATAATTGTCTCCCCAATGAGATGAAATAGATAGGAATGAGATTCAAAAAATCTTCTTCTCTTTGGCTTTGAAGGATCTTATTATTTCAACTGGTTAACTGTTCAACTTCTCGAATGTGCACAGCAAGGTTAGTTTGAAAATTTCCATCACAACTTGATAGTTAAAGAGCAAGTAATTGTATTGGTTCTAGAGCTTTAACACAGGTATTCTTATATAAACTTAGAAATAAGAGATTTCAATTTCTACTCAAATTTGTGTTTTGACCAAAAGTGAGGAAGTTTTTCGTTCTAAAATTTGACTTTTTGACAGTTTTGAAAGCTCTTAAAGCCAATGCATCTAGAAAACCCGAAAGATTGGAATTGTAAATGGGATTTATTCAAGAAATAGGTTCTAGTTCTAGTTCTTGTTCTGGTTCTAGCTTTAGTTCTAGTTCTAGTTCTAGCTCTAGTTCTAGTTCTAGTTTTAGCTCTAGTTCTAGTTCTAGTTCTGGCTCTAGTTCTAGTTCTTGTTCTAGTTCTTGTTCTGGTTCTAGTTCTGGTTCTAGTTCTAGTTCTTGTTCTGGTTCTTGTTCTTGTTCTAGTTCTAGTTCTAGTTCTAGTTCTAGTTCTAGCTCTAGTTCTAGTTCTACTTCTTGTTCTTAACGTGTACACACATTTTTGGCTGTACTTATGAATTTGTGATAGTGATATAGTGATATATACCCTGCCAAAAGTCGTATAAACATAAGATAAGCTATTTAGTTCAATTAAATATTTAGACAAGCTATTCAGTTAAGTTAAAAATCAACCATTGCTAAAAATTTAAACGTGAATTAAATGGATAGAACGAAATTTAAACGGATTTGCTTTTCAACACTTTAAATGTTAAAGCAATTTAAAGAAAAATTTTATTTACATTGATTCTGTTTCCCTTGTTACTCTTGACTTTTAGGGGTGGCTATTTTGAACTAAATTTTTTGCGCAACTCCCCATAACTTTCTTCTAAGTGGGCCAATCTTTATGATTTTGGTGTCATTTTGTTGCACTTTTTGAGATCTACAAAATGACACCAAAGTTGAAACTAGTGCAGATCAAAAACTCGTGCGCCACTGGGACTTGAACTCACAACCTTTTGCTAATGAAGTCCCTCTGGAGTAGCGGTGACCTAGTGCTTTATGGTGTAATGGTTAGCACAGCTGTCCGGTAAACGAATGGTCTTGGGTTCGAGTCCGGCCGGAGTTTTTGTTTTTTGATTTGCCCGAATTCGAGCTCCAAAGAAAGAAATCCACTTAGAAGAAAGCCATGGCGAGTTGCGGAAAAAATTTGGCGCAAAGTAGTCACGTTTTAACTGCCGTCCATGAAACGGTAAAATGATCAAACAATAAAACCTTCTTCATTAGATTTTTTGCAGAATTTGCCAGTTCAGTCTAATCATTCTTATCTCTTTTCTAAAAAGTTTTTCTTCAAATTTTAAGCACTTTTTCTCTCCGCTGAAACAAAGGACAAAAAGCAAAAAGAATAGTAAAGATCAATCAGAATTCTCCATTCTTATCGATTCCCCACACCAAAATGACCATGCTTTGTCTGTACTATTTGAAGAAATTTACGAGATTTTTCACGTTTACTGAAATTTTTTTCATTATTAAAGGAAAATGATTGTGAAAAATGTGAAGCTAGGAGTCAGGTGAGCAAGAAATTTTCAAAATTTTGGACTAAAACTTTCAAGCAAGCTGCTTGAAAACTTGACTTAAGCTCTTTCTTTGAAAACAATCTTTAAGAATTTATGTAAGCTTTAGCTTTTTGTAAAGCAAAATTTAAGAATTAACAAAATTGATTGCATTTTTGCGTCAAAAACAATCTTTCCAGGTACTACATTACCATTCTCACGGCGATCCTCGGGGGAAGCGCTCAATTTTACAGGTAAAAACTATAATAAAACTTTAACAATTGATATTAGAAGTTGTTTTATAATCTTTTTATTAGAATTTTTCAACAATTGCACTTTGTTTTGTGCTTTGTTTGCACAACAATTGCACATTTTGTGTTTCAGCTATGGAATCGTGAACCCGTGCCAGGAGTTGATCACCCAATGGATCAATCTCACTTATATGGAAAGAAGTGGCACTTTTGTTAGTGAGGTTAGTACAGAAATCAAATTCGCTTTGAAAAAAAGCTAAACTTTTTGTTTTTAATGGATTACCGAATATTTCAAATTCCAGACAAATCTCAATCTCATTTGGGCTCTCGTAGTCGGCAGCGTTTCGTTGGGAGCACTTGCTGGAGCTCTTCTTGTCAGGTATGTTTTTGGTTTGGTTGCATAATTTAAACTGCTATAACTGCTCAATTTCAGTGCTATAAATTTATTAATATTTTCATGTCTTTATCCTAAAATTTTAACCAAAACATTTATTGGTCTTTTTTGCCGTTGGCAATTTAAGATTTTTCGTGTTTTTCTCAGCACCAGACCTTCGATTTTGACTATTTTGATACAAAATAAAATTGCGCGTCGAATGATACCAAAATCAACTCAAAATATAATATCCACGCAAAGTTGTTGGCTAAAAACCTAAACCCCGCTCATCATGGGTGGGACTTAACCTTTTGACTCATAACCTTGTATAGATATCATATTTTGAGTTGATTTTGGTATTATTCGACGCGCAATTTTATTTTGTATCAAACCATAATCAAAATAGTCAAAATCGAAGGGTTGTTGCTGAGAAAAAACGAAAAATCTTAAATTGCTAACGGCAAAAAAAGATCGACAGATATTCTCGTTACAAGTCTACTTTATTCTAATTTTGTTAAATTTCAGGGTTCTTTCTGAGCGATGTGGCCGTCGGAATGCTCTCATTATCAACGGGATTTTCAACATTATCGGTGCTTTTTGCGAGCTGATCGCAAGGTCGGCTAGGTGGGATCAAAAACTGGCTAACTTTTGCAGTACAAAATCACTCTTTTTGAAAAAACAAGCTATTCAACCATTATTCGTTTCACCTTTCAGCTCTCCCGAATTGTTGATCATTGGTCGATTCATCCTTGGTGCGAATATGGGACTCACTTCCGGGGTCGTTCCGATGTATTTGATGGAGTTAACGCCAGCAAAATATCGAGGAGCCGCTGGAACTTTGCATATGGTTAGCAGTTGAATTTGAAAGATTTACCAAACTTTCCACTTTATCAACTCGATAAATTTAGCAGTTTCCAGTTACAAGTATTGTTTTTTTCTCAAAAACAGTTTCCAGGTCGCCGTCTCATTCTCTGACTGGTTTTCGTTGCTCATTGGACTTCCTGAAGTTTGTTTTTATATTTTTGAGTGATTTGCAAAGTTCAGAAGCTTATTTTACAAGTTTTACAAGATAAAATTGAATAGGATAGGCTTAACTTTTAGGTACTTGGTGGATCAAATTGGTGGCCGATCGCCTTTGCCCTCCCAGGAATCCCAGCATTGGCTCTCTGTTTTATCTTACCGTTTTGCCCTGAATCGCCAAAGTAAGCAAAAAAAAATGGGAACTGAGACTTTGGAAGCCAAATCACGACTTATTTGCATATTTTTTGAATCTGCTAAAGCTGTTATTGGGCACAGAACTTAAGCAAAAGTGATTGAGAACTAGAAGTGCAAAATGAGCAAATTTCATGACTTTTGGTCCACTAAATTATTAAATATTTGGCTAAATTAAGCCTCAAAGATTTATTTATCCTTCTCTTTCTTCCTTTCTTTCTCTTCCTTGTCTTTCTGATTGCTTCTTGGGCAAAGATGTGCCAATAGCTCAGTGATAGAGCATCTGCCCGGTAAGCGGAAGGTCGAGGGTTCAATTCCCCCTTCAATTCAATTTCCCTCGGTTCTAAATCCTTTGCCATTCATTTCTTTACTTTGCTATTCAGATATCTATTGATGACACGTGGAAATCGAGAAGCTGCCTATGATGCAATTGTTGCTTTGGTTGGTGAGAAACAAGCAAAACCCGTCTTCAACGAACTCATCCGAGAAAGCGCACGAGACAAAGTAAATTTTCAGATTCAGAAGTAAACATTGCTTCATTCTAGAGTCGATCCGGTTCTTTTTGGGAACTCTTTACGAGCAAGAAGCTCCGTCTTCCCCTACTCGTGTCTCTTCTTGTCATGGTCGCTCAACAGTTCACCGGATGCACAGCTGTCTTTGCTTACTCGACTGATATGTTTATCAACGCGAAACTTGATCCGTGAGTTGGACTTGATGATATCTAATCAATAAAGGAATACTGGAATCTTGAATTCTTAGAAATTAAGTAACTAAGAGACATTGGTACTATAAATTACAAAAATGACAAACTGTCACACTGCAAACACTTCTAACTTGCTTCAAATCTGTCAGATTGACATGATCTATAGTTTAAAAAACAGAGAATCTCAAGAACTTTTGAATGGACTAAAGTGCCTTCAAAAATATCAATGCTAACGAAAGTTACAGTCGTTTGTAGTCCTAGTGAATCGTACTTGCGGGTAGTTGAAGCGATCGAGTCAGGCTAAAAGCCACTGTAACTTTCTTTAGCATTGATATTTTGGGTGCGCTTTAGTCCATTCAAAAGCTCTTGAGATTCTCTATTTTTTAAGCTATAGATCATGTCAATCCGGCAGATTTGAAGCAAGTTAGAAGGGTTTGTAGTTTAGGTTTGTATTGTAGTGCCAAGGTCGATGTATCAAGAAACCTACGAGCATCGAAACATTTTGCAGCCGCTAAAAGTTCAAAAAGATAACTTCTGTATTGAGTAGATATCTTATTCTTTTAAATTTCAATAAAGAATCATATCAACTTCATAAAATTATATTTAATTAATGAAATTTAGACAAACAGCTCGTTACGCAACGCTGGCTATCGGTGTCGTCTACTTTTTGTTCGCTTGTTCGGCTCCTTTGTTGATTGATCGAGTTGGGCGAAGACCACTTTCTCTCTTCCAAGTGAGTTCAATGGAATAAATGAAGGGTTTCGATAAAATTTGAACAAATTAATGCGATTAAGTGCTGCAGACAGGATGTATTTCCATTTTTGTGCACAGAGTATCAAAGCATTTTTGCTTCCTTTCTTTCTATTAGGCTGTTAACCCAAAAAGGACGCTTTTTGCGTATGACTGTTTTAAAACTATAACAATTTATTTCAACAACATATAACTAAACAATGTAATCTCCGCGTTTGGTTTTGACATTCATCCATCTTTTTGGAAGTTTCTTAAGTCCTTTCTCGGAAAAATCGGCATTTTTTGAAACCAAAAAGTCGTCGATAGAGTCCCGTACCTCAGCTTCGGTCTTGAAACTTTTTCCCCGTAAAAAGTTTTTCAATGAGAGAAAAAGATGAAAATCCGACGGTGCAACGTCTGGGCTGTAAGGGGGATGATCCAAACGATTCCATCCCAGAGTATTTTGCACAAACTGTGTCGATTTTGTGGCACGATGTGGGCGAGCATTGTCTTCGAGGAGATTGACTGGACCAATCCATTGTCCATTTGCGCGCATAGTCACCAATCCATTTTCAACTCTTTGCATATGACGAATATAAACGTCAGCGGTAAATGTTTGACCGATTGGGAGTAGCTGCCAAAACAATGGTCCTCGCGAACACCAGTACATACATAACATCTGTTTCTTCCCATGAACATCGCGTTTTGGGACCGCAGCTCCAGTTTGCCCAGGTTTCAACCATTGTTTTTGAACGACTCTTCCATCATAAAAGACCCAGCTTTGATCGTGTGTTACTATTGTATCCAATGGAAGCCGTCCATGACGATATTTGCTCAAGAGGCGGCCGCACAGAAGAGCTCGTTTGGCTTTGATTGCTGGAGTCAGTCGGTGAGGAATTTGTTGTTGCTTTCTCCACTTGCGCCCGGTTTTTTTCAAATATTTCCACATGGTTACGTGCGAAAAAAGACCCGCATCAAGTTGTCGTGCCGTACCTTCAGGATTTTGCCGTAGTCGTTGCCAAAGAATACGACGATTAATCTTGTTGTGGCCTCCGCTTCCACTCTTCCTCTTCATGTTTGTTCGGCCATTCCGAAACTTTTGAAACCATTCTTGGGCTGTGCGAGTAGTCACAACTTTGAATCCATAAAAATCGTTGATTTCCCGAGCTGATTCGGCGGCAGATTTGTGTTGTTGATAGCGATGGTGCAAATCCTTGTGCCATACTTCCGGGGTGGGTCGATTTGTTGTTGGCATTGCTCCCGAGAATGGAAACCTAAACCAAAATATTTGATTAAAAATTGTAAAAAGTTATTAGAAAAACAAGAAAAACAAAGAAAATCTTGAATGCGATCTTTGTAATTATTCCAAAAACCTTCATGCACAAAAAGCGCCCTTTTTGGGTTAACAACCTAATAATAAGCGCACTAATAAAGCATTCAATCCGCCAGATGGTGTGTGTTGTCCATGTTGAGCATAAAGTACAAGAGCTTGTAAACTCGTAGAATAAACCTTTATATAACTCCTTTTCAGTTGATCGCTTGTCTCATCGCTTTATCGCTGCTCACTCTGTTCACAGGAATTCAACAGTACGGACAAGTGGGTCCACGTTTTTTTTGCTTTAGAAACTTAGATTTATTTCTTAGAAAGCAGAAAATTTCAACTTAGAGTCATTTTTGAAAGTACGGCTTTGTTTTAGGCGACTTGGGCAAGTTACGGAACGATCGGCGCGCTCGTTTTGTACATGTGCGTCTATGGAGTCGGCTCGCCGATTCCCTGGATGATCACCGGAGAGCTTTTCAATCAACATGTAAGAATTCGCTTTATTCGAACTTTTAATATTTGATTTAAAGAATTTGCAGAATCCTTCAAGTAAATTTGAATCCTAAGATCGTTTTCAGTTCCGTTCAACGGCTGTCACGGTCTCGGTCTTCGTCGCTTACCTCATGGCGACGATTATCTCATCAGCGTATCTACCATTTCAACAGGTAACTAAGATAAAGTACTTAAATTTCTTTCGTAATATGGATTGCAAGGAAAACTTCAAGGAAAAACAATCACCATACATCTAAACTGCTGATTGTGAGTAGTGAATTGGCCAATATTTCCTTCATGAGAACTAAGCAAAGCTCACAAGGGAAAGGCAACAGTTGAATGTGGTCAAATGAGATAAGGCATAGTCCATTCGACGCAGAATTTCACGTTGATTCCAAATCTGCTTTCCGTCTTTGCAAAATGATTTTCTATAAAAAGTTACACGTGTTTTAAGTTTTAGACTGGCAAAAATTTGGAGCCGAATAGGTGCCTTTATAAGGGTTCTTTTACGGGCCTGAAGCTTGATGGTGGTATAGTAGATAAAACGCTGGCATACAAAACGATCACTCCATTTTTTTGCTCCTGTACGACTCCTTTTTGGCAAAACGTTTATTTTGCGTTTTCATCTTTTAAAACTTGAATTTTATCTGGCTTTAAAACTAGATTGTATTTCTTATTTTTATTTTATATTTTGCTTTTGAAACTATTCGGAATTAGCGTGAAATTCTGCGATGATTCATCTCATTTGGCCACATCCTACTGTTGCCTTTCCCTTGTCTGTTTCTTTTATTTGCACTAATCTTACAAATTCTATTGATCTAATCTAGATGCTACTTGTCTTGCACTAGCTTAAATCACATTCAGATGGTGGGTGTCACGTTCAGCTACATGCCTTTCATTGTGGTGAGTTGTATCTCGATTGTCGTTCTCTACTTCATTCTACCCGGTAAGAGATAATCTGTAACAAATGATTGAATTTATTTTCCTAAAATTTTAACGAAATTAGCTTCATTTCTTCAAGATTGATTTACTATCACCTTCCAAAATAAACCAAATTTATGGTTTAGAAACAAAGAATCGTGATGTGAATGACATTGTGAATGAGGCGAGAGCTCGGAATCACTCGCTCAGTGTCGGACTGCCGTGGAATGCGGTGTCGCAAGAGGGACGGACTGAGGTAAATTTAGGCTAAATTTTCTCTAAAAAAGGCCGTACCAATGGAGTTAAACCCACAAAAAAAGAGAAATCGACTCTATTCACCATAAATTCTTACCATTCTTACCGCAAAAAAAGCATTGCATTAAAATCAAATGAAATCAAAGCGAAACGTATGCAAAGTTTAATAACTTAATTAATGATTTAGGTAAGAATATTTGGTGAAAAAAGGATATGCTAATTTCTTTGTTTTGCGGGCGTATAACTCCATTGATTCAAAGTATCTTTTTTGCAGGGTTAAGAGCAACAAAAGCTCTAAAATCTAGTAAAAAGTACCAAAATTATCTGAACTCCCGTGTTTTCCGTGTTAAGATCAGCAAAACGAAAGAAATTCTCGCTGAAGGCTAAGTTTTATCCTGAAGCCAAGCTGACAGCATGGCTTATTTTTGTATAATTGACCATCCCAGAGTCAACGAGTGCCTGATTGTAATTTATTTTGAATGTCCTTGACTCATTCACCCAAAAATTTTGCTAATATTGCATCAGGTTGTCCGTTTGATACGGGAAAGTAAGCTTTGAAAAGTCGAGTTCATCTGTGGTTACCTAAATCGCATTTGTGGTTACCTTTTGATATCGCAAATGATATTGATTCAAGTTTTTAGGGTATCAACAAGATCCTTTTCAACAAATCCTTAATCTTTTTGTGTTCTTGGGGCTAATTCTAAGATTACTTTTTTAGAACAAGCAACTAATTGTGGATCTAAAGGGGGTGCTCATCGGGAAACAAAACATTTACGTATCAGAAAGCATTGGTATCTAGAAATACAGAGAAACAAATGGTAAGTCCATTTGGGAAATCATTTTAAAGGCGAACAATTTGGCCTAATCGGCCTAATTTGGCCTAATTTAGGCCTAATACCGTAATCTTTCCATCAGAATATTCGTCGTCGATTGCACTGCCTGTCAAATCAGAAATGCAAATTGTACGCTCATTGATTTGGCACAAAATGTGTAAAGCGAGTAATGCATTTTCTAAAAGGCGGACAATTTAGCTTACTATCTCAATCTTTCCATCAGATTTTGAAAATTTTATTTGCTTTTAATCCTATTCAATTCAAAGTTTGGTTTCCTCGTCGAATGAGATCATAATTATGGATATAAAGCCGACAAGATCTAGAGAGAGCTTTTCGAATTACCCATCGTTTCGCGCATTACTAACGAAACATATTTTTGGAAAAGACTTTCCTGGCTTGAAAAATGCTTACAATTAGTTCAATTCTGACAAAATTTACTACACTTTTACTCATTCAAATAATTGAAAGATTTTAAGCTAGAATTCTACAGTTTTAGCTCTAGATTCTTGTTCAATTTCTTTTGCAACACTTAAACTTTCTACTTTTTTCAGATGAAGAAACTTCTCGACGACATCTCTGAGGGATATTCATCAATTTCTAACTAAAATTTAAGAAATATTTTGTGTTTAATAAGTTCTTAATGATTTTTGCTAGATCTAGAACCTATAATAAGCTGATTATTTCCTTCTACTGGTCTTTATCATTATGGCTTTATTCATTACTTTTTGTTAAAGTGCTCAATGATCTCTCGGGTTAGTCTGTTTTTCAATAAATTATTATAAACAAGTGCTAGAAAGGCTTTTTTTGGCTAATTTTAGACAAGAGATTCATTTAAATTCAGCGGCAAATCCTTTGATCTTTCTGGCAAAAAGATGAAGAAGTTTTAAAGCAGATTACATCAACATTGGTGTGTACTAAAACAAACATCAAATCATTTTACGAAAGTAGAAATTGGCATGAAAAAGCTATTAGTTAAATCGTTAAAATAAAGTCACCGAATCTCTTGACAATTTGCTTTACAATACACTTGGTGCTCAAGAGAAAGAAAGCTTACTATCTTAAGCAGTACAAGCTGAGCTTTTGTAAAATTGTCTCACCAAATTTGAATCGTCTGTACAGTTGGTCAATCGAATTTTAACCACAGATGTCATTCTACTGTAGCTGCTTATTTTGGACTCTAAAACTCTCTTTAAGAGCCAAATTTAGATGGCAAGTTACGTGAGAAAACAATCTTACTATTAGAGATTACAAGCTGGGTTTTTGTACAAGGTTTTGCACTTTTGCAATCACGTTGTACTTAAGAAAAATGATCAAGAGATCTAGAAATGACCTGAAAAATGACCTAGAGATCTAGACATGATCTAGAAAATGATCTAGAGCTCTAGAAAATGATATAGAGATCTAGAAAATGATCTAGAGACCTAGAAGTGATCTAGAAAATGATCTAGATACTCTGCTATTAAGTACCGAACTGGGACTTACATGCTCATGGCAGAAAGTACCATTGCCAAACAAAATGAACAATTCTCAATAAATTGAGCCGTTTGTTTTCTAAAGTTCTTACAGAATTGAACCAAAAGTGGATAGATTGGATAAAAGCTAGAGGCAAACTTACAAGATTAAAGTAACTCCAAAAATTTACATGTTTTAGTAAATGAATTAGCTGAGGGGATAAGCCTATTGTTGAGATTTATGCCTTGATTATGGTTATCGTGCAATTGAGTGACATCATTTGAGCTCAATTTTATCATTTTTACAAAAAGAGATCTAAAACTGTTCATTCTTCATAAAAACTAAATTTAGTTGAATAAAATAATGCCGCCTTTGAAGCCCATATTCTTTCACATCTACAAATTGTTAGGTTTTCTCACAGCTTTTTCACCTTACCAATTTAACTCCAAGAAATTCAGGCAATGTCCCGTATTGTCCCCAGTGCTTTGCTGCTGGCCGTTTCCGTCAACGGACACATGATCCAGAGTGTCACGGACGGACAGACAAAAGCACGGACAGATAGACAGACGGACCGACACTTCTCTTTTATATATGTTAGATTATTCTGTCTCACTTTGCACTAATTTTTGAGAAACTTTAGAACTGTATACCTTAGTAATAATTCAAGCTAAAGCTAGGAGTTAAAGCAAATTAGACTAAATCCAACAGCAAGGTTGAAATTCTGGGTCCAGGACAATTGAAAGCTATCGGATTTGGCTTTTATAGAGATTTTACAAAATCAGAGTTAAATTCAAGCGTTATTCAGTGATTAAAAGTTCCAGAGTTTCGGTTAGAATGGCTTACCAAGACCTAAACTAAGTCTAGATTTGGTTAATATTTCAAATTCAAAGAATCGACTATTGTGACAATCTGAACTGAATGACGGTTGTGGTGGATTTGGCGGTTGAGGAGTTACATCGTCATAGCCAACCAGAAAATTAGCCGTTGATTCAACCGATTTTTGAATCTTAATCTGTTGCAGTGAAGTCACAATGAAAATTTGATCTTTTCATTTTTCATCAGGTCGAATGACATAAGGCTTTGGTTGTTGCGGTTTAACTATCGTAGAATCTCCAATTCGTGATATGAATCGTTTTTTGAGACGCTGAAAACAAAATAATCTAATCATATTGCACTCAATGTCTCATTCTTTGTCTATTCACTTACCTGACAAAGTTTAATGAAAAGATCTCGATAGTATTTTGTCACAAAAAGAACGATGAAACAATTGCCGGAAGAATGCAAAGTGGTTATCATTAGTGCATTGGATAAAATTTTGTCTGAAAAGGAAACCGTATAAATAGGAGTTTTAAATACTTACGGATTTGCTCATCTTGAACAAGTGTTGATAAAAATACTATAAGGCAAGGTAGAAAAGCTATTGTCACCAAAAAGATTATCTAGATATTTTTAACGACATTTTTTTACAATTAGTTTAAGTAAGACTAGGGAGTTTTGCCAGGTCAAGATCGAGTTTTCACACGAGCCTTGGCCCATCTGATAGGCCTTCCATCGGGGATTCTGAATCTGCTTTTAGTTTTACCGGAACGCTTCTGTAACACGAGATATTTGGCATACAAAATTTCGCTTTTTTCCGGCTGATTTACAAGCTTTACTCATTACTTGTTACCTGCTGCCTTCTGGCTACAGAAGCGTTGCGAAAAAAAATTAAAAGCAGATTCAGAATCCTTGATGAACGCCTATCAAATGGGCCAAAGCCAAAGTCATGTGACAACTCGATCTTGACTTGACAAAATTCTCTAGTAAGATTATCGAATAGACCTGTGAACACAAAATCGGTCCCCTTTTTGAAACCTAGCGGCCGAGATAAAATTTTCAAGAACGAAACAAAGGTGAAAAATTCTATCGAAGACAAATTCTATCAACTTCATCGGCTCTAGACAGCCCGACTTTTCTCGCTGCAGGGATCGAAAAACTGGCTACTCGTTGGCAAAAGTGTATTGATTCTAACGGTTGTTATTTCGATTAATTTGATTTTTCTTAAATAAAAATTTTTGCAATTGGAAATCATTAAGAAAAATGCAGTCATTTTCCCGAGTACCTAATAAATATCATCCGAGAATCCACTCATATACCTGAACTAACGAAACTCGTAATAATTGTTGATGCATCGTTTGTATTTTGATACTCAGAGGAGGCCCGAGATGAGGAAGTTTGTATAAAAGAGTTACAATAACAATGACCCAACTAAAAGCTTAACTTTGAGACGATTTAAGTTATTCCGGTATTACTTAACAAATAAGTTAACGTATTTTTAGTTTAAAGTATGAGCTCGACACGGACTTTAATTTATTTGAAAGATCAACCTCACCGCAATGGCCAGCGAAAGTCCGATGAATGCAAGTGTCAGGGGAAGATTCGAATCGTTTATAAGCACAGATAAATCAATTGAAGATTGGATCTAAGAATTTTTCTCTAAAAATTTTTAATGTAAATAAAGTTACCCTATTATCTTCGTGTGTTTGATAAGGAATCACCAAATAATCAATGCAAAAGAAGCTCATAACCAAGAAAAGAGATGCGCTCGTGCAAAAAAACTGAAAAAATTAACATTTTTCAAAATTGATTTCTTTTCATACAGAAAGTATTCGTCGAACTCGAATTCTCCATTCTGGAGACGATATAGCGAGACATCGAAGAAAAAAGTTATACGCATGTAAAAAACTATGAAAGATAGTGAGAAATAAATAAATGTGCTAGAATTTGCAGTTAACAAGAAACATTAACCATCTCATCTTACAACAATTATGAGAATCTCTGTTTGACTGAAATTTATTGAACTTGCTGAAATGACGGTGAAAGATGGGATAACGACGGGGCGAAAGAAGGACAAAATAATCGTCATGGATAGGGAACATAGCTAAAATGAGATGTTAAAGGGGGTAACAATCGAGGCTGATTCCAAGTTAGAAATTTTTATCGCCGATAACTATCATTTTTTTTATTTGATGCTTTTTATACCAACAATAGTAGAAACAAATCGGCTGATTTCTTGCCATATTCGGCAACCTTTTGTTGATGAACATCTCCTGCTGCGGCAGACAGGTTTGAACGTTGTCAACTGGCAAGCCACTCCCCTCGCAGAAAATTAGAATCATTTCTGCTTTTGGACTTTTCTTTCAAGATGAGCGATGATGAAGCTATTGAAGATGATAAACTGACGTGCGTTACTGTTGAGTGAGCATAATTGAAAATTTTCCTGCAACATTGCTATATTTGCGCGAAAATTCAAGGAGGCCGAAGTAAAGGAAAGTCGAGAACGATCAATTGGAACGGGAATTTGCCGTAACAGTCGTGACTCGATGTTCATGTGAAAATGATGAAAGGATTTGATGGTCGACACAGAAGTTTGTAGAAGGTACAGAAACTTGATTGGCTAACCTTGCAATCACAGCAGCCGCTCAAGTCGCACAAATTGGCCCCCCTAATTTGGCTTCCTTCTTTTATGTTTTGAAAATGCCGTTCTTATCGAAAGGACATTTTCTTCGTTTTTCAAAACATCATGTATGGCCTGCCTCTATCAGATAACAGGAGTGTTTGATTTAGATGGGAAATCCGGGATACAAATCACCAAGATAGACTTATGAGCTAGATATAATTGAAACCTTGGTAAAGTGTTATTTTCAATGTCCAATAAAATATTTAAGCTGTTCACCCAATTGAAACCAACAACCCTTTCTCCAGCGCCAGGTTGATAGTCTTAGACCACTCGACCACGCGTATAAAGGAGCTTCAGTAATTCGACTTTTTACAAAAACGGTCCCACTAACCTTCAGAACTAATTTTGATTTTTTAAAATTAGATAAAAATTTACACATATAGCCAAATTTTCAGCTAAATCCGTCCAGCCGTTTTTTCTAAAAACCCATAACAGACACACACACACACACAGACATCAGCTCTCACTTATAATAAGTAACCATCCAAACGATCATTTAGCTTAGAATCAATACAAAATTATCATTTACTTACTATGATCGCAATTTGAAGCATTCTGAGCTCTTTAATGTGATCTGGAGCTTTCACACAACTCAATATACCAATAGTGAGTGAGCAAATAACGCCATCGATTGGAAGTGGAATTAAATAA